CTAGAAGCAGCATTTGCAATACTTGTCTTGAGAAAAAGCATTTATTGCTTAGAATTGTTTGCTTAAAAAGTGACGCCTACTCGTCCAGGAATACCCCAAAACCCTATAATCCAAACTTTACCAGAGATTCTCCTGAAAAGCTTGCGCTTTTGGATGTTTTTATGTATTTGTGAATTTGCTTGTGTATGGCCTTCACTAAGTACTTTTCTAGGATTCTTGTGCATTTTTTAAGCCTGATTGTGCAAGTTGCGTTTTTCAAGCATAGTATATATGTGGTCTTTATTGAATACTTCAGACATCTTTGTTTCATCGTTATGTAAGTAGAACCGCTTCTATTTCCATTATTGTGCATTGTTAAGCTTGCTCATGCAAATTGTGCTTTTCAGACATAGTATATAAGTGGTCTTTAGTGAATACTTCAGCAATCTTTGTCTCATTGTAGGTAGAACCGTTTCCATTTCCGCAAGTGTTTATGTCGTATTTGGTTGAGTATGGTCCTTTAAATAGTATTCACTTGAGTCAAATTGGGCTATTTGCTTAAGAATTCCTCTAGTAGTTAAATTCGCAAAGAATGAATACTTCAAAAAACTTGTTTCATGAATATGTAAACATAAGGTGTTTCATTTGACTTTGCAGATAGTACTTCAATAATACTTTGCCTGGTACAAACACAACTGTTTCAATGCATTAGTTGCTCAACACAGCACTATTTGCCCTTTAAACCACACTTTGCCATATTTTGGTTGAATATGGTGCTTCTTTCGCATTTTGGTTGAGTATGGTCCTTTAAATGGTATTCACTTGAGTCAGATTGGGCTATTTGCTCAATGATTATTCCAGTAGCTAAATTCGCATAAAATGATTATTTCAAAAATAAAAACGATTCATGAATGTGTAAACATAAGGTATTTCAGTGGACTTTTCAGAGAGCATATTTTGCCTAGTACAGACACAATTTTATAAATACAGTATTTGCACTTTAAACGCACACGTTGCCATTTTTTGGTTGAGAATGGTGCTTATTTCGTATCTTGGTTGAGTATGCTCCTTTAAATAGTATTCACTTGAGTCAAATTGGGCTCTTTGCTGAAGAATTACTCAAGTAGCTAAATTCGCATAGAACCAAGAAAAATGTTTCACTATTTGACTAATACTTTGCCTCGTACAAACACAATTGTATAAATAAATTAGTTGCTCAACAAAACATAAATTGCCCTTGAAAGGCACAATTTGCATAGAAAAACGCTGATCTAAACATCTAAAAACAGCATTGTCCGCTTCAGATTCAAAATGTAGATTCTTCCAATGCTGGCTTATCGGGGTCTGTGAGGTGGGTGTCCCAGTAACTGTCCTTCATTACCCGGTGATTAACTACGCGACTTTTGGGCCTTCTTTGTTATTTTTTGTTAAAAAGGCCTAAAAAGGCCTAAAAAGGGTAGGTCGCTGGGGGGGGGGGTAGCATATATATATATGCTACCCCCCCCCCCCCCCCCCCCATGGACCTACCAATTTCCTTTGTTTTTATCCATGAATTTCGCGGTCTAAGCCACATGGTTTGAAACCCATGGATTTTATGGATAACATTGGTTTTACCGATGTTTTCGGGCTCTATCCTTCAAAAACATTGGTAGAACCAATGTCATCCGTGAATTGGGTGCTCCCAGCCACAATGTTTGAAAACCATGGGTTTTATGGATAACATTGGTTTTGCCGATGTTTTCGGGCTCCATCCTTCAAAAACATTGGGGTAAAACCAATGTTATCCGTGAATTGGGTGCTCCCAGCCACATGGTTTGAAAACCATGGATTTTATGGATAACGTTGGTTTTGCCGATGTTTTCGGGCTCCATCCTTCAAAAACATGGGTAAAACTAATGTTTTCCATGATTTTCGTGATCTGAGGCTCTCTCCCAGCCACCATTTCTCGAGGTAGTACCAAGCAACAAACTCGAATCCTGCAAAATCTCGAGGGAGTACCAAAACCTCCTTATAATCAATCACGCCCCAATACGCAAGACATGACATCTGTCCTAAAAACACTACCTTAGCTACGATATCTCAAACAATCATCCCCCGATAAGCAAGACCTAATATCTATACTAAACCTGTACCTTAGCAACATATCTTAAGACATCACGCCCTAAGGCTCCTACCAATTTAATAAGGTTCCTATCAATTTCAACAGGATTCTTATGCATGTTACTGGGATTCGCATAGGATTCTCATTAATTTTAAAGGATTCCTATTGGATTAGGCTCATACTAGTTTAGTAGGATTCCTATCAGTTCTTGTTAAAGGATTCTATTGTTTTTAAGGCCTATTGGTTCCTATTGATTTAGAAAGATTCCTTCTCGTTTTAATAGGATTCCTGTGACTTGTAACCCGGGTTGTTTCCAACTTGTTAAGTTCCTATTCATTTGAATAGGCTTCCTTCCTATTAACTGTTGTCCGGTCCCGATAATTCAATAGAGGATTCCTATTTACTTTCATAGGATCCCAATAAAGTTTCATAGGGTTCCTAATTATTCATAAGGCCCCTATTTTCTGTAATAAGAGTCCTATCAATTTTAATCAGATTCTTATTCATGTTAATGGGGTTCGTGTTAATATTAAAGGGATATCATTCACTTTCAAGGGATTCCTGTTGGTTTAGGCGCATGTTCATTTTAATCGGTTTGTCTAAAGGTTCACGTTATTTCTTATAGGAGTCCGATTGGTTCCTATTAATTTGAGTAGGGTTCGTCTTCAGTTTAATTGGATTCCTACTAATCCTATTAATTCTACGAAAATGTTGGGAGAGTACCAAAACCTCCGTACAATCAATCACGCCCCAATACGCCAAGACATGACATCTGTCCTTAAAACTATACCTTAGCTACGATATCTCAAACAATCATCCCCCTGATAAGCAAGTCCTAACATCTATACGAACACTGTACCTTAGCAACATATCTTAAGACATCACGCCCTAAGGCTCCTACCAATTTAATAAGGTAGGATTCTTATGCATGTTACTGGGATTCGCGTAGGATTCTCAGTGATTTGAAGGGATTCCTATTGGATTAGGCTCATACTAGTTTAGTAGGATGTTAGAGGATAAAAACCATGATTTTTCAAACTACTCGGAGACCCAAGCCCATAGTTTGGAAAATCATGGTTTTTATGGTTTTTCTTGGTTTTTGCGATGTTTCGTGAGCATGGGTTCAAAAAGCATCGGTAAAACCAATGTTTGTTTGAAGGTAGGGGTTCAAAAACATCGGTAAAACCAATGTTTTGGAGAGGCCACCTTCAAAAAACATCGGTAAAACCAATGTTTTTGGAGCCCCTGCTCAGGAAACATCGCAAAAACCAATAAAAACCATAAAAACCATGATTTTTCAAACTACTCGGAGACCCAAGCCCATAGTTTGGAAAATCATGGTTTTTATGGTTTTTATTGGTTTTTGCGATGTTTCGTGAGCATGGGCTCAAAAAACATCGGTAAAACCAATGTTTTTTTCGAAGGTAGGGGTTCAAAAACATCGGTAAAACCAATGTTTTGGAGAGGCCACCTTCAAAAAACATCGGTAAAACCAATGTTTTTGGAGCCCCTGCTCAGGAAACATCGCAAAAACCAATAAAAACCATGATTTTTCAAACTACTCGGAGACCCAAGCCCATAGTTTGGAAAATCATGGTTTTTATGGTTTTTATTGGTTTTTGCAATGTTTCGTGAGCATGGGCTCAAAAAACATCGGTAAAACCAATGTTTTTGGAGCCCCTGCTCAGGAAACATCGCAAAAACCAATAAAAGCCATAAAAACCATGATTTTTCAAACTACTCGGAGACCCAAGCCCATAGTTTGGAAAATCATGGTTTTTATGGTTTTTATTGGTTTTTGCGATGTTTCGTGGGCATGGGCTCAAAAAACATCGGTAAAACCAATTTTTTTGGAGCCCCTGCTCAGGAAACATCGCAAAAACCAATAAAACCATAAAAACCATGATTTTTCAAACTACTCGGAGACCCAAGCCCATAGTTTGGAAAATCATGGTTTTTATGGTTTTTATTGGTTTTTGCGATGTTTCGTGGGCATGGGCTCAAAAAACATCGGTAAAACCAATGTTTTTTGAAGGTAGGGGTTCAAAAACATTAGTAAAACCAATGTTTTGGAGAAGCCACCCATTTTTTGAAACATCGGTCAAGCCGAGGTTTCAAAAAAAAAGGTAGGTCCATGGGGGGGGGGGGGGTACCATATATATATATATATATATATATACATACATATACATGTTTATGCTACCGCATGGATTACCGTCAGGTAACGCACGAATTTTACATCTGCGTTTCGGGGTTGGTTGGGTTGGGGGGGGGGTGGTTACGTCCATTGTCTTGCGTGCAGCCATTAGGGTTCCAAACTCCCCGTCCCCGCAAAGAAGCCCCGACGTCCCGAAGCAGTGCAGCCCTGACATCCCAAAGCAGTGCAGCCCTGAGATCCCCCGAGATGTCCCTAGCTCTGGACATCTTGATGTGTCCTGTTCGCTCTCGGCACCAAGAAATGTTCAGGCGATTTTGTAAGAGAGTGGCAACAGTAGTTTTAGCACGGCCCGGTTCGTGAGCGTCTCCATTGGTAGAGGCGTCCTTGTTTGCTTGTGTCTCTTAACTCGCCGAAGCTTTGCGTCAAAGTTCCAGATCTCACACCAGAACCCCGGGCGATCCCTCCACAACCCAGCCCCCTAAAACTTCTCAGCCGAAACACATTTTGGGGGCCGGAAGTTGGGGCTCAGTGCGAGCCGGCCAAACGGTACGGAGTTGTTCCTGAATCGGTTCTGCCGAAGTGTATTATCCCTTCCGGCTTTGTCATGCTCGCTTCACCGTCCATGAGAAACCTTAACGGGAACGAAGCCACGTGAGCCATCAAGCGAATGTATCCTCGACTTCCTCAGTTAAAGCACAAGCTTGCTTCACATCAAGATGGCCGCCCACGACCCCTTCTTTGTTGACCAGTGCATGTTGCCAGGTCAGGCGAGACTCCGAGTCTTGAAGCTGCACAAGAACCAGGCTTTATGTTTTTTGTTTGTGCAGTGTGGAGCCGTGCCTTGTTCATGCAAAGCAGCTCCTTTGCAGGTCGGGGATGTGACCTGCGAACGAATTGCGGCACTCATCTGGCACCAAAAGCAGGCAGTAGAGGCGAGGGCACAGATGTGCCAACATGTTAGCACAATGGGACGGTGGTGCTGGTTTGTGCAGAGGAGATCCACCTGTCGCACAACGAGGTGCGGCAAAAAGGCCTTGTAGCCGGCCCCAATGGTCAAAGCTCAGTGACGGCGGAGGGTTTTCATGGCTTAGGGCTTTTTATATTTTTTTTCTGGAAGAAGCTGGGAGGCATGGCGGCGCTTCTCGCTGCCCTCGCTTTGCACCCCGAACAAGCCGGATGGGGGGATGGGGGCAGCGTCACAGGCTTCTTGCTGCGTCAAGTTTTTCGGATGCTGGGACAGGCTTATCCACGAGCCACTCCAGGCGAAGCCTGCATCTCAGTGGATGCAGGAAGCTATTTGTTTGCAAGTTGTAAGGCACTGGGCCTGAGTGGGGTGCTGTTTGCTTTCCGGATCCTGAAATCCAGACTCAGGAGGTTCCCTGCTGGGTGCGGTTGGAGCACAATCAGGCAATGGCCTTAGCAGCTTAGCATGCTTTGATTCTGCCACGCTCGTCTTTCCCTCCTCGAGCCTGTAAGGTCTCCCATCCCGAGTACCTTCTGAACTTGCTTGGCCAGGCGTGGTACCGCGCGCTAAACCTGTTTAAGTAGAAGAATTATGTACCATTTTCATATTCGTCACCCCAAAAAGGGCACATCCCAGACATCCTGTTACCCGGCAGAATCCGACGAAGCTGCGAATATGTCTGGCTCCTCGTCGTGACCGAGGGCCAAGTTGCACCTCCTTCAGATGTCAGGCGAGGTCAATATCTTTCCTCCTCACCGACGTCTGTATTCCAAGCGTGCTACCGCGACGGAGGCTGTCGAGAACGTGGCTCATGTTCATCTGTACTGCATCGACAAGCAGGCTGCCACTGCTGGTTCCCAGCTGCTTTGGCGCCTGGCCGTTCTGTGTGCTCAGGACGATGCTCAGATCGAGACAAAGAAGCATGCCCAGGCACCTTGCAATCCTGCATAGGCAAAAGCACCAAGGAAAGGCTTGCTAATGGACTTGAAGCAGGACATGGTGCAGCAAGCCGTGGCGGATTGCCACCAGGGTCGAGTGGGTGGCGGTGAGCTGTCCAGGGCGATACCTCCTGAGCCCAGTGGTCCCCCAGCAGATGCAGCAGAGTGCCGTCTCGTGGAGCTCAATGTGCGGGAGCTCAGCTTCCCGGTTGAAGTGTGCGCATGATGTCCGCTGTTTCCGCCAAGTTCAGACGGGCGTCAGATGATTGAGGTGGATCCAGATCTTGGCGCCGGGCTGTACCTCAGCGAGGGTCAGTATGGCTTTGTTGTCGACGATGTGGACGAGAAGCCGGGGCAGCAGCCAGATGCTCAAGTGCTCAAAGGTTTGTCCTTGAGCCACCAGAAGCACCCTTCTGGAGGCTCTCACCTGGAGATGTGGTCTTGGAAATAGACGGCGTGCAGTGGCTTGCTCAGCCTTGCTGAAGCCAGCATCCAAATGCATGCCACGAAGACGATGTGAGAAATGGGAGGTTGTGGGGCGACTTGGGCGAGGAGCGCCTGGGTGAGGCCACCTATCGCAAGATCTCATCAGGATTTCGAGTTGGGATTTGCAGCAGTCGCGGCGGTTGCAGGTTCAGGGTGCGGGGCTGCAAAGCTTTGGCGCATGAGAATTGCAAGAGAATTGGGCCAAGTCGCTGTAGTTAAGCTTGGGCTTTGAGGTTTTAACCTTTTTTCAGCTCGCGATGCATTGGGCTCATTCGGATTTGTGTCTGTGCTGACGACAGGCATTTGGCAGCCGTTTCGCGGACGGTGCTCGGCTGCGCGTTGCTCGAGCCGACGCTGTACAGGGCCGGCCCCTCTGGCAGCGTGGGCGCCTGGAACATGGGGATCTAGCTCAGAATCCTCCTTTTAAGGGGTCGACCCCCCCCCCCGGAAGAGTCCAAAATGACTGATGGCTCGTGTCACTACAACGACTGGAAGAGCAAGAGCCACCACATGAATTCCCCCAGCATTCGCCACCCCAAACTTTCCCTTGTAACTCAGGCCCCTGTCGATTCCTGGAGCATCCTTGTCCTCACGGTGCGAGGGCTTGCGTGAGTCCTTGGGCCGGGATCATGGGTCGGGAGTCTTTTGCATGGTTAACTCGTCAGCTCTGGGCCTCGCTGCGGCTGCCGAGATCATGACCTAACCATCATGGGCCAGCAGTGTGGTGTGCAGACGAAGCTTGAGGACATCATCATCAGTCATACCCCGAAGCTTGGTGTGCTCCAGTCATGACTGCAGAGTGGCTTGACATATTGAATCGGCCTTGAGGATGATGGTGCCTGGTTTCGTGGTCCTCCGCAGCATCAGCGTATGGGTCTCGACTTGGGGGGACGTCAACGCACGCTCGTGCACAAGGAGGTCCGTGTTCCATGGTTTCTGCTTGGCAGGATGGGCCGCGGATGAGCTCCCAAGGCACAGGATGTTGATTAGCACAGTGTTGGAAGGCAGGTAATGAGCTTTCATCTGCTGTGCCTCCAGAGGCTGCTGGCCTTCTACTTTCCCGAAGCCTCGCTCCCGCTCTGGCCCGATTTTACCGAGACTGTCTGACCCTTGCCGACCATGCCGCTCCCAAGGTTTCCTTCGTGCCATTGGCGCGGCGACCCCGATGAGACCTGCAACAGCACGAAGCCTGCAGAGCCCTCTGGGGAGGCGCAGTAGTAGCCAGAATGATCCAAAATGGCTCTCAAAAGTCGAAGCCATCTCGGCGTTGGGGAGAGGCAGCAGAGAAGATGCTTCGAGAGCTCCGACTTGGCCAATTGCCACCAGGCCATTGAGCGCTGTCAGGAAAACTATGGTTTAGTGCCAAGAGTAATTCTCCAGATGCGACTTTCGCGGACTTGGCTGCTTGGGAGAAACTTCTCCGTGGGCAGTGGTGCCGGCCTCAGAAACGCTTTTTGTTTGGTGCGGGAGAAGCCATTCGAACAGAACGAATTACAGTAGCGTTTGTCCACCGAATCCTAAACAGAGTCCTGGGCAGAGTCGTGCCAGATAAGCTGACATGGCCGGGATGCTTTTAAAGCTCTGGGGCTCCACTGCAGGGAGCTTATGGGGCTTTGGGCTTGCACGTTTTCAGGGCTTGAGGCTTCTGGGCTGTATGCAGGGCTTAGTTTAGGGTTGGGGTTCGGTGTATGGTTCCAGGATGTTTCAGCTCCCGGGATCATGAAGCAAATGTAAACGAGGACTCTGGGGACTCGAGGGTTTCGGGTGTGTTTGACATGACTGTTTGGAGGCGGAAGGTGTCGACATTGGCCTTCAACTTGGTGGGCAAAGGCTTTGTTGGCTGAGCTTGAAAGAATCAAGCTTTTGGGCTGTATGAGGGCTTTGGGTTTAGGATCTAGGGTTTGAGGGTGTGGGGGCTTCGGGGCTGTAGGCTTTAGCGGTTTGTGGTTTGCTCAACAGGCTTTGTGTCTCGAGGCAGTGTTTAGGGTGCCGGACGATGGGGTTACGGCTTCAGGGATGGATCTTGCACGCCCGACTCGGCATTGACCATTTCCTGTCCGGCTCGCATGATGCAACGCCCTGTCCCCCACACAGACAGCAGGTGCGAAGATGACAACATCTTTGACGAGGATCTGCCAGTGGAGCCTTTAGAAGCTTCCCGGTTGCATGTAAGGATGTGGTCGATTGCGCTGCGTGGGGGGCTGTCCCACCACAGGCGCCAGACGATGGTCCGGACGTGTTTGAGGGACAGGTGCCACCGATGCTGCCAATCCCTTTCTCTCGGTTGCCGGTTTCCTCGGCATGTTCGATTCGGCTGTCGAGCTGAGTCAGCAACAAAAAGCTTTCAGCTCTTATTCCTGGTTTTCAGGCGCTTGCACCCCAAGCAGATGTCTCGCAGCCACTTCGGGCATGACTCTCGGACAGCTTGCCAAGAAATTCCCAAGAAGTCTGTAGGAATCGATGAGGAGATGTTTTTGAAACTGTAGCTCATTCAGTCTAAGCTGAATCTGTAGCTTCACTTTAGCGCTCGTGATGCTCAGGTCCTGATGCTGGTCGGACTGCCAGGATCCGGTCGCGAAGCCCAGAGACGCCCAGGCTAACCTGCCTCTCTTATCCTCTGAGTCCCGTTTTCCAGGCAAAAGCACCTTGGCCGCCAGGACGGGAGAATGGGGATTTAATTGGACATGTTTGAGTTTGTTGGTGACTTGAACGCTTCTCATGGTCCTCAGCATCGCAATTGCCACACTGGCAGCATTTGTTGCCGCAATGCACTTCTGCTTGGAATCCGGTCCTTGACATGCCGAACATATCCTGAGTCACGATTGACCGCTTGCCGCGCACTGCACACGCATGCTTCCTGCGTGCACGTGTTCATGAGGGGCAATGACTGAAAGGCCAAGTTTCCCAACTTGGGGACGCTGTCCTTGTGACAAGTTCCACAGTTCCACATGCTTCCCTCATGTCTCCCGGCATCAAGCGGCCAGGATGCAACGTCTTGGGCCCGCGCCCTGGTTCAAGACCACTTGTTCGGGAAAAAGCGTGGTGGGGGCCTAAAGGTTTTTCCTCCAGGGGGGTCACCGAGCCTTCGTCGAACTTGTCGGGGCTTCGAGGGGGTTGGTATGATTTCTGTCGCAGGCAGACTCGCAGCAGCTTCGAATTTGACACAGTCGCAGAGCCTTCGCGCCAGTAAAGTCTGCAAAAACCGAGTGTGTCTGTCAAACAGACCCAGTGTTTCTGCAAAAGCACTTTAGTGCTTCATTCTACTTGGTTTCTTGATAGAGCTGACCGAAACAGGACCGTCATGTACTTCGATCATACTCAACCCGAAAGCCAAACAATGTGGGAGCCATCCTGCCCTTTGCGGACCGGTATGTAAGGATCTTCGCTGCTGGATTCTGTCACGGTTGTCTCCAGAAACACTCTACGGGATTGGACTGAGACGTTGCAAGATCCTTTGGTGGGCACTCCAGGGCAGGCTTTTCTTTGGGGGTGGGTCAATTCTGGGGTTCGGTGCTCGGATACTCGGCGGAACTCTGCGGGCTTTCGCTGGGGATGGGCACTCCAGGGATACTGGAATGGTTGGCTCAAATAAATCTAGCAGCGCTGAAGTTCGAGGTTTCAGTGAGTGCAAGGGAGTTCGGAAGCTTTCCCTGGGATCGTGATGGGGTTTGTGGCGGTTGTTGACGGGCCTGTCGGTGTGCTCTGGAATCTGAAATTCGGGTATCATGTTCGTCGAACTCCGGCGAACCATTTTGGGTTCCCCGAGCCATTTTGCGCCAACGGTTCGCACACAATTCGAAACACCGTGCACATCCACGTACATCATGACTGATTTTGTGTCGAAGGCTCGGAGAGGTCGAAAGCTTTTGGGCCGGTCTTGAACCTGACACGGTTGCAAAGCCGGAAATTCTCAGCGGTTTATGACTGGAAAGTCAAGGTAAGTTGTATTACAGCTTTCTTGCTCTGAAGATTTGTGAAATACATACGGAGGTTTGTAAAAATGCATGTCTCTATGATATACATGTATATGTGTGCGTATATGTGAAAAAGAACAGGTGTGTGTGTGTGTGTGTGTGTGTGTGTGTGTGTGTGTGTGTGTGTGTGTGTTTGTGCGACATCATGTCCCCCCCCCCCCCCAAAGTCAGGCTTTTGGACTTTGACCTTGGGTCTCCTTTGGGGCCCTTGGGGATACATATGAACACAGAAGCCGCATCGACGTTTCAATGTTACCAGCCACATGATTGCTTGTCGGCTTCGTCGATCGTTCGAACGTTTTTGGAGGTTGACCCGACATTTCTGCAGCCAGGTGGGTAGTCATTAACCAGGACACACTGGGGGTCGACACCTCAGATCGGGAATAGGTTAGCTAAGAAAGACGCTCTAACACGTTCTTGCCCAGGACAGGAGGAAATGTGTCGCTGCAGCCAATGATGCCTTGTCTGGCGTTCTGCTCGCAAGTTTCCTTCTGCAACCATTTGGTCCGGCATTGCAGTATTTGAGCACTGGGCCAGGGGCAAAAGGTGATCATCGATCGTTGCAATGTCACCCGACTGCAACGGCGCGTGTGGCTCGGAGTGGCAGACGAGAATGAGGCTGAATTGATGGGGCCTGCTGCGTCTTGTGCCATGCTTGCCATTGGTTTTTCGTGAATTGGGACCTGTGAGTCGGAATGCCAGGCCAGTGTTGCTTGCATGTGGCTAGATGTGCCAGAGGCCGGGCTCTCAGCCGAAGGACTCAAGTAGAAGTGTGCCGACTCTTTCAAGCTGTTCGCCGGCATGGAGTCAGGCATGCCGAAGCTGATGCTGATGCGTTTGCTATCATTTGCTTGTTCTACCGGTTTCGCAGCGGCGGTAGATCAAGGGGACGTGCCCTAGGGCTCGTCTGTTCAGCCATGCCGCTCGACCTTCAGCAGTGAGGTGCACAAGGCCTGCACACTTTTCTGTCACCGTGCAGAGTTTCGCCAAGCTGCTGTGCCTGCTGATGATGATGATGATGATGATGATGATGATGATGACAATGATGATGATGAGGGGGATGGCGATGACGGGATGATGGTGGCTGAAGAGCAGGCATTTCGCCTGATACATGGCGGGCTCCACCAGCCTTTCTGACTTCAAGCAGCCTCCTGGCAATGACAGATTCCGCCCACATCAACGCGCATAAACTTCCCTGCTGATAACTTTCCCCAGGCTTGCCTTGCTTGGTGAAGGAGCTTATTCCGCGGTGTACAAGGTGCCTGACATTGTTTAGGGTTTGGGGTGTTGGGATGTTAGGGTGGACCTTGGCTGCAGGTCCTTCGCTTGGCGGACAACGAGATTTATGCGTTGAAGAAGGTTCTCGTGATGAGATCGGTTCTGGCACCCTCGTGCTGTGCCCAACCTGGGCAGCTCAGGTAAAGCTACCTTCACTTTCCGACAAGGAGAAACAGAATGCCCTCAATGAGGTCGAAGCCTGAGATGTCTGAGATGTAGAGGATTTAGTAGGTCAGTAGGTTAGTTGGGGCCATGAAGCCCTTTAGCATCCACAACACAGGTTCAGCGCATTGGTGCCCGGTCGTTTGGGGTTGTTCTGAAATGGCTTCGCTTACAGGTGCCCGTTTATACCAAAATCCCTTCGGGTTCTGATGCGAGCCACCAAGCCCAAACAACCCGCTTCGGCTGCCGGGCAGGTAAGGTTGCTTGCATCGGTCAAGCATCCGAATGCCTCGCACCCAGACTTTCTTTGATTCCAGGTGCGCAAAACCCCAATATTTCCTAAAGCCCTAAAACTTAAAACCCTAAACCCTAACTCAGAAACTTGGTTTATCTGTGCACCTTTGGGAACCCATGACTTGGCAGACCCAACTCACGTATTCTTAGCACAAGCTGCGCCACAAAAGCAAAATTGAGCTGGGCAACAAAGGGCGGGCAAGAAAGGGCTTTTGACAGAGGTGGTGGGATATTTGAGGTCGAGGTCACGATGGTGTGTGATGCAACGCTGTTATGGAGTCAGGTCGTGGCTTACAAGGAAGCCTTCTGGGACGACAAGACCCGCTGTCTGTGTATTGTTCAGGACAGTTCGGATGTAACTTTGCTCTTCACTCAGCAAGCTGGACTCAGGGCCAGTAGCCATCCTGGAGGCAAAGGTGACCACGAAGTGAGCCCTGCATTGTGCGAGGAGTGCGCAGATGGCGACCTCCTGCAGCAGATAAACAAATGCAAACAGGAGCGAGCTTACCTGCGCGAGGTGCGGAGAGAGTGATGGTGATTGATGGTGGCCTTTAGAGGCAGGACAGTCTCATAAATGTCCCGTGCAGGCAGATGTGTGGCGATATCTCGACGGAATGTGTCAAGGTCTCAAGGCACTCTCCATCTGTCTTGTATGTCCTCCCTTACATTCCCTCTGTCTCATTTTCGCGCTCCTCTCCTTGTGCAGGCCTTGCATGATATTCGAGTGCTGCATCGCGATATGAAGTCAGCGAACGTCTTCCTGCACCTAAGCCGAACAGATCTGCGAAAACGTGCGGCGCATAGGGAGTACTCTATGGCTCTGCAAGGGCACGGTGTCAGCCTAGCCCCAAGAAACGGTCAACATGAGAGCTTAATCTGATGCGACCCCTGAAGCCGTCCATGTGCTGCTGCAGCACACTCCCGGGCCCCCACAAGATCTCACAAAGTTCGTTGGCAAGAAGTCCGAGGAGTCACACAAAGGATGGGACGGTTGCAAAGCTTGGCGACTTCAACGTTTCGAAGGCAGGGCAAGGGTTCTGGATGCTTCTGTGGATGCTTCTGATGCTGTGACAAGCAGCTCGCCAAAGGTTGCCAAGCGTGGTCTTTGCATGACCCAGACGGGCACACCCTATTATGCCTCTCCAGAAGTTTGGCGAGACATGCCGTACGATGCACTTTGGCTTGACTTAACAGATCTTAACACCATATCCTACACTTGGACCATATCCACACTTGGACCACGCAGCCCATGAAGCTGCAACCCAAGGCGAAAAGCGACATGTGGTCCTTGGGCTGTATCCTGTACGACACTTGCCCTGATTTTGCTGATTTTGTGTACATGTCGTCATGGTAACTTCTCCACCAGTGTGCTACGTGAGTCCGAGGAGATGGTGGCACTCCGACCTCCTTTTCGAGCAGAAGATATGGAAGGGTTGTACCGTGATCTGGCTGCAGACGCCGCAGACGCCAGTAGCTACTGTGATGTACCTGCTACACTCCGGGCACCATGTATTGGATGAAGCGTTGAGGCAAAGTTGTGCGTGGGCAGTACCCACGCATTCCAGCCCATTACAGCAGCTGAGCTCAGCTGTGCGGCTTCGTCTTTTCAGGGGACTGCATATCGTTGCGCGCCTCAGAGGTCAGGACCTCGCGGACGTGATCGCGGCGCTCCTTCAGGTGCGCAGTCGTGGACCACCCGCGTCTGCTCTCATAGCTCTCCCCTTTCAGTGCATGTTTCAGGTCCATCCTCGCAACCGCGGTGACCTTATAAGGGGCTCCCAAATGACAGAAGCCAGGAGTGTGAAAAAGTGTCCCCACGCTGCTCTCTTCTGTTTGTGAGGCCCAGCTGTGGACCAGTTGTACCAAATGCATCAAATGGCCCGCCATTGCACTGGGCTCCCTCGAGAGGAGCGACACCACCGTATCCCACCGTCCTCCTCCATGATACTATGATCATCCTTGAGCTTAAGTAGCTAGCCCTCGCAGCCCTCGCAGTCGCTTTCACGGGGCACACCATGACATGGGAAGGAGAAGTTCACCTCTGATCTTCTGTCCACGATCAAGCTTCCGAAGAACGCCATCGCTGCCTCCTCGGGCTGTGCAAAAGATGCCAAAAACGCCAAAACTTCGCTTGGCAATGGACCTTGGATCCAAGGATCTAAGCGGATGTTTGCCCAAGCCACGCTACCAGATGGACTTACGGGCATTGCCCCAAGAGTGCCCCGAAAGATGAGAGTTCGAGATGGCGGGCTGAGAGCTGAGGATGCGCTTCTTCCTGAAGAGTCTGAGCGCTTCGACGACAGCCCCGCTGAACGACAAGGGCGCAGACTGGGATCAGCACAAGGGCAAGGCCACACAAAAAGGTTGCTTAGTCGGACGGTACTTGGCTATCTTGGCTTCTCGGCTTTGACTGTTTGGAGGCCTTCCTCCGATACCTTCACGGGGAACTCGGAACCTTGGAAGTGCAGGGGGAGCATCAGTGGCCCGTGAGGACGGGTCAGATCGCTGCATGGAGTGAGTGAGCGCAGATCTTCGAAGAATGCCGTCAGGAAGCTGGAGATAGCCTTGACATGTACATGCAGCTCTTTGGCTGCAACTTGAGAGCTGTGCCAGTGTGCCCCTTTCCCAGTCCTAGGCGTGCCGAGGGCAGGGACGAGAGCGCAAGCCGCGCGGTGCCGCGCCGGGCCAGTGGCCCAGCCCAGTCAAAGAGGTTAACGAGTCTAACACTCATGGACACTCTACTGACATTCGGAAGGATCTGTCTGCATCTCGCCCCGAAAGCGATGCGAGCAGCGTTGCTCCGTATCAGGCCAGGTGAGGCTGCAGATGCTTTGATGACCGCATGCACCCGCTGTCAATCGCTGCTCGAGGCTGCCAACGTTGGGCGACAGCCCAGACTTCCGGCGGTTGGAGAATCTCGAGGACCAGTGACCTGCCAACCTGACGTTTATGACATTTAAGTACCATTTAACACGTGGGTCACCGTTTAGCCTTGCCATCCTTGCCTCCACCCTCCGCGACTCGAAGGAGTCACCTTGAATCCTCACTACACCCCGGGGCAGAAGCAGTGGCCTCAGCTACACCTAGAAGCTGAAGATTGTCCACGCAGGAACGCTTGGCAGCTTGAAGCCAAGGCAGCGAGAACCCAGAAGACCGATGTCCATCTACGCCCGTCAGTCGTTGCCCAAGAAGAAGCAGACTCAGATGATTCGGAGTGATCACGTGAAGGATAAAACGATAGCGACGACAACTGCACGCCCTTGGAATTGAAGTTCCTAACCCGTAGAACGGATGCAGGTCACAAGGACGACTCACATAAACGACCAGACGAAGCTAAGCCTGCAGAACAAACACGGGACCATGTTCCTGACCGGAAATCCCGTTGGGCTTTCGACACTTTCCGAAATCCCTTGAGCGCCAAGTGAAGCTGAGAATGTTTCTGCATGAGGCAATATGGTATAGCAGAGTCGAGACCTTACGCGTCTACTTGTCAGGCGCTGAGCATGGTGACGTCACACATTCCAAGGCCTGCGCGGCCTACGGAGAAGGACGAGAGACAGCCGAAAGATTCAGGCCCTGCTGTGGTGTCACGTTCTGTTATTGTTCTATTAAACTTTGCTCTGTTTTTGCTCTGTTGCACATCTTTCTTTGGCCAAGGCAAAAAGCGTTCTCTCATTCCAAGGCCCCCGGCTTAGCCCTTTTGATTGCCTATGCTGCATGCTGCTGTGAAAGCCGGCTCAACCGGGCTCAGGTTGTTTTAGATGGCGGACGGGGGGCCTGCGGTGCCCCGAATGCTGTGACTGTAATTTGGCTGCTGCGCGGTGCTGAAGTACCTTGCGCGAGCCATGTTCTCACTTTGGCAATGGTTATCGCGGTGAGCGGAGGGCCGGAGGGCTCCGAGAGTTGCTGTTTGGGCATCCACTGAACGCGTTGCCTTGAGTTCTTTTCTGCATGGGCTCGCCGCGCCAACTCCTGTGATGGGTCCCCAAAGGGGGCCTGGAGATGCAGTTCCAATACAAAAGCTGCAGAGTACGTTTGGGAGATCGTACTGATCGTGCTGGTATCTCGACAGCGCGTTCCAATACATCTGTCAAGGAGGAATGTGGCGACCGGGTGCTCCGTCGCTTTGGCCATCAGACACTTCCAGCCAGCGATTCCAGCCTCGAGGCGGAGGGCTCAGCTTCTGCACTGCTGATGTGGATGTGCTTGGACGTGAGCAGAGTTCTCAAAGCTTCTGAGATTGGCTTGTGAAGTCACAGGGGCACATGCGTGCGATTCTGCTAGTGCTCGCGCCAGTCCAGATTTGAATTCAGCGCATATTGTGAAGCTGATCTCTACAAGCTGTCATGTCAGAGCACCTTTCTCGAGCAGCCTCGGGTGTTTTCCATGGCGCAAGCTGTGACCTTTCCATGCTGCCCCTAAGGTCATTTCTGCTTTTCAGGATCGCATGGAAGTACCCGTGGAGGCGCCGCAGCATGACAGTAGCAATATAGCTAGCCTTCATATGCCGTTGCGCAGCATTCGCCGCGCTGTCCGTGATGTAGCTGTAAGCTGTAAGCGCTTGGCGCGCAGAAGGAACAACTCCAAGCCACTGGACGTTAAGTCGGCGGTCCTAGCGGTGCACCTCGGAGTTTCCATTCCGCACGGTCGGGTTGCAGATGCGACAAAAATGAGTGCGGGTCAAGGAAAAAGCAAAAGACACCGGAGAGCTTCCGACCCGTTAAGCCGAAACCTTGCGTATGTGATCTTGCCGAAAGTCGTTTCGGCTTGCTGGCAGACCCTGAACACCTAATGAACAAGAAAACCTTGCAGTTGTGCGCAATCTTCATTGCATTTGTTGTTCGTGCACATCTGCCTGATGTTAAGTGTGGGTGGGGTGGTGGAAGCTGGCAGAAGAAGTCCAGAAGACAGCAGAGCGAGGGTCCGGGTGGTATCCTTCAAAACTCAGGGTCCAAGGTTCCCATCATTTTCAGTGTTTTACGTTGTCTGTTGGACCAGCCGACCGGACGGCCCGCCCAAAGACATTGGATGGCCGCTCTGCCCCGAGCAAATTTGGTAGCTCCCACAGGAGTTGGGGTGGCTGCTTGTTCCAGATGCCTGTCGGTGGATGCAGCTCTTTCCGCGAACATCTTCTTTAGAAGGGTGCCATTCATGCACCTGCACCATTTTGTCGGTTGCTGATATTTGTTCCATTCGTTCGACGGTTGGCTGCATATGCAATGGCCTCAGCACGCAGGCTGAAGGATTCATACTGTGGCATGCTCGAGACGACGGTGACGTCGATGAGGTCGCTATATACAAGGCCACGAAGTGAACTGCAGCCTGAGGAACGTTCTGTTTCCAGGCAGTTGCCGAGATCCAGGAGCTTGCCGAAACCAGTGAGGCCGGGGGTGGTACGCTCCCCACCTCAATCGACCAGTAATCGACTCTCTACGGCTCTACTGTGTGGACTCCTCTCTGTGCAAGGCCCAAGCCGAGGCTGCCGAGACGGGGACGGCAGGATATCCCCGGGAGCATCCCCAGGAGTATCCCCGAGCTGCGCATGAGCCGCGCGAGGGCTTCACGTACAAGGCAGTGCCTCCCTAAACCCTTCCTGTCGTGTACTCTTTTGAAGGCTTTGAGATCCCGTGAGCTGCAAGGCGGTGCAGCGCCGGGGAGTGCGTGCGCTGTACCTGCGGACAGTACGCCGTCAGATCGAGTACTACTTCTCTGACCGGGCTGCACTTGCTTTGTGGTTCTGGAGTGAGTTTGGGTTCGGAGGGCCATGAGGAATCCTGACATCAGGACAAAAACCTCAAGCAAGATTGGCCTCGCTGGCGGACTTTGTACTCCGGCAGGCCAATAGACTCAATAGACTTTGATTCGACCCCCCAGTCTGCCAGGTTTTTTCAAGAGAAGATTCTCGAGGCCGGAGCATGACCCTTCAGCGGCTTTGGTGTAGACACTGAGGTTGCAGCTCAACTGGTTGTAAAGAACTGGTTGGGAACGTCGGCCAAACTAGTTCGCTTGACCACGTGGGTTTCAGGACAATAAAGGTGCTCAGTTCGCATGCCTCGATTTCTATGATCAATGGAATATGGGCGGGTTAGCCGTGCTGGCTGCATGCATCTGACCACCCTTTCATCTGATGAACGAGTATGTTCACCGAGCACCCGGAGGCGCCTGAGCCGGAGTGGCTCGAGATGCGCTGGATCCTGTCGTGCCCACGCATTCGGGATGTGCATCGCTCCCCGGCGTGCATGTAGCCCCAGTTCCTCTTGACATTGAGTGGATCTGGAATAGGGAGGGATTCTTGGCAGCAAGTAAGCTCTGATGAGGTGCCTCCCTGCAGGATGTCCTTGAAGCTCTCGGACCCTCGAGCCTTAAAGTCAAGGTGCGGGCGCGTCTCAGGGTCGATGCACTTCTTCTTTTACATAGAGCGAATGCATCTGCTTTGGCTCTTCTTTCACTTTCCACTTGCGTTGTGTCACGTTGCAGAATCTTTGCAGAGCTGGAGTCCATCGCTGGTGCTGTCGAACATATCACATATCCATCGCAGGCTTGCGGCGGCACGCACTGGGTTCGAAGGCGACGTGAACATATCGCGCAGAGAGTCGCAGTGAGACACTTGCAATACCTGACGCTCGTAGCTACCGATGGCATCGCGGCTGTTGCAAGCAGATGCGTTGTGGCGATAATCAGAATCTCCATCCATCCGTTGCATCCTGGGTCATGCCCATCTCGCCGCGAGGAAGAAACCAATGCCGACATTGAAGGAAAGCCGCCGGGCCCTTTCGGCCCTTTCGAAGTTTGTGCTTTCCATGGCTCGAGGTCACACAGCAAATAGTTCATGGTCGTCAACGCTTACAGTAGTTGAAAGGCAGGCAGGCTTGTGGAAACTCGAAGATGTGGCAGTCTCGTGGCGAACATGTCGATATGCTGCAAGCATCTATGAAGGAAGTGCTCTAATTACCGAGGCCCGGTCAGAGGACAGGAACCGGAGTGGTATGCGGCTTGTCACGAACGGATGATGTATCGGATGCAGTTTAGCCTTGGGAGTTTCCGTTTCCTGCAATTGGCTTGTAGCTATACGCATTGGATGTTCGGAGGTTCGGTTGCATGCTCATGCAGATGCACAAGGCTGCTACTGCTACAGACGCCACGCACTCCCTTGTGCTGTCATGCGTTCAAAGATGGCCTCCGAAAACGCCTGACCGATTGCGTGGGGTCAACACAACTGACTGTTCGAAGTCTACTACTGTTTTGCCCTGTGCCCCATAAGATGCAACAGCCTCAATATGCAGCAGGTGACGCCGCCCCTGCCGAACCTCCAGAGGCAGAGGAGGAAGGCTGCAAGGCCATGTCTTCTGCCCAAGACGTCGGCAGTTGGCTCGGAAGGTGAGTAGGTCAACCCTCCCTGTCTGTCCAGCCACTTGTCACAGAGGGCCTTGTGCACACAAATTGATGCTGGCCTTTGTGGATAAAGCCATGCCAGTGTGCTGCCTGTCACCGCTACAAGCCTCGCGAGCACTTCAGCAAGGCCCACGCCCGCTCTTTGGCTTGTCATGTCATCATTTGTCCAATCAGTTGCCAGCTACACTTACATTGCACGACGACGAGGCGCAGCTTACCAAGCATCGGAGGACGCCGAAGCGTGGCATGCTGTAAACTTATACTTATTGGCCTTCATGCATGTCACTCATCTACAACTTAGTAAAAACTTGTGCTTGTTTCTGAGGGTTGTTGCTTTGGCACAGCGCTTGACGTCACATGGACCATGCAGGAGTCCAACTTGCAAAGAGTGCTTGTCAGCGGCTGCTTCGTGAATTGTTTTCCTGCGCTTCTTGAAGCAAAAGAGTTGTGCGCGTGCCCAAGTCCGAGGAGACTTTGAGCATGGTTCTGCGTCTGCCTTGAAGCTGATGTGTTACATGATGTGTCTACGCGATAATGCTGTGCTCAACAACTCCGCACCTTGGATTTGAACCGGGTATCCAGCTGCAAAATTAATGCCCCTGGCTAACTCTTGCTTGAGGAATCCTGAAGACTTGCCAACCTGGGAAGCAGAGCTCTTCAAAGTTACTCTTGCTGGTGCAGATTGCAGGCAAGCGGCCCTACATTGGTGCACTTCGGCCGGCCTGCGGGCATGTGTGTAGCCGCTCCCTCAAAGAGCAACTTTCGCAGCAGTGTGGGCGTGTCAAGTTTTGAGGAGCGTTTGGGGCTTAACCGGACTCTCAAGCTGAAGCAGGTCAACCCTTCCGCACCTGCAAAAGCCGAGGCTGAAAGCGCCTGTTTTGCTGTTCCTTGCAGTTCATGTTCCATCACGTTCTTCACTTTGAAGTGTCGGAAATCCTGCGGGGGAAGTAGAGGCCCAGGTAGGTCTTGAAGCCGCGGGGGGGACACAGTAGTAGCAGGAGCGAGTGAGAAAGAAGGATCGTGCGCAACGACCCAAGGTCACGAGACTCGCTCTCGTTAGGTGTGGTTTTTTTGGCTCCATGATGACAGCAGTCGAATGATAGAGCCGCCCCCACACATGGAAGATGCACACGATCGCTACAGACAATCGCGCAAGGACACAAGGAACCTGAGCTGTGATACAAGTAGCAGTGATGCGAGCTGCTAGCCAAAGACGACATCCCAGTCAATTCTACGTGCGTTCATGGCGCTGATCCCATCGTACCGTGGATCCCCTCTGGTTCACAGAGCCTGGAGGCGCCTCAACATGCAGTTCGAGCTGCTTCGAGCTGTTCACCCGACACAAACTTGTACCTGAGAGGCCGCCCCTGCGACATGAGGCTTTCTTTGAGCCTCAAATTGGAAGCAGCGCGGAGCCCCAGAGCTCGAATCTTACCAAAAATCTCGCCCTGAGCCGACATTGTGTGGGACTCAACCGAAGCAGCGGCGATACAAACTGCCTCCCGCAGCCCGCGGCCCAGAATGGCCCAGATCAAAGCGCCTGGTTTAGGTGAGCCTCAACGTTCGTGGTCCTCGACGAGCTTCGCACTGTGGTGTGGTTGTCTGCCGCTGTCCCAGAAAGCTCAGGACCATCAAGACATCTGTAACCCTGAAGCTTGTTGCGTTTTGAGGTGCTTCGCGGCCCGCAAACGGAGCTCGCCGAATGTGGCGAGACCTTCGCAGGCTGTTGGCAAAGAAGGTGCTCTGAAGACTCTGAAGTCTCTGTGCTCTGTGTCTTCAAAGAGAACCCGAAAACATAACATGACTAGCACGGTCATGCCAAGCGGGCACCCTGGGCTGCAGTCGCGAAAGATCCACGCCCTGGAGAAGGGTGGGGCGGCGTGATACGAACGTCTCGGGACCGCCATGAAACCGTGCCACTTGTGGCTTTTGCATCTTTTCTGCAGCTGACAGACCTATACGTTGACCCACTCGCTACACACTTTGAGCAGGACCAATATGGCGGTTTGACCAGTTGCTCGGGCTTGAATTTATGCATTTTTATGCGCAACTGATGTTCGATTGGCTGCAGCTTCGCGCAACACTCACCCATGCCAGAAGCCTACCGCATGCCACTGCCCGCTGACGTGGACGACTTCCACATTCCACCCTTCAGCGTTGTGGGCTCAGACCATCAGTGCTGAGGAAAGCCTATTCGCAAAAACATTGAAACCAACTATTTCCAACGACCTAAGGTGCTTATGAAGATGGTCAACAACCGCTCTCCCGAAGAAGCTCTGAAGCACATGAAGGAGAAAGAGCCGCCTCAGCCTCCGACACTGTGTTTCGTGCGCGGCTTTCTGGTTCAACAGTTTTTAGGGTTGAGGGTGTGGTGACCAGTGTGGTGCATGAGGTGGAGGCTGAAACGCCAGCTCGGCATCTACTCTCCTACGCCACAGTGCGCCCAACTGCCTTTCACTGCGCCTCTGACTGCGCTTGTGCTGTTCCTGCTGGTCCAAAGGTATCAGCCGCTGCAGTACATCGAAGACAAGCCTTTCTGGCAGAGCAGCAAATTTGTCAAGAGGCCATGTCCTCGTTAATTACCTGACTTGTCATCCTGATGTTTGGAACAAAATTCATGCTTCTGATTTATTCTTGTCAGGAAGATGAAAAAATATTACGAAGCGCAGCTGATCAAGCGGATGGAGCAGGAGCTGTCTATGCCTAGTCGAGGTTTTGTCGACATGCGGCGGACAGTGTCTTGCTTCCGACACAAGGATGGGATAAACCTGCGATATCTTCCAAGCCCGAAAGATCGCCTCGAGTTGGCAGGCAGGCTTAAGCTGCGAACTGCATGGAGCAGCTATAGCTGTGAGCCACTCCACATCATCACTCCCTCTTGACGAAGTGCCCACGATGTCGAGCTCACATCATGTACTCGTACTACTGTGCTTGGCACTGCATCAAGATTATGCACTCCGATTTCAAGCACACTAAGTGATGCTTTGCAAATCTTTTGCCTGGCATGCTACCAGTTTCAATTGCTAGCGGCCACTTCCAAAGTATTGCGAGAGCGGCCTCTCCTTTTGCCACCAATATTGTTTAATCAAGACATCGCACTTTTCCGCACTGCGCACTGGTTGATGGTACTAGTAGCAGCACGAGGCACACAGCTCCTGGGCGGCATCAATGGTTTCAAGGCGGCTCCAGACGAAATTGGATGCTGCCAGTTTTGCTGCAAACGCTGGCAGTGAATGCTGTCAAATGCTGAAATGTATGGTGCGAAAGACGTGTAAAGGTGGAGAAGAACTCTTGGAAGAAATTGGCATCTATGAGCGCCGAGGAGATTCTGGAGGCTCCAAAGCTACCCTCCGCTCTTCCTTCAAACTGTCACTACTTCACACCAGGCCGCTAGTGACCAGCGATACCTCCGATTGAGTCCGGAGCCTGTCGTTTGCATTTTCTCTGTTTTGGGTGCTATTGGCAAGACGGGTGGTATGATCTCTTGGACTTTGATTTCGCCTAGATCGCCACAAAGTTTGTGAGGCGCTGCCAGCAAGGACATTCCGATTGATTGGCGACCTGGCTACCAGACGACGGCCCGCAGCCCAAGAATGGCGAAGCATGGCTGCGAACAGTGAGACACAGACCTACACAGACTCAAACGCGGCGAGGCTATAAGGGACCTGCAGCTGCAGCACATGAAGCGGGTTGACGTCGTCATCGAGGCATGGAGCAAAAAAGATTGCTGTTGAGCGAATTTTGCGATGAGCTGTTTCGGGCTTTCTGGTAGGTGCGAGATGCCCGCATTCCCTGGACAACAACCCATCCCGATGTCCCAGGCGCCGTGCCAGTTGCTTTCTGCCCCTAAACTCACTAAACCCTAAACCCTAAAGTTTCACGAGGTAGTGCATGTCGAGTAGCAATCAGCGCAGGGTGGGCGCGTCCCCGGCCTCGGGTCATCGTGCTAACCAAAGCAGATCTTGTTCCCCGAGCAGCACTTGAGGACACCGTGAACTTGCTGACATGCAATGGGCATTTGTGGGCATTAGTTCGGGTGTGTGAGAGAGAGTGAGAGTGAGAGGGAGTGCTGCAAAGTGCACAGGAAACAATTCGCTACATCAATGAGAGCGACCGTGACCGGGGAGTGCCTGTAATTCCGGTCGATGCTTTGCTGGGCACATTTGGGATCGAGGAGAAGCAATGATCGACATACTTGGTGCTTATCATCACTTATTGCATCTCAATGTTTTTGTCTGGAAGGAGCTCCGAACAGAGTTGCTCAAAGCTGGTGCATACGTCAACCGAAGGATAGCTGCTTGATGGCAGAAAGGAGGAATCTCATGCAACAGTTGACAGGCGAAAGCGCAAGGGCATCAATCCACGTGCCATTCGAACAATGATGCTGCTCGCCTTCCAACCAGACTTGAAGCGTTCGTAGGAATGCAGGCCCACACACAATGATCATACTGACTCGAATGCAAGGATTGGCTTCCCAAACGCTTGGGCCTCGGGGAAGATCTGGGAAGTTGCCTGCACATCAGCTTGCCAAGCCTGGCCCCGGACTCTGTAAGGTCGGGAAGTCCTCCATCATCAATCGACTGACCGGGCGAAAAGTTGCTGCTCGGGTAAAGCTGGGCATGTTTTGAGCTGACAAGACATGTTCTGATCTCTGAGTGGATGAGAAGCGGATGTTGGATGGTGGTGATGAGGGTAAACAATTCGAACCCTACGAGTCTTAAACGGTATGAACTCTGATGATGATCATCATGATCATGATGAGGAGGATGCTGATGATGAGGAGGAGGATGAGGATGATGACGATGACGATGACAATGACTCTGCTGATGTCTGGAAATGCTTGCGAATGCCAGAATGGCCGGCCGGGCTTGACGAAGCGTCTCACTTGGCACAAGATTGGCGGTTTCAGGACCGTCGAGCTGAGATATGTTTGGGAGACATGATAAGCTGTTTCGACGTAGCTACAGCTGTTTAGCATGGCCTTGGCACGTCAGCTTGTCGCGCGAGGAACACGGAGCTGGAGTTTTTGGATTCCCCCGGGTTTATCCCTGTGGGCTTCGGCAGGCGCTACACTAAGGCCCGAGTTTCTGCTGAGGATCAACATGCATCGACGTATAGGACAGGCTCCAGGTATAGCATACAGCAGCTCGTCCTCGTTCCAGGAGCAGCAGGAGCTACTGTGCATGTGCCGCATCTTCGGCGAGAAGGCCAGGGCCTTGGGTCGCAAGACGACACGCTGGACGGGCTTCGCAGCCTCGGAAGCTGTGCCACGGAAGCTCTGCTGCCAGCACGTCGACCGGCAGCAGACGGGTTACGACTTGGTCACCCGACTGGGCAAGGAGCTCCGAGTCATGCCCAAGTCAGAATCTGTGAGCTTGAGTTGGCAAGTGCGCGGCCGTGCCAGTTGTGGAAAGAGAGCCCTCACATGATCGAGAAGACTGCTACTTCGCTGCAAGCTACTGCAAGTTGACAGGGATTGTGCATGCGGCCTTCTCTTGTTCGCTCTGGTGTCCAAGGTGTGGAGAGAGACAGAACGCATCTACGGTGTGGATCTTCAAAAAGCCATCAGGCTGATTCTTACGTCTTGAATGAACTGATCTGGGCTGTCGTCCGATGAGAGTAGTTTGCGGTACACAGATCGCTGGTAGGCACGAGGGGCCCCTTCTTCCCAACTTCGTGCCTGTCCTGCCCTCAGACGCGCGGATGCAGGTGAGGTCTGTCGCGGTTCGGGCACAATCACTGGATGCCGAGAAAGGTCATGAATCCGGACCCGTTCCTCGGAAAAATGATCAATGACTTCAATCGTGGCCAGCCCGGCGACATCCGGCGACCACAGTGCAATAAAATGGATATCCCCAACCCCAGTAGGCCCAACAGCTTCACAGAATCGAAGCGATGCTGATCGCCAGGGCGATGGGGACGGATTCAGCTGGAGGCAGCGCCTCGTGCGCCCGTGAGCCTCCAGGAGTTTGGCTAAGCCTTGAAGGTGATGTTAAAATGAACTGAAAATTCCCAAGAACCAATTAAAGAAGGAAAAATCGCCCTAGATACCTGGGGAACTTCAAGTGAATGTGCCTTGCACGTTTATAGCCAGATCCCACCCGACCTCCAGCGCAGCTGAGGAGCCGAGCTGTGGGGCTTCGCTTTATTATTTAGGGTTCGGGTTTAGGTTTAGATTTAGGGTTTAGGGGCAGGGCAAGGGTTTAGAGTTTAGGGTTTGGGTTTACACTTAGGGCGAGGGTTTAGGATTAGGGCAAAGATGTTTGAACCATTGAAGTTCGGTTCTGGTCGCGCCGGGCGCAAGCGAGTAAAGCTCTGGGAAATATCAGACGACCATTATGAGGCCGAAAATGCCTTAAATTTTGCATCCAAAACAACTTGTATAAATGTTTTGTGACAAGTATAGAACAGGCGACGATACGACTGGCAAGGGAATAAACGGCTTACAAGAGTGTCGTTAAGGCCTTACCGGGTACAAGACATCTGTGTCTGTCGCATCACCTGCCATCTCGCCGCTCTCGGGTCGGGCGATCGGTCGAGCTCCCCCTCGAAGTCACTATGTTGGATTGGGGCGAATTTCCTGTTGTACACCCCCAACACGTGCCAAAGCAACACGTCCTCCTCTAACCCCATGGCGCCCCATTCCAGCCCCTGCATGCGCGGCAACCAGCTGCCTTCATTCGATGCGCAGGGCGCAAGACATCCACCAACACGTGGCCTGAAGCCCCATCCTTCACCCTCACCCCAAAGGCCTCAAACCTCTTTTTTGCTGGCTCCTAAACCCTACCCCTAAGCCCTGCTGGGCTCACGTACACCCTAAACCCTTCTGAAAAACCCTCACCCTCAACCCTAACCCGAAATCTCCCCAGCTCCCGAACAAAGATCTTGAAGCCTCCTGACGATTCCAGGTCACCTTCCTCCCTGCGTGCCGCTCTTCCAGTACGCGCGGAGTGAGCTGCTTGTATTTAGGGTTTGGTTTTGGGTTTAGGGTTTAGGGTTGTTCTTGAGTTTGGGGTTCCCCGTTTCTGATGCGAGTTTCTTTGCTTTTGGGGAAAGCGTTGGCCCTGGCTGGAGCCCGGGCTTCTTTGTCTCTAGTGGGTTAAAGGCACATGTTCTCCCTTCCCCCGAAGGCTGTCTGCTGCTGCCTTGACATCGCCCAAAGTTCACTTTTCCCCCGCGCTTGGTCTGGGTTGCACCTTGGTCTGGGTTGCTCCACGAGCCTATCCCAGACCCCTTTGTTACCGAGTTACGGGGGGGTTGTCTCGCTGCCTGCGCTTTTTGCTTGGGGGTTGTTGGTTGTATCATGTCGTTCTCCATTCCTATCCCAGACCCCGGTCTGGGTTGTCTCCCCTCTGGCCCCTGCTCGCTTTTCCCCAGAACGCTTGGTCTGGAACGCTCCTTGTCTGGGAGTTCCTTGTTCATCCCGAGACCCACTCTCGAGCCCGGGCCCTCTACTCCTCGCCGAGTGCTCGCTTTTCACCAGAACGCTTGGTCGCTGGGTTGCTCGCTACGTCTTCCCCACTTCTATATCGACCCCTCTTCTCACTGGGCCCATCTGCTGGTCACTGGGCAGACCTTTCTCTCGCCTCGTGGCCCAGTCCGCCCTCCCCATCTGCTGCTTGGCTGCAAGTTCTTCGTCTGCACGCTGCGAGGCGTAGCCACCCGAAGGGGCTGTGGGTTCAAGTGAAACAAAAGCTTACTAAAACTGTGGGGTGAAACAGTTAAAAGAACACGACTCCCGAGCCCCCTTCAGGGTAGCCCTTAGCAACCTGTAAGACTAGTGTGTCTCACTTGCCCAGGTCCGACTTCACCGACATCTTTGGCTCAAGACGGAAAAGACACAGTCTTGTAGTGAAGCCCCTTTCTGTTCAGGTTGGGTTGAGGTTTCGTCTGTTGCCTCTTCCCTTGGGATCACCTCCCTCCTGTGTTTGGGGCTCACTTAACTGGTTATCAGCCGTAGCTTTAAGCTGCGGTTGTGAGACCGTTTTGGGTGCAGCCTTTGGCGCACCAAGTGTCGTGTCACTTTCCCGGGGTTCATGCAACAACAGCCTCCGCAACCAACTCGCGGTACCCGGGGAGGAGTAAAGACACGAAAGCGCGACTATTATCAGAACCAGGACCTCGTGATTGACCAGGCCTGGCAGATATTTAGAGCGAGCTTGTCGCGCATACCGTGGGACCACGCCACAGCCGAACTTTCCAACTTGCTGAGCACCTTCGCGGAGGAGTTTGAAGTGGACGCTTCGGTTCATAGCCTTCGGGCCCTCACCGTGTGGGGACAGCTGGCGCGCTACTATCGCCCATTGCGGCGCCTTGAGCACGCGCAGCGGGCAGGCATTGGTCGTTACGATCCCGTTCCGAAACCAAGGGCCAAGGCAGCAGCAAAGGCCGCAGCTCCTGCGCGGCAAGGGCCAGGACCAGCACCTGCGGACACTGTCCAGGGTGCTGCTCCAAGCGCACCGGCAGTGGCCGCAGGTGCACCTGTTGCTCTTGCAGCGCCGGAGCCGGCCGCACCGCACGCTGAAGCGCCCGAGGCCCCTGACGCATCGCCTGACGAAGCACCGGAACTTGAGCGCGCAGGTGGCAACGTTGACGACGAGGTGAGTTCATCGCAGCCAACGGTTAGTGTGGAGGAGCACGTCGCCCCTGAAAGTGCGGTCGAAGACGTAGGAGTTGCGCATCAGGAAGGAGGTGAGGAAGAGGAGCTGGATCAGGACGAAGAAGTGAAGTCTGAGCCTGAGAGCATTTATCAGCCGCTTCGCCCTGGTTCGGGTTCTCCTAGATCTAGGTCCCCCCCGGGTGACCCTAAGGCCTCCTCCTCAAGCCGTTTAAGTGCACGTGGTCAACCCCTAATCCTCCATCCTCCGACCAAAGCCTTTCCTACTGTGAGGATCGATTCCTCGGGAGTGTGGGTCAGGCAGTCAGGACCACCCTCAGTTCCTGTCGCCATAACTGACCCACATCCTCAGAACGAAGGGGAAACAAGCTCACAGGAGTTCAGTGGTGAGGAGCACGAGCTCCCTGACGAGGCTTGGTTATATCCTGCGTCCTATAGACGCTCACATCGTCAGCCTGGTGTTCCTCGCGGCGTAGAACAACACACCATAGGAACTGCCGAAGAAGACGCCACCTTTGGCGAGCAGCAGGCAAAAGGTTCCAGGCGTAGGCCCGCGTCCGCCCCTCTCCCTTCCACCAAGGTCCGGCGCACCGAGTCTCCTGCAACCTCAAGGGTGCTGCCTAATTTGCCGCAGAACCCTGAAGAGGCCCAACCTTACGAGGGCGAGATTGCTCCGCGCCTGGTTGCACCTAGGATAGCCTCCAACCCTAAGGTTACCCTAACTCAAGGTGCCAGTGCCCGCCCTCCTGCTGCAAAGGGGGTCCTTCGTGTCGCCAGAACTCCACCGCAGCCACCGCCTGCAAAGCGTCCTGCTCCACACCTTCCTTGCCGCCCAGCACAAGAGGCCGAGGCCGAGCCACTTTCGCTTTTGTCTAGGGCTACCATTTGGGCCGAGAGGGAGGCCAGAGCTGCAAAGGCCGCTTCTCCCAAGGTTGTGCTTTTGGCAAAGGGTGCTGCTGCGCCCAAAGCGCACCAAGGTCCCCAGGCTGAGGTCAAGCAAAAGGCAGGGCCAGCTCAACGCGGACGGTCCTCGTCCCCTGCAGCCGCAGCCAAGGGCACTTCCACAGGCCGTGCCAGGTCCACAGGCGATCGGACAGACAACGTTTTTGTTGCAGCCCCATTAACAGCCAGGGAGCGGGGTTCACCAACGGCAAAGGCACTTGCGCCTCAGGTAGCAGCGCCCCGTTATAAGGTACCCCCAACCGACCGTCAAGGGGTTCCCTATAAGATAGCACCCGGCCCTCCACCTAAGGCAAAGGGTGCTGCCGCAAGCGCGCCAACATATAAGGGTCCCCCTAGCGAGGTTTACTTAGCTCCCCTGCGGAAGGGTTTTACCCCGCCTGTGCCCAGGAAGGCACCGCCTGGAAGTGTTGAGCCGGTTCACGCCCAAAGGCAGGCTTACCATCATTGGCATCAGAGCCAGGCAGCGAACCCAGGTCTTGCCTCGCCTCCAACGCAGCTGCTTCCACCCAATCCAATATCTTCGCCTCCGGCCGTCAATCCAGATAGTCGAAGACCCATTACCGTTGTGCTGGATTGGAAGGATACCTTGTCCTTGGATTGGCAGGAGAAAGGGCAGAAGTTCGGTCCTAGCTTCATCGCTGACTTTCGAGACTTTGCACTGGAATTCAGGCCCATTAACGTCCAGATATTGTCGTTTACGGGTCACGCGAACGCACATACTTACGAGCAAACGTGTCTTGTGCCCGCGCAAAGGGAGCTGCTAAAAGCGCTCCAAGACATCAGTGCAAACAGCAGCGTTAGGTACCAACAGTGCTTCAGCCGCACTGGTGCAGGTGGGAAAGCAGTGCTGCTTCACACATACAGTCCGCCTACGTCGGCAATCGTCGACGACAATCTCCAAATTCTGGAGGAATCCAGTCGCACTGGCTGTTGGACCTACAGGGCGAACGAGCCAGGCACGACCAGGTCAATAGGGCACTTGCTTACACAGCTCGCGTCTGACCTGCGCCGAGTGGGGCGGCATAACGCTCCCCTAGCACGCGCGCTCACACCGAGCGAGTACGTCCGAGACCCTCGAGCAGAGCCGCGTCACAGTTGGAGGTAAAAGGTTGCCCGCTCCAGCGCCCCAGGGTGCTGCTCCCATAGCGCACCAAACCTACTTAATAGGTTAAGGGTGCTCGGGTTTAACTGCCTCCGTCTTCTTTTACCTGCTACAGCCCGGGTGGCCGAGCCCACACATCCCAATACCGTGTTGCGCCCAAAACGGGTGCTGCCCAAGAAGCACAAGCCATAAGGTTTAAAGCCTTGGGTTGGGTAGGGGTCACCTAGGTGCAAGCATCCTTCGCCAAAGGGCCGCCGCGCCCATCACATCTTTTGCGTCAGGGCCGCCGTGCCCAACACATTCTCCCTCTGCATCCGGGCCGCCACGCCCAACGCACTTCCGCTGCAGCCCCTCCATAGGGTGCTGCTCCAAGCGCACCGGGGCTTTAGGGTCCTAGTGCTTTTGGATTTGGGTTAGTGGTTTCCTGGTTGTCCATCTTTCACAACACTTTTGCACTGCGCATTTTGCGCCATAGAGACAGCGCGTCTCTTGTTCTCTTTCGTTCTTTGTCGCTCGGGGTGCTGCCACAGTGCGCGCCGCTGAAGCTTCCGTCCGCGCCGCCTGCGAAAAGAGAGGCGAGCCTCCCTAAGTCCCTAAGGGTTTCCCTAAGGTTCTGTTTGGGGGTGTGGTGATTTGAAGTTAAGGGCGTTTTGGCACAAACCATTGGCCCAAGGGGACGTGAACCCGACATGGCGTCAGGCATGTCCCCACCTTCAGATCCCAGGTCTAGGTCAACGCATGATTCCTTCAGCGACCCCGATCTGGCACCACCCATAAGGAATAGGCACGCTCTAGTTCCTGCAGCTTCCACGATAGTACGTAGTAGGCAGCAACAAGCCCGAACCCCAATGCGTATCGGTCCTGCTGAGGCGTCATCGTCATCGGGTACCCCCAATAGGGCACCGGAGCTAAGCGCAACGCAAGCTACCTTCCTAGCAGGTGCAGCCATTCAGCAGGCGAGCCATGCCTCAGGAGTAGCTCTAGAAGCGGCGTCCGCGGCACAGCACTATGCGGAGCGTGAACAGTTCATCACCCAGCAAGCGCGTGAGGCTGTTCAAAGCATCGCGGCCCGAGCGGCGCAAGAACAACAGCAGCAAGCAGAACAAGTTGCTCAGTACGAAGAGTCACTCCGTGCTCAAGCATCCAACATAGCGAGTGCAGCACAATGCGCACTGACCAACGCCCAACAAAGGGAAGAGGTCCTAAGGCTTCAGGCTAACCAAGCGTTGTCCTCAATGGACGCAGAGGCTCAGCGAAGAATTGCCGAGGCTTCCTCACAGGCACAGCAAGCCGAATACGCGAGGGTCGAAGCCGAAAATGCTATGAAGGATGCCAGAGAAAGGTGGAGGATGTCGGAAATTCGCAACACAGAGATGTCCCGTGAGGTAGAGGCATTGCGCGCTGAGCTTTCGACAGTTCGCGCTGAGACATTGTCCCGCGTAAGCGCCTTAACGGAACAACTTATGGTTGCTAGGGATCAGGGTTTTGAGGTTTATCCTCCTACCCCTCTTCCTATGGGAACTCCAACAATGTTTGTTCCCGACGAAGTCCCTCAATCCTTTCCGCAGCCCGCCTTCTCGCCCGCGCAAAGCCCAAATGCTACGGTTTCTCACCCAATTGCCATCCCTGTCGCTGCAGGTTCCGGGGCACAAACCCCGACTGCGTCTGCGCAACCAGATGCCTTGCCCTTGCCCCGAGAGGGTGCAGCCAGCAGCGCACCGGGGATTCAGGTAGCCATGACACAAGATGTTCAGGAAGCTACCTTGCCAAATAGTGGTTTGGAACTTCGGGTTGACGAGCTTGCAAAGTTGGTAAAGGGATTAGCTGAAGTTGTAATGGCTCAAAATGCAGCACCGCAAACCCAGCACAACGCAGGGGGTGCAGCTGGCCAGAGCGCACCAACACAAACTGGAGGAGCCCAATCCTCTAGTGCGCCAGCCGATATCCCATACCTTCACTTGCTTGGAAACCTGCAAGCTGCAGGAGGTGCATCCGCTCCAGGACCTCCAGGTCCGCCGAGCACAAGCTCCTCATCGTCCAGTTCGAGTTCCTCGAACTCGCCTAAGCATCCTACGTGCCGAATGTGTGGCAGCCGCGGCCATGCGGAAGTGGACTGTCCACATCTCACCATGAACCAAGGTGGTGGTGGTGGGGGCGGTGGTGACGAAGATGATGAAGGGAAAGCTCTAAGCGCATCAGCATCGGCCGCAAAGTCGCCAGCAGATGAAGAAGAAGAGGTCATTAGGGTTAAAGCCATTTCTGATCTCACCTTCCCAAGTCCTCCTGAGAATGCAGGACAGGCAAGAGGTTTCATCAACCAGGCACTTGTTGCCATAGGGCGCGTGCAGCGTTCTCCCGGCAATGAAGTGTACATCTGGGCTCAGGACTGTCTGACAAAGACGGACCAGGAGCTGATCCGGGATCAAAGGTTTCCTCGCCTTCAAAGAGAGATTGCAGCCAAGCTACTTAAGGTTTGTAGAAAGGGCCGCTTTGGGCTCCTGTTTCAGCAGATGGTCGAAAGAGAGCGCATAGACACTGGTGGCATGCCCAATGGGCGCTGCATGCTGCGCGCTATCTTCAAGCATTTTCAGCTGGAGCATGACCGTATAGGTATGCTAGGCGAACGCAACCTCCTCAACATTAGGCTTGCCGGGGATGGTCCGCATCATCTTGAAGCATTTCGCGACAAGTATCAGTATGTACTTGCCACCATTCCCGTAGATGAGCTTCCCAAAGAAAGCACAATGTTCAATCATCTCATAGATGAGCTTGATAAGAACAACGCGCTCAAGCCCAAAATTGAGAAAGCTCGGGAAGCTAGGCCGGGGTCACACAGGAGAACCTGCAAGTGGCTGTGGAATCGGGTCGACATCGTTCTCGAGTTGCACCAGCAAAAGGTCAACAGGAACGAGTTCGATAAGAACCTTCAGGGCAAACCCGAGGTTTTGACGTCGACGTCAAAAGGTCAGGACGCCAGGACTCCTGCGAATCCTGCCCCTCCGACCACACCGGCTGCTCCAGCCAAGCCTGATGGAAAGCCCAAAAAGGAAAAGAAGAAGAAGAAGGCAAAGGGCAGCGAGGAAGTCCCGGCAAACCCTGCTGCTACTCCCAAAGGTGGCAAGGGCAAGGGCAATGGCACCCCACGCAACGGCACCCCTAGGGGTACTCGCGGCGGTGGGAACAAGGGCGGCGATGGGAACACCACACCTAGGTCCGAACAGGTCCGCCGTGCCAGTCAAATGTCCGACGCTGAGAAGGCGAAGACCCCATGCATGTTTTATGCGTATGGTGCGTGCAAGGGCAGTCCGTGCCCCTTCCTCCATGACGACAACAACAAGTATAAGGGTCCTAAACCAAAGTCATTAGCAAAAGCGAAGCCGAAAGCTAAGGCAAAGGCCAACGCCGCGACAGCTCCACTCCTCAGCGCAATGCCCATGCACGTTCCCAGTGACAACAAAGTCACGTGGCTTTGGGATACCGCAGCCGGCAGGCATCTCATAGGCAGACAAGCTTTGTCCTCCAGGGCGCTCGCGTGCGTCCGCAAGACCGACACGCCTGTTGGTTTTGCAACTGGAGGCGGGGCGCGAGAAGGCACTCACAGCGTTGCGTTCGAGGGTAGCCGTATCCTCCCAAGCGCCGAGCAGGTCTATGTCCTCAAAGAGTGTCCTCCCGCATTCTCTGTTGGAAAGGCCGTCCTCGACGAAGGCTCTCTCTTCGTTTGGGATCCTAGGGAAAGCCAGCCGTACCTCGTGCCAAAGCAAGACGTACACAGGTGTAGGCTCAAAGTCCCTAGGAAGGCTAGGATAAACGCCACAAGGGTTGTAGAGTACGTTCCTCAGTTTGACGAAGAGCTCAAGCCCACCGTTTACCCTTCCTCCTCCAGCCTAAGTCCTGTCGTTGCCTCCGCTTCTCCCGCTCCAGCGGAAGACGATGCAGTGTCTATCGGCGAGATACCTCCTCCAGAGGGGTATGAACCGACAGAGATCGGAGATAGCGACGAAGATGCCCACATTGTAGACGCAAATGCACTTGCAGAAGAGACCAGAGAGCAGCTTTTTGGCATAGGCGCTGAAGGTGAGTCAGCTGCCGAAGAACCATCTCCCGACTTGCCTGAACACGCCATTCAAGATTTGCTAGCGCTTGATGGCAGTGCAGACATGTCAAAAGAAGTTGCCCGAGTCCGCGCCGAAGCAGGCCTCCCTCCGGAGCCTGCACCTGCAGAGGGCGCAGCCGTTGGCGCGCCACCTCATGCACAGCCAGAAGAGCCTTCCCGTGAAGAGGCTCTCAGAACTGAGGCCACCTCTGCAAAGCACTTGCGCACTCACTTTCCAAAGAATCCTTTCTGCAAAATCTGCCATGTCGCAAAGACGACCTCCATGCGTATCGCTCGCAAGCCGGATGGGAAGGCTGATGACCTGATTGACGTTCCCACTGCTTCCTTTCAGCAACTTGCCACTGATGACGTCATCCTCGCGAAAGGAGACGACCATCGAGGTATAGGAACAGGGGGGGTTAAGTCACACCACGTCATTAGGGATGTCTTCTCAGGCGCTAGGATTGCGTATCCTATGACGCGCCGTGGCGCACAGCAGCATGCACGCAACTACCGCCACTTCATGGGCCTCAAGGCCTCCGAGCTTGCACCCACCTGTCTCATCAAAATGGATGAAGCAGGCGAGCTAAAGACAGCAGCCGAGGAAGTAGGCTTAATCCCCGACACCTCTCTCCCTAATAGGTGGCCGCACAACGCGGCGCTAGAGCGAGACGTGAGAGAAGAGAAAGAGTGTTGTAGAGCCATTCACTTGCAAAGCGGTTTGCCCTATGACTTTCACACTTACTCATTCCCGTTCGCGTGCTTGTCCTTGTCCTTTGATAGGACTGCAAACACCGGAACAGGTGTCACTCAGTGGGAAGCCTTGACAAAGGAACCCTTCTCAGGGATGAGGCTTTGTTTTGGCCAGCTAGTTTGGTATAGGACAAAACTTTCCAAGCTAACGTTAGAGCCCAACATGTCACCAGCCTTGTTCCTTGGATGGCGAATTGATGCTGGTATGAGGTACCGCGGAGTCACTCGCGTACTCGATTACCATGCTTTCCGCAACAAGCGAGAAGTCAGCGTCATTGATGTTCCTGAACCTGAATTGTTTGTCGAAGAGGGCGAGCCCATCTTCCCTCTTGCAAATGCCACGCGCAAGGCACTTGTGGACGGCACAGTCCTTGAAGGTCCTGCCGCGCGCTCTGCACTCCCAGACTTCCCCGTTCGCGAGGTTCCCTTTCCTCCAACAGGTGAGGCCCCAGCTCCTTTCAAAAGGGGTCCTAAAGTTAAAGGGGTCTACATAACTGTCGAGCGAATAATTCGCTTTAGGGAACTCCTGGTTGTAAAGCATGTAGAGGTAAGGCAGTCAAGCATATCGAAGTTTGCCGCGAGCGTTTTGCCAAGCTGGTAAGCACAGAACGCGAGGAGGCACAGGCTAAGAAGGCAGTAAGCAAGGCGCAGGCTGTCGCTGAAAGCCTAGAGGTTCTTGGGGCCGACCCTAGCCTCGAGGCTGTCGCAGACAATCTCCTTGAGGCAGCTGCTGAAAGCGCTGTGGCACCGCCAGCTTCAGAGGAACCTGCTCCCTCACCTGCCTCTGCGTCTTCACCTCCACTAATCGTGGCCTCCGGCGCTGCGCTCCCTCCAAGTTCAGCTACAAGGACCGTGCTCACTGAAGCTACCTGCGGATACCGTAGTGGCGTCCCAGTCTTCGGCATGCCCGCTCCCTTGCCATGCTTTGGAAAGCCGCGCGTCAAGAACAAAAGGCATAGAAAACGAGCAGCTAAGGGAAGCAAGCTGACAACGTGTTTTGAATACGCGTGTTCCGAGCACTCTATGCTTGGAAGAGTTCATGCCGAGCTTGGCGTCCCTCACGTGAGACTAAGCGAAAACACACTTAACGTCTCTGACCCCGTTGTGGCAGAACAGCTTCATGTTCAGTTGAAGGCGTGCCCCAACTCGCATTTGTGGGCCTCACTTCCCTGCACATCAGGTTGTCCATGGCACAGGGTCGGGCTTAGTCAGCACGGTGACACATACCGCACCAAGCTTAGGCTAAAGGTCAAAGCTTCTCAGCGTTTGTTTTCTAAGTTTGCCTCCCACGCAGAAACTGCCCTTGCGTGTGGTGCAGACGTCACTTTCGAGTGGCCGCGCAACTCGGACTCGTGGAAGAGAGCCGATGTCCAAGCTTTCTTTAAGAAGCACCCTTGTTTTCGAGAGGTTAACTTCGATGGGTGTAGACTTGGGGTTGTAGGTCAAGAACAGCAGCCGGTCAAGAAGCCTTGGCGCTTAATGACCACGTCAGATGCAATCGTAAAGTCCTTTTCTGGTCTCCATTGCAACCATGGCCCCAAGGACCACGCAAAGCCTAGAGGCAAGGTTCTCGAGAAAACTGGCTTCTACACGCAATCAATGTGTGAGCTCATAGCTTATGCTTTGAATCCGAGTCTCAAGCGCAAGGTCATCCCTGCGATGCCTGTCATCCCCTGCACCACTGACAATGAGCACAGGCAAAAGGAGCAAGAACTTAAGCATGTTTCCTCCCTTGCCGGTCTTGAAGACCTTGCAGTCGCACTAGAGGGCGATGAAAAGGCCCATGAACTTCTCACAGAGATAGTCGACCTGAACGCCCTAATATGCCAAGTCTGCGACCTTCCTAAATCCCCATCTAGTGCCCCCGAGGTGAATGCCTTAGTCACAAAGCTCTTGTCCAGGGCCGAAATGCTCGCTTCACCGCAAGCGCTAGAAGCAATTCGCGCCGAAGCAGACGGCCTAAGAGCAGTTCCCGTATGGGACGAGACAAATCCTCGGGAGTACCGGGATGTCCAGTCCGAGGCCCGCCGCACTGGAGCAAAGGTACACTTCGGCAAGCTAATGAGCATTGCGTCCATTAAGTTTTGGGAGCTTGCTCAGCACCTTCAAAAGATGAAGGGCCGTATTGTGTACCGCGGCGATTGCGCTAAGGACGAAGAGGGTGCTGCCGCCGTGTACAGAGAGCTTGGGGCCAACCCTACCTCTGTACAGGGTCTTAATGCCTGCTTGGCATATGGCGCACTACCCGGCAATCAGTCCTCGGCAGCCGACGCCATCAAGGCTTACGTTCAGGCACTCCTAAAATCCAAGTTCCAGACTTGGATAGAGTTGCCACCAGAACTCCGCCCTACATGGTGGCGCGAGCGCTTCGTCCGCCCGGTCGTGCTGCTGCTAAGGGCGCTGTACGGACATCCCGAAGCCGGTGGTCTGTGGGAGAAACATCTTAAGGAGGTTCTTCAGGGTTTGGGGGGTTACGAGCTCCAAGAGTACCCCGGCAACTTCTGGTTCCCAGAGACTCAATTGTTGCTTTCAACATACGTCGACGACCTGACGTTGTCAGGACCACAAGAGCATCACCAACCCTTCTGGGAGAAGCTCTGTTCCCTCGTTGACGTTGAACCTCCCGAGCCAGTATATAGGATCCTTGGTCGCAATCATTATGTCATCAACGCACCAGCCGAGAGTTCAGAGAACGCTGCCCTAGGCGCGTTAAAAGGAGCCGTTGTTCTCGACATGTATGATTATGCGCAACAGACCGTAGATCTTTACACTGGCATCACCGGTACAAAGAGCCTCAAAGCCGCCCAAACACCGTTCTGTCCAGAAGGAAGCCTTGTCCCTTCAGACGACGAAGTCACGGGCGAGCTCGCTCCAAATGCTTGCAAAATCCTCATGAAGGCTCTGTGGCTTGGCAGGCTAGCAAGGCCTGACATCATCAAGCCCATAGGAGATCTGGCAACACGGGTTCAGTCCTGGACGCGTAACAACGACAAGCAACTCCATCGCTTGATCTGTTACATCAATTCCACCAAAACCCATCGGTTGGTCGGAACCGTCCAGGACAACCCAGGGGAGCTGCATCTTGCGCTCTACGTTGATGCCGATTTCGCTGGGGAAAAAGTGGATGCCAAGTCCACTTCAGGGGGGTACCTTGTCCTCAAAGGTCCTAACTCCTTCTTTCCTTTGGCATGGGTTTGCAAGCGACAGACGTCAACTTCACGAAGCACTACTGAGTCAGAGATAGTGAGCTTAGCACACTCGCTCTTCTCCGAAGGCCTCCCGGCATTGCAACTCTGGCAAACCCTCCTGGGCCAGGATGGCATAAGGCTTGTCATCCACGAAGACAACCAAGCCACCATCATAGTAGCTAAGAAAGGTTATTCCCCTAAGCTAAGGCACATCCAGCGTACCCATAAGGTCAACCTGGGTAGCATTGCCGAACAGCTTGACCAGGAAGACGTTGAGCTAACTTACGTTGACACAAATCTGCAAGCCGCAGATATCTTCACCAAAGCTCTTCCTCCTAACAAATGGGATAATGCCCTTAAGCTACTAGGCATAAGACAAAAGTTGCCAGAGGTCCTTGTCGACATAAGGGACTTGCACTTGAAGCCTGGGTCTGGCCCAAAGACTCAGCATGCACAGGGTGCTGCCGCTGGCGCACCATGTACATAGAGCATGTTTTTCCAGTGGTTCTTTCCATTGGAGAATTTAAGAAGACAAGTCAGAGGAAGGTGTAGTCTCAACGGGCACCCTCCGGGAAGACTCCGGAGAGGGGGGAGTTAAAAGAACACGACTCCCGAGCCCCCTTCAGGGTAGCCCTTAGCAACCTGTAAGACTAGTGTGTCTCACTTGCCCAGGTCCGACTTCACCGACATCTTTGGCTCAAGACGGAAAAGACACAGTCTTGTAGTGAAGCCCCTTTCTGTTCAGGTTGGGTTGAGGTTTCGTCTGTTGCCTCTTCCCTTGGGATCACCTCCCTCCTGTGTTTGGGGCTCACTTAACTATCTAAGGGTGGTTGGCATGGTCCCTTGCTTTCGCGAGGCACCTGCAGCCGGAGTTCGGCGAGTTCGGGCATGTGCTGAGGCTTGGGATAGGATCCCGAAGCCTTTCAAGGGTGCAGGGCTGGGGTTTAGGGTTTGGGGTTGGGGGCGGGGGTTTGGGGTTTGGGGTTTAGGGTTTAGGGTGGAGGGTTTAGGGTGGGGGGTTTAGGGTGCAGGGTTTAGGGTTTGAGGGGGCTACGATTTGGACTTCGCATGTGCCGGGGGGGGGGGGGGGGGGGGGGGGGGGGGGTTGTGGGTTTGACGGCCTTCCGCCTCCCGTTGCCAGGACTCAACTCCCCATCCCTCTGAACCTCAAAGCCGCGACCCTGAACCCAAACAATCCTCAACCTAAACCCGAAGCCCTAAACCCTAAACCCTAAACCGTAACCCCTAAATCTTAAACCCTAAACCCTAAACCTAAACCCTAAGCCCTAAACCCCAAACCCTAAACCCTCAACCCCAAAGCCTAAAACCCTAAGCCCTAAACCCTCAACGCCAGACCCTAAACCCCTTAGCCCTGAACCCGAGGCTCTTAACCCTAAACCCTAAACCCTAAACCCTAAACCCTAAACCCTAAACCCTAAACCCTAAACCCTAAACCCTAAACCCTAAACCCTAAACCCTAAACCCTAAACCCTAAACCCTAAACCCTAAACCCTAAACCCTAAACCCTAAACCCTAAACCCTAAACCCCAAACCCCAAACCCCAAACTCTACACCCTAAACCCTGAACCCCAGAGCTGCAGGATACATGTCCTGCAGGGCAAGGGAGTGGCTTTCGTGGAGTCCGGGGCTCGGGCCTACTCGAAGAAGGGTCAGGGTTTAGGGTTTAGGGTTTAGGGTTTAGGGTGTAGGGTGTAGGGTTTAGGGTTTAGGGTGTAGGGAGGCGTAGAAGCTGTAGGACCATAATTTGGAATGTTTTTTAAAGGGTTTGAGGGGTCAACCCAGATAATACGGTGCTTACATGTTCTAGAAGTGGACTCTCCCGGACGAGTTTGACAGGTTTATGCTTTAGGGCTACAAGCAGGAAGCCCCTCGAAACGTAGTGGTCCGAGTCAGTAGGTTTCGGGTTTAGGGTTTAGGGTGTAGGGTGGCTAGAAAACAGCCCACCACGCACCAGAGTGCAACGGAGGAAGCGTGCGGAAGGCGTGGAGGTCTGCCGAAGTTGCATCAGCGCGGTGCTTTCCGAAGCCATGGCAGCTAGCATTCCCCATCAGGGAATGAACAACACAGTGCGGTTTGGTTTTGCTGCCAAAGCCACAACATGGTCAGCTGAGAAGACAATGTTCTTGCAGGCTCGGAGCATTGCCGAATGTGTAGGCCCCCTAAACCGTAAACCCTAAACCCTAAACCCTGAACCCTGAACCCTAAACCCTAAACCCTAAACCCTAACCCTAAACCCTAAACCCCAAACCCCAAACCCCAAACCCTAATCCCTAAACCCTAAACCCTAAACCCTAAACCCTAAACCCTCAGCCCTAAACACCCTGTAATCCCTAAACTCAGATTTCCGGTCCGCAGCAGCGGCGCGTCTCACTCGTCGGAGACCTGCAATCTGTGGTTCGTTGCTGCGGCGGCGGATTTGCTGTAAGACTCTTCATGTCCTCTGCAAGGCAGACGGTCTAGGGTTTAGGGTCCTAGGGTTTAGGGTGTAGGGTGTAGGGATTACAGGGTGCTTAGGGTTTAGGGTTTAGGGTTTAGGCTGACCCTCGGGTATTTGCCAGCCTGCCAGTCTGACGGGGTCTGACCAGTGGTCATCTGCCGTGGAGACGCTCTGAGTCTAGTTCGGCATACTCAAAACGTCTGAAAATGCATTTGGGCAACGGCTTGCCCGACCAGGCCTTGCAATTGTTGCGAAAAGAATTGTTGTTTTCGTTGACACTCATGACGGATCCCCCCGAGGATTTCTTCTGACAAGTTTCAGCTATCTTCATAGTGAAGGTTTCCGAGGAACTGGTAATCGCCTCTATGACTCTATGTCAGTTCATGGCCTAGACAAGAATCGTCTTCTGTCTCACGGGTGGTGTCAGTCGACTGGGCGAGTATTATGTCCTAGTCGGAGAGCACCCTGCAGAAACAAGGCTTGCTAGAGCGTCGCTTCAGTTCGCAGCGGCAGGAAGCACCACATTCCACAGTTAAGATTGTAGTAAACCTTCTTCGTCGGTAGCTCAGTCATGCTCATTTGAAGAAGATATCAAACGCGCTAGGTTATACAAACAACAAGTCGTGCCTTAGCAGTCCTCTTTTTGGCGTATGTCAATAGGGGAATCAGATTAAGGGCCCCTTCTAGGGTCCGTCCTGATACCCCTTTAGTATGACGGTACAGCCTGACTCGGCTGAGGTACCAAGAGAAGGCGCTGGGCACGGGTTCACTGCGGTGTTGTTACTGCCAAAGGATCGTCTTGTCACTGTCTGAAGCCGCCCCTAGTGGCCGGCCTTCATTGCTAGTTTGGGGTTTCGGGTTGGGGGTTTATTGAGTGTTGTGAAGACACTGAGAAGCCCCAAACCCTCGAACCCTAAACCCTAAACCCTCAACCCTAAACCCTAAACCCGGAACCCTGCATCCTACAGTTTTTTTGTTTTGCCAGCATTGTATCTGTCGCATTCGCCTTCGGATGAAGCTCAAGGTCTGAGCCCTTTCAGACCAATACCCTGAACCCGAGTGAATCGCTGGTGTAGGAGGACGAAGCCTTCAGGGTTTAGGGGTGATTAGGGTTTAGGGTTGACTGGGTAGGGATAGGGATACCCTAAACCCTAAACCCTAAACCCTGAACCCTGAACCCTGAACCCTGAACCCTGAACCCTAAACCCTAAACCCTAAAACCTAAACCCTGAACCCTGAACCCTGAACCCTAAACCCTTAACCCTAAACCCTAAACCCTAAACCCTAAACCCTAAACCGTAAAGGGTTTTAGGGCTCATGGCAAGTTGACTGCACAGCTGCGGAAGGCAGATGCCAAAGAAGCAATGTCCATGCTGAACGGCAAGAAGGCCATGGCAGCAAGAGCCCCAAACTCTCAAAACTCCTGCAGGCTATACCACATCCCAGAACTCTATCATCCCTAAACTCTATAATACCCAAAACCCTAAACGCCTAAACACAAAGAATATATATAAATATAGATAGATACATAATCTAAAGACCTCTCGAGGCTGTGGACCGGCAAGGAATCTGCACTACCAAGTTCTGCAATATGGGGCCTGCTTGCTTGGAATTGGTTTAGGGTTTAGGGTTGAGGGTTGAGGGTTGAGGGCTGAGGGTTTAGGGTGTAGAGTTTCGGGTTTAGGCGTTGGACGTCTTATAGGATCCCCGAATGAAATTCTAGTTCTATCTCCGAGGGGTCTGGGATTTTCTACTTCTTCCCAGATTCCCAAGTTCCCTAGTGAGGGTCAGCAAGTAGCCTAGTTCCGTTCATCCTCTGGTAAGAACCCATGGCTATTCTTCGTGTTTGGGGTTCTTGTTTGAATGCAAACACGATGTCGATCACAAGCGCTGGTTCCCGCTAGTTCAACCCGAAACCCTAAACCTTAAACCGCAAAAGTGATATTCTTGATGCTGCTGCGCAATGTCTGTAGAACTTGCCGATCAGGACTGGGTGTATCCCAAAATGGGGGTACATCCCAAAATCCATTTTGTAGAACCCCCCTTCCACCCAAGGGTCCCGGTGTGGGCGTGGAGTGTAGGTTTCAGTTCTTAGGGTTTGGTGACCTCGCATCCCCATACAGGGGCTCCCCAAACACAACTACACACAACCAAGATAAGCCCTTGATTGCCCTGTATATTTCAGGGCCAAAAGGTGCCCTAAACCCTAAACCCTAAACCCTAAACCCTAAACCCTAAACCCTAAACCCTAAACCCTAAACCCTAAACCCTAAACCCTAAACCCTAAACCCTAAACCCTAAGCCCTAAGCCCTAAGCCCTAAGCCCTAAGCCCTAAGCCCTAAGCCCTAAGCCCTAAACCCTAAACCCTAAACCCTAAACCCTAAACCCTAAACCCTTCCAAATCGAGAGGTTCGGGGCTCCGTCCTAACCATCGACGTGGCCGGCCCACCGCCAGATCCCCGCAATCGACCGCAGGAGGAGCCGTCTAAACCCTAAACCCTAAACCCCAAACCCCAAACCATAAACCCTAAACGCTACAGTCCCCCAAGTCCCCTAACCCTAAACCCTAAACCCTAAATCCTAAACCCTCAACCCCAAAGCCTAAAACCCTAAGCCCTAAACCTCAACGCCAGACCCTAAACCCTAAACCCTAAACCCTAAACCCTAAACCCTAAACCCTAAACCCTAAACCCTAAACCCTAAACCCGAAACCCGAAACCCTAAACCCTAAACCCTAAACCCTAAACCCTAAACCCTAAACCCTAAACCCTAAACCCTAAACCCTAAACCCTAAACCCTAAACCCTAACCCGAAATAAGTGGACTTATCAAGCAGGAGGGCGCGCGACCGGCCCGCCCCGCAGAGAAGCCGGCAGAGATCCCAAGGCGCACCTGGAGTCGGCGTGGGGTTTAGGGTTTAGGATTTAGGGTTTAGGGTTTAGGGTTTAGGATTTAGGATGGTTTAGGGTTGTCGGAGTTTTGGGCTTAGGGTTTAAGGGCTCAGGGTTTTGGGGTTAAGGGTTTCGGGGTTGTAGGGTGATAAGGGCTCTGAGGTTTTTTTGCGGGCTGAGGGTGAGGGAATGGGAAGTATCCCCATACATCCTTCTGACCCTCAACCTATTCTAAGGGTAGTTACATGGTCCCTCAATATGGGGGTGTAGGGTATACAAGGGGTATATATACTGGGATCCCCATTTAAGGGCCCATATGAAGGGACAAGCTACACTCAGCTTATGGTAGTGCTAGGTGCAGACTTACCAACCCAAACCCCAACATGAATACGACAACCCCATGCCGCAGAGGCGCAGTGGCAGTCGAAGTCGTGGCCGGCAGAGACATGCGAAGGGTAGCCAGCCCAGACTGGGTGCTGCCCCGGTGGATTCCCATGCCTATACTGGCCTATACTTAGGGGCTGGTTACTTCACCTTCAACCTTTTTGGGTGCATATATTCCGATTACAATGAAAAGGTTAACCTTTTTTCGGCTCGGGTATTCAGCCACTAAGTATAGAAGTCGTAGATCTTTGCTCGCCGCCTGGATCCTTGACATCGCTATGGCGTGAACCCAAACTCTGGACCCTCAAACTCTGGATCCTCGGCACTGTTAGACTCTTTACCCCACGAGTATTTCCCCAAAAGGGGCACCCTAAACCCTAAAGCCTCTAGACCCTCTAAACCCTAAACCCTAAACCCTAACCCTAAACCCCAAACCCCAAACCCCAAAGCCCGTCGACACCTGGCCAGACAAGCCCCCAGGTTCTTTGGATTTAAGTGTTTTGGATTTCTGGCTGCCCCTTGGCCGAGAAGTTGTACCCAAAACCAGAGGCCCTGAACCGTAGAAGTTCTTAGGGTAGTTCAGGGTTCGGCACAGCTGAACGTTCTGAGGTCCCAAAGCCTACGAGTAGCCAAAGATAAGAACTCCGTGCTCTTGCCGCCCACTACCAAAACCCCAAATTCCCGAATCCCCATGGCTCGAGGAGGCTTGAAGGCAACAGAGCCCTAAACCCTAAACCCTAAAAACTAAACCCTAAACCCTATTCCTAAGCCCTAAACCCTCAACCTCTCTTTCATATATAATTTAAATGTTAAGGAGTTACTGGGCAAGGTCATTTTTTGTACTGGGCAAGGTCATTCTTTTACTGGGCAAGGTCATCTTTTTACTGGGCAAGGTCATCTTTTTACTGGGCAAGGTCATTTTTTTACTGAGCAAGGTCATTTGTTTTGCTGGGCAAGGTCATTTTTTTACGGGGCAAGGTCATTACTGGGCAAGGTCATTTTTTTATTGGGTAAGGTTGTTTTTTTACTGGTCATTTTTGACTGGGCAAGGTTGTTTTTTTACTGGGCAAGGTCATTTTTTTACTGGGCAAGGTCATTTTTTTTATTGGGCAAGGTCATTTTTTTACGGGGCAAGGTCATTACTGGGCAAGGTCATTTTTTTATTGGGCAAGGTTGTTTTTTTTACTGGGCAAGGTCATTTTTTTAATCGGGCAAGGTCTTTTTGTTACTGGGCAAGGTCATTTTTTTACTGGGCAAGGTCGTTCCATAAGTGAAATATTTTCTTAAGGTTGTGGGATTCTTTGGGCGGGTGGGTATTTTCCTGGAGTAATTTCTTGACTAGTGAATGCTTGGACTTGAGATGCTGAACCCTAAACCCTAAACCCTAAACCCTAACCCCAAGCCCTAAACCCTAAACCCTAAACCCTAAACCCTAAACCCTAAACCCTAAACCCTAAACCCTAAACCCTAAACCCTAAACCCTAAACCCTAACCCCAAGCCCTAAACCCTAAACCCGAAACCCTAAACCCTTGTAGATCCAACGCTCACGATGAGGCCGCAGCCGCAGCCGCAGCCGCAGCCGCGGACGGCGCAGCCGGCGTGATCGGCGCCGCGCGCGGCGCAGCTCCAGCGCGAGCTAGGATAGGGCTTATTTAGGGGGTTTAGGGTTTAGGGTTTAGGGTTTAGGGTTTAGGGTTTAGGGTTTTTTCAGGGGCTCATTTAGGGGTTTATTTAGAGGTTGACTTGGGTCTTATTTAGGGGTTGATTTTAGGGGTTTACTCGGGGTTTTATTAAGGGGTTTATTCAGGGTTTTATTTAGGGGTTTGTTTAGGTGTTTGTTTAGGGGTTAGTTTAGGGGTTTGTTTAGGGGTTTATTTAGGGGTTTCTGTAGGGGTGTATTTCGGGGTTTATTTCGGAGTCTATTTGGGGGTTTATGTAGGGGTTTGGGGGCTGGTCGGGTTGTTTCCCCATGTTGGTTTAAGGTGCTGTAATTCAGCTGCAGCGGTTGTAGTCCACTAACCCTACAGGCCCTAAACCCTAAACTTTAAATCATAAACCTTAGCTGAGAACTAGATTCTGCGACATCTGCAACCTTGCAACTCTTGAGCACAAACCCCCAACCCTGCAAAATCCCAAACACCCTAAAACACCCCAGAAGCAAGCCCGAACCCCCCTAAAGCTTAACCTTGAAGCTCCGGCAGACGACTTGGCTCAAAGAGCTACGTGGAGCAAAAACGGTGCGGCCCGTGGCGTACTTGAGCTTGGGTTTTTTGGCGTAGGGCTTACTCCCCTCCCCCCAATATTAAATGCATATTAATTAAATTCTCCCATTATCGTTATATTGTCGTACATTGGGGGGTAAGAATATTAGGGGGTAGGGGGGTATGAATATTAGAGGGTAGGTGAGTTTAATATTCGGGGGAGGGGATTAAACAGTTTGGTGCTTCGGGTTTCAGGTTGCAAGCTCGAGTGGCATGCACGGAGCAACCGTTGCGTTGCTGGGCTGTTCGGACTTCAGCGTTGGGATAGGGGATTTAGGGTTTAGGGTTTAGGGCTTAGGGTTTAGGGTTTCGGGCTTAGGGTTAGGGAAAAGGGCATGGGGCCGGGTCTTGCATCCGCGCCGCTTCGCGCAGCGGCTCGAAGCGTTACTCACTTTTCCTCGCGCTGAGGCACATGTTCGTTTTTCAATCGGAGCTGTTTTGCGTCGAGTCTTGCTGTAAGGCCTGTGAACCTTGGAGTGCTTCTAAGCAATATGGCCATGAGTATGACTTGGGAATGTCTTGGACCCACGGAGGAGGACAGCACCTGCACCCCCAATGAGCGGGAAAGTGGAGAGACTCTAAGAGGGTCAAAGCAACATTAAACACACCGGCGGCGGCCGTTGCAGAACCTGAGCCATGGTTCAGGACCGGCCCTGAACCCTGAACCTTACACCCTCAACCCTAAACCCCCCTCAATCCCCAAACGCTGCAACTTCAAAGCATAACTGTTGCAATTTAAGGTACTGTACCCTTAAAGCTTGAGTTGTCCGACCTGGGAGCAGGGCGGTTCTATATGTCCACCCCTTCTCCGGGCTATAAGTCTGTCCGGGTGAAACGAGGTATAGATGATGCTGCTGATGGTCATTTATCCCTTCTCGGGGCTATGAGGCTTTGCAGACGAAACGAGGCACCGATGATGCTGTTGATGTGCGCCATTGTGCGCCCCTTCTCCAGGCTCGGAGCCCGTCCTGGTGAAGCGCAGGGGCGATGATGCTGATGATGTTCGCCCCTTCTCCGGGCTTTTCGCCTGTCCGGGCGCAGCGAGGGGGCGATGATGCTTCTCCGGGCTGTGAGCTTCTCCAGATCAAGCGAGGCACAGATGATGATGTTCGCCCCTTCTCCGGGCTCGAGCCCGTCCTGCTTCGCGCTCTGAGCCTCTCCGGGCGAAACGAGGGGGCGATGATGCTGATGATGTTCGCCCCTTCTCCGGGCTTTTCGCCTGTCCGGGCACAGCGAGGGGGCGATGATGCTTTTCCGGGCTGTGAGCTTCTCCAGATGAAACGAGGCACAGATGATCATGTTCGCCACTTCTCCGGGCTCGAGCCCGTCCTTCTTCGCGCTCTGAGCCTCTCCGGATGTTCGCCCTTTCTCCGGGCTCTTAGCCTGTCCGGGCGCAGCGAGGGGGCGATGATGCTTTTCCGGGCTCTGAGCTTCTCCAGATGAAACGAGGCACAGATGATGCTGTTGATGTTCGCCCCTTCTGCAGGCTCGAAGCCCGTCCTGCTTCGCGCTCTGAGCTTCTCCGGGCGAAACGAGGGGGCGATGATGCTGTTGATGTTCACCCATTCTCCGGGCTCTGAGGCTTTGCAGACGAAACGAGGCACAGATGATGCTGTTGATGTTCGCCCCTCTCCCGGCTCGGGCTGGCGAAGCGCAGGGCGATGATGCTGACGATGTTCGCCCCTTTCTCCGGGCTCTGAGGCTTTCCGGTGATGATGCTTTTGATTGTTCAGCCCTTCCCCGGGCTCTGAGGCTCTCCAGACGCAACGAGGCACCGATGATGCTGTTGATGTTCGCCCCTCCTCCAGGCTCGGAGCCGTCCTTGCGAAGCGATGCTGCTGATGTTCGCTTTCCAGACGAAACGAGGCACCGGTGATGCTCTTTAATGTTCGCCCCTGCTCCCGGCTCGGACTGGCCAACCACAGGGGCGATGATGCTGTTGATATTCGTCCCTTCCCCTTTCCCGGGCTCTGTCTTCAAAAGAACCCAAAACAGACACCGAACCACTCTCATCCCCCCAGAAGCCAAACCCGCAGCCCTGAATGCTTGCCTCACGACGCCCCACCCTCCACCAAGCAAAGACAGCTGAACCCCAAACCCTAAACCCTAAACCCTGAACCCTAGACCCTAGACCCTACAGTCGTGAAGCGAGCACCAGGAGGGTCCCGTGAACGTGTGCTTCACGGCGCAGAGCTACGGCGTGGATGTGGCTTTCGACCCGCAGACCCAGGCAATTGGAGCGGCCGAGGGTTGAAGAGGTTTAGGGCTTGGGGTTTAGGGTCTAGTTTTTTTTTTAAACAAAGTTGGCACAAAAAACTCAACAAATTTATTTATAACTCTTTTTTAAATGATTTATTTTCGAAAAATAAAAATGTAGGGTTTAAAAAACGCGGTTTTTTAAATACAAAACATGTCAGAAACAAGTGGTTCAACAGAAGATATTGCAAAAACGGGCTTAGGGCTTAGGGTTCAGAGGGTTCAGTTTAGGGCTCCTAGACAAAGAAGCCGTGCAAGCCGCCACCCGGAGCGCTTAATGAGAGCCGGGCCTCACAACCCCAAGCTCTCAAACCCCAAGCCCCAAGTCCTCAGTTCCATGGCCTTTGCTGCTTAAGTGCTCCGCGATCTATATTTAAGGTTGTGCGGAGAAGAGATTGCAGGGTTCATAGGGCCGAAGGCTTCACTCAAGTTATCAGATCTGACGTTGCGTGCTTCGGATTCAAGGTGTCGAATTTAGGGGTTACTATATCCCCCTTGGGAATTCTTTTTGTTCATATAAAACCCAAGAGGATATTAAAAATACCATTTTTATTGAGGTTCTACGGGGAGTATAGGTTAAGGGGTGTAGGGTTGTCGTCGTCGACAATGGGAGTCGAATCAGGAACGCTGAGAAGAGTTAGGCTCCCACATGGCCTGAGCTTAGGGTTTAGGGTTTAGGGTTTAGGGTTTAGGGTTTAGGGTTTAGGGTTTAGGGTTTAGGGTTTAGGGTTTAGGGTTTTTGAACGGGTAACCGAAAAACTCCCTCAAGTATCTTCGTTGAGAAGGGCCCAGGCCTCTAAACCCTAAATCCCCCTAGAAACCTTGAACCCTACACCCTCAAGCCTCAACCCCAAAACCCCCTTCAACATCGAAGAGCAGCGCAGGAGCAGCTCTTGTCTTTCCGCTTCGGAGCTGGGGGGCCTTGGTCTAGTGTTACCTTGAAAACCCCTATCTTGTAGAGCACTTTTTTAAGGCAAAATGATTTGAGGAGTCATCTGAGGGTTGTAGATGTCATATGACTCGCTACGCGGTCTGCGCAATTTCTGGTTTGAGAAGGGCTTTTGGTCTTGGGGTTTCGGAATGAGGGTTCCCAAGGCCCTGAACCCCAAGACCCTAACCCCAAAAACCCAGAACCCCAAAAACCCTAATTATGGTTGAGGATTTTCCTCGTGCTCACGGTCGGTGTCAAACAGGGGAACTTGCATCTTCAGGTGCTTTTAAGGCGAAGACCCTACACATCTCGAGGAAACCTAAGCCTCATCGTTCAACTACAAAAGCTACTCGTTCAAGAGTCATAACCGCCCCCCCCCCCCCCCCGCGCTCTTTTCAAGAGCCTGCCACTGGAACCCCGGACCCCTGGAGCAACTACACAAGGATACAGGTGTCGTCGCCCATGCCCATGAAACGTGAAAAGGAAACCAAAGGGTAGGCTTGGGGATGGTTTAGGGTTTAGGGTTTAGGGTTTAGGGTTTAGGGTTTAGGGTTTAGGGTTCATCCAGCCAAGCGGAAAAAGCTGGCACGCAGGACGGAGTCCAGCCTGCGGCGCGCTAACGCCCCAAAGCCCCGAAATGAGAAAACAGCTCGGAAAAGCTCAACGTTGAGCCCTTAAACCCTAAATCAACCCTGAACCCTAAACCCTAAACCCCAAACCCTAAACCCTAAAACCCCTAACGAAACCCTCAAGCCTGGATGACCGCTCCGCCCTACACATGCCCCTGTGCCCTCGTAGCCTCCTCTTGCACCACTGCCCACAATCAAAGTGACATTCGTAGGGAAAACCCTAAAAAAGTCGTCCCACACAAGGTAAGAAGCCCCCCCCCCCCCGCGGTGAAAGCACTAAGGTCACCGTGTCTCTGCCGCAGCTCCTGCAGCAGCTTATTGAAATCCAGCGCGGGGGCCGAGGTGAACCGTTGCATGTGGCCAGCGAAGTTCTAAGCCCATATGGACTTGATTAGTTGCAATCCGAAACCCTTGGAGAACTGAGCGCTCCGGCCCAGGAGCTGGGCAGCGCGGGGACGGTTACGGAACGTTTCGCCTCCAGTTCTATATAGGGCGCAAAGGGCCCAGTGAGCCCCAGCGGGGTGAACATGAGAAGCATCATCAGCCCTCCTCCAGGCTTTTGAGCCTGGAGAAGGTGCGAAAATCATCAGCGTCGCCCGCTCACAGCCGAGAGGGGCGAGTATTCCGAATAACAAACAGAATCATGGCTCAAAGCCCCGAGAAGGGGAAAGCATGATCATCGCCTTCGGTCTTCGCTTGAAAGGTCTCAAAGCGCAGAGGCGCTGATGCTGTTGATGCTCGCCCCTTCTCCGGGCTTCACTCCAGGCTTGGAGCACTGACACTGATGATGATGATGATGATGATGATGATGATGATGATGACGATGACGACGACGATGAGGATGATGATCTGGTTCGCCTTGGTCCAGGCTTTGAGCAGATTGTGTGCGCCCGTTGCCTGGTCTGTTGAGGCGTCCGCGCCCTCTCGCACAGCCCCCAACCGTTCTGCCCGAAACTCTCGAAGCTAAAGGCTCTCAAACCACGAGACGCCAAGGAAGCGAGATGCCGGTGCGGCTGGCTCGCAGACTGGTGGCACCTCCCTGTCAGGGTCTCAGTCACTGCCCCCAGGCCCCAGGCCCCAAAGCCCTGATTAAACCTAACTAGGGCTTAGAAGAGAGGGGCTTAGAAGAGTAGGATCTATAGGGCCTTTGGCCTTTTGGGTTTTTGGGGGTGCTTCCTGGCTCAGGGTTTGTATAGACTTGTTAAGGTGTACATGGCTTCTAGGGTTCAGGTTTGAAGGCCGTAAAAGGGGGATCCGGGGCGTTGCTCAGAGGACCCACGAAGCTGTAGTGACTTTAGTGGTTGGGGATTGCACTAGTACCGGAGCCCCCTAAACCCTGAACCCTGGACCCTAAACCCTAAACCCTAAACCCTAAACCCTGAACCCTGAACCCTGAACCCTGAACCCTGAACCCTGAACCCTGAACCCTGAACCCTGAACCCTAAACCCTAAACCCTAAACCCTAAACCCTAAACCCTAAACCCTAAACCCTAACCCTAAACCCCTCTATTGGCAGCTCCGGCCTTGCGGCCTCGATCCGAAAGCCAGGTTAGGCATGAACTTCCCCTCCCAGCAGCGCTCTGCAGCTTGGCAGGTTAGGGTTTAGGGTTTAGGGTTTCGGGTTTAGGGTTTAGAGTTTAGGGTTTGGGGTTTAGGGTTTAGGGTTTAGGGTTTAGGGTTTAGGGTTCAGGGTTTAGGGCTTAGGGTTTCGGGTTTAGGGTTTCGTGATTCGTGTTTGGGGTTTAGTATCTAGGGTTCAGGGTTTAGGTTTAAGGGTTAGGCGGTTTAGGGTTTAGGGTTGGGGTGGGGGCTTCCCTTGCCTGCAGGAGGGCGGCGCAGGAGCCGAAAGACTTAAATCCTACCCATATTCCTGTCCCCCAGCTCGATATACAGCGAGAAGAGAGTGCTAGCATGGCATCAAGCCAGAAGTCCCAGAAGATTCTTGTATGAGCGCATTGCAGACCCGTAATGTTGCCACTTAGTAGCCGCATCACTGAGCAGCTCGCTTTGATAGGGACGGCGGACTCATTGTTCACGAAGCGATAGAGTTTGTTGAGCTTGTGGACGGCCGTGACTGCTTCTCATCGGGTTTCGCTGTTGATCCCCAAACCCTAAACCCTAAACCCTAAACCCTAAACCCTAAACCCTAAACCCTAAACCCTAAACCCTAAACCCTAATCCCAAGCGAACGATCCGAGGAGGGTGGCCAGGGCCTGGTGGAGTCCTCAGTGTGCATGGTCCGAAAGGCTTGACAGGCGGCCTTGTGTTTTTTTGTCCGCTGTAAGACAGCACTTGGGACAATCCGACCCTCAAACTAACAGTCCTTGTGGGGGATTATAATGGGGGGTACGAATAATCCCGATACAGGACTGTCAGTATAAGCGGGAATCTCCCAAGACTGCACCCTCATTCTTGGGACTGCGGGCGTCAGGCTTCGCATACAGGTCGACTCTTTTCTGCGGTGGTGTTGCTGGCTTCACCTTGAACTTAGGGGTGAAGAAACCAGCCCGAGACAATCCTGGAATTTGCAATCTCAGAGGTGGGAGGCCCCAATCGCGAAAACGATCTGAAGAGCCTCTTCCATTTCTTTCGCAGTCAGGTGCCGCCCTACCTGTCTTCCTCGGTGCAGGTGGGAGACACCCCCAAGATGATAGGTGCTTAGGGGGGGAGGTTTAGGGATTACATACGGGTTTAGAGCTCCGGGTTTCAGGTTCTGGGTTTCAGAGATTAGGGAAGCTGTATGGGACTGTGGAGCTTGGGGCGCGTTTGGGGAGGTAGGCAGGTATGGCCCCAGAATCGTCATTCTGGAGCCCGGCGGTGACTCCGAAGAAGAGAAGCGTCCTAAACCCTAAACCCTGAACCCTGAGCCCTAAGCCCTACACCCCAAACCCCAAACCCCAAACCCCAAACCCTAAACCCTAAACCCTAAACCCTAAACCCTAAAGCTCCTTCAGCGCCTGGACAGAGGAAGCTTGGTCCCACAGCACGAGAACCTCCCCGCCCTCCGGCGTCCTACGTCCTGAAGGGTATAGGGCCCTAGAGTTTAGGGCTTAGGGTTTAGGATCCACAAAGCCCGCAACCTCGCCTAAAATCCTACAATCCACACTACACACCAAAGCCTCTAATACCCTCGAAGCATAAACCCTAAACCCTAAACCCTGAACCGTAAACCCTAAAAGTAGACCTAAACCCTAAACCCTAAGCCCTAAACACCGAATGGCGTCAGGCGAAGGTGTCCACTTCTCAGGCCCCGAACCTCGTCGCTGAAGAGCCTCCGCAGCCCCCTGCCTGCGTATTGGCGTGCTCTAAGGTTAGGGTTTAGGGTTTAGGGTTTAGGGTTTAGGGTTTAGGGTTTAGGGTTTGGGGTTTAGGATTTAGGGTATAGGGTATAGGGTTTAGGGCCTAGGCCTTGTGGGCTCTAGGGGTGTAGGGTTTTGGGGTGTTTTAGAGTGTTTTGGGGCGTACGCCGTGCACCCTCACTTGTTTCTTTTCGAATTGAGGTCGAAATTTTGTGGGCTTTGGAGCTGCAGGGGGGACCGTGACTCAACAAGGACCATAGTCCATGCAAGCTTGTACTGAATCAAGCTTTTACTGAACAAGGCACACCGTTTGGACGGCCGTACAATGTTATCCATGTCAGACATGAGTCCTTGTCGGCTACTCCACTGCCCACCCCTCCCCCTTATTAACATGGTAAACACCAGTGAAATAGGGCCGCAGGGACTCGCGCGAGACCCGCAAAAAACCCGGGGTCGTGTGCTTTCCTTGGAGACGAGGGGCCCGTAGGGACCAAGTTCTTGGCTGCTTTTTTTTGAAATCCCTAAGGCCCGTAGACCCTGAACCCGATAAAGCCTCAAAGCCCTCGGCCTTGAACCCAGCCGACACCCAAAACCCCAAACCCCAAACCCCAAACCCCAAACCCCAAACCCCACACCCCACACCCCAAACCCCAAACCCCAAACCCCAAACCCCAAACCCCAAACCCCAAACCCCCAACCCCCCAACCCCCAAACCCCAAACCCCAAACCCCAAACCCCAAACCCTAAACCCTAAACCCCAAAGGGCCAAAGCCGAGTGAAGCCTCGGCCGAGGCAGCCCGCTGCCGCCGAGCCACCCCGGTCTGCGCGCGGGCCCTCTGCCACAAAAACCCTGGACCCAAAGGCTTTTAGGGTTTAGAGAGTTTAGGGTTTGGGGGTCTAGGGGTTTAGGGTTTAGGGGTTTAGGGTTTAGGGTGCAGGTGCAGGTGTTTAGGGTTTAGAGAGTTTAGGGTTTCGGGTTTAGGGTTTAGGGTTTAGGGTTTAGGGAATCCCTCAACCCCAACAGCCAAGAGGGATGTGTTGGGGGTCGAGAGTTTATGCGAACTGTCATGCGGACACTCCTGAAGCAATCAGCTTGAGGTGAGAATACTGGATGAATTTGGGGTTAATTCAAGGCTCAAGCCTTCGCAGTGGCTTCTTACAGAAGGCTTTACGGGCGAGCCAGAGCGCCCTTGGACGCAGTCCCATCTGCTGACACGGCCATACATCGCCGCAAGCTTTGGGATGAAATGCTCGATTGAACCTGCTAATGTTGCACTGTCTTTAGTATGGGCCCCCCCCCCCCCCCCCAAACAAATTTGGACCCTCTATAAACGCGTGGCCCGGCGACCCCCCCAAACAAATTGGGGGGGGGGAACCGCCCTCAGGGCCTCAAGCCTTTAGGACCTCAAGGCCTGAAGCTTTCCAGCCTTTAAGATTCCTGGAGCCCAAGGCCCTCGGGGCCTCAAGCCTTACCGCGTAAGCCCTTAACCCAAAACACAAACCCTCAAAAAAAATCATCCGAAAAAAACTTGGTATTATAGAGGGTAGCCAGACAAACTTACTAAAAACAGTCTGACCGGCCCGTGGGCTACCTATCACAAAATTTGTTTGGGGCCTCGTTTCGTAATGAATTTCCATTAGGCTTTACATGGGATTGGCCGGGTTTAGATTTCTGGATTCTCCGCGCTCTGGCTCTTTAAGGTTCCTGGAGCCCAAGCCCTCAGGGCTTCAAGCCTTACTGCGAAAGCTCTTAACCCAAAACACAAACCCTCAAAAAAAATCATCCGAAAAAAGCTTGGTATTATAGAGGGTAGCCAGACAAACTTACTAAAAACAGTCTGACCGGCCCGTGGGCTACCTATCACAAAATTTGTTTGGGGCCTCGTTTCGTAATGAATTTCCATTAGGCTTTACATGGGATTGGCCGGGTTTAGATTTCTGGATTCTCCGCGCTCTGGCTCTTTAAGGTTCCTGGAGCCCAAGCCCTCAGGGCTTCAAGCCTTACTGCGAAAGCTCTTAACCCAAAACACAAACCCTCAAAAAAAATCATCCGAAAAAAGCTTGGTATTATAGAGGGTACCCTGAACAAACTCGGTTCGCAGAATAAATTTTCGAAACTTGTGATTATAGACCCTCCTTATACTAAAGTCAGTCCAACATTATACAGACTTCCTTCCGAGCGATCTGTACGGAGAGAATTGACAAGCTCAGAATTCAGACAGGCTCGTGGTCTCATACTTAAACACATCATCTGCGTACGTAATCCGAGGTCGTTGTAAGGTTGATTGTACGAAAAGGGGGTCGAGAGTTTAGTTTAGGGGCTTATAGGAACGAACCTAAACCCTTAAACCGCCAGTTCGCCAGTGTAGTGGTGTTGTGAACGGGGAGATGTTTGTTCGGGGGGTGGGGGCTCGGGGTTCAGTTTGGAGGTTTCGAGTTTCCAGTCTGTGAGTTCAGGGCTTCTGTTTCCGATTCTTTGTTCGGGTTAGGGTTATGCGAAAAGGGTTGAGAATGATATTGCGAAATTGTATGTGAGCGTTCATGGCAAGTTCCTTTATGACAGGAAATCTTCAGCCACATTCAGGATGCCCTGTGGTACCCTCATGGCCCTTATTCCCTTCTCGTAAGGGTTGCGATCGCCTGAAAAGCCAGCTTGAACAAACACTTAAAAGAACCGGTGCCTCCCTTGTGTTAGTTGGTCCATGTCTTACAGGGTTCTTTAGGGGGGGGGGGTGGTTCAAGGATTAGGGAACCTTGGGTTGCATGCATCCACCCCTCCGTTAAGAACCCCATACATTCCTCCCAGGTTGCTGGGAGCCCAAAGTACCCCAAGGCCCTGAACCCAGAAGCCCGAAGCCCTAAACCCTAAACCCTAAACCCTAAACCCTAAACCCTAAACCCTAAACCCTAAACCCTAAACCCTAAGCCCTAAACCCTAAACCCTAAACCCTACACCCTAAACCGCACCTGATTTAGGGTTCGAGGATGTCTGCCTCATGTTGTGGTTCAACCCGCGACCCGCAACCACTACAGTAGATGGGTTTAGGGTTTAGGGTTTAGGGTTTAGGGTTTAGGGCTTAGGGGTTAGGGTTTCCGACTTTGACAGGCTCAGTTAACAAACGAAGCCCCTGAACTGAGGCCGATCCCCCGCTCAAATCTCGCGGCTCTGGATGTTCAGCTCCCTGGCCTCGAAATCTGTACCGGTTCGGGGTGTAGGGTTTTTTAGGGTTTAGGGTTTAGGGTTTAAGGTTTAGGGTTTGGGGTTTAGGGTTTAGGGCTCCTCAAACACCCCAAATTACCCCAAAGAACGGTCATGGTCAAAAGCTACAACATGGCCCCATTGGCGCACAGGGTTCTGAGGAAGCGCACCCTTGCAGACTGAACCACTGCACCTTGAACCCTGAACCCTAAACCCTAAACCCTAAGCCCTAAGCCCTAAACCCTAAACCCTAAACCCTAAACCCTGAACTCAAGACTGCCTACATCTCCGAGGAGAATCAGGTTTGCATACCTAGTCTTGTGCAACCTTGAAGGCCTCTTGCCTGAAGCCGTTTAGGGTTTGCAGGCCCAAAAAATGAAAAAGCATTCTTGCTAATTAAGGGGAATGGAGGGATTGTTATGTTTTAAATACTCTTTTGGGGTTCTTAAGCGAATAGTAGTTGAGGTTTGTAGCGTTCAGGGTTTCCGGGCTTGAAGCTTCGGATGGCCTCCCCCCCCCCCACCCCCCCACCCCGCATCCCCCCCCCACCCCCCCCCCCTCCCCCCCAACCCCCCCCCCCCCCACCCCCCCCCCCAACCCTCCCCCACCCCCCCCCCCCAACCCTCCCCCCACCCCCCCCCCCCCCCCCCCACCCCCCCACCCCCCCCCACCCCTTTAATTTCGTCCCCACTCTTCCCTACATCCCCTTTAATCCTGCACCGGAAATCCCAAACCCCAAGCAACCCCAAGCCCCGTGGATGATGACCCAGGCGCCCCTCCCGAATCTCCGTTCACGATTTTGAAGGTTTAGGGTTGAAGAAGCCCCACTGCCCCCCCCCCCCCCCCCCCCCCCCTCCGCCAGGCTCTTGGAGTGCGTCCAGCGGCACGAGACGCACAAGGCCATCTGTCACCTGGGATTGAAGATGTGCGGTTTAGGGAATAAGGGTTCAGGTTAGGGTTCAGAGATTGATTCGTGGGCATGATAAAGCCCTACAGGCCTCCAAGCCCAAAACCCGAGTTGACCCGAAGATGATGCAGCCCAAACCCTAAACCCTAAACCCTAAACCCTAAACCCTAAACCCTAAACCCTAAACCCTAAACCCTAAACCCTAAACCCTAAACCCTAAACCCTAAACCCTAAACCCTAAACCCTAAACCCTAAACCCTAAACCCTAAACCCTAAACCCTAAACCCTAAACCCTAAACCCTAAACCCTAAACCCTAAACCCTAAACCCTAAACCCTAAACCCTAAACCCTAAACCCTCCCTCTTCACATATATATATATATATTTATTTATTTAAACCCAAATGAATTCGTCGAATAAGTCAAGTCCTTCGTCGAATAAGCCAAGTCCTTCGTCGAATAAGCCAAGTCCTTCGTCGAATAAGCCAAGTCCTTCGTCGAATAAGGCAATGCTTGCTCATTTGCCTTAGTCGACGAAGGACTTGGCTTATTCGACGAAGGACTTGGCTTATTCGACGAAGGGCCGGATCCTGGCCACTCTCCGACATTCGTCGATTAAGCCAAGTCCTTCGTCGAATAAGCCAAGTCCTTCGTCGAATAAGCCAAGCCCTTCGTCGAATAAGCCAAGTCCTTCGTCGAATAAGCCACGTCCTTCGTCGAACAAGCCAAGTCCTTCGTCGAATAAGCCAAGTCCTTCGTCGAATAAGCCAAGTCCGCGTCGAATAAGCCAAGCCCTTCGTCGAAGAAGCCAAGTCCTTCGTCGAATAAGCCAAGTCCTTCGTCGAATAAGCCAGGTCCTTCGTCGAATAAGCCAAGCGTCGAATAAGCCAAGCCCTTCGTCGATTAAGGCAAGCCCTTGGATGAAAATTATAAATTTCTTAATGTTATGGGATTCTTTGGGCGGGTGCGTTTTTTTTTCCTAAGCCTGGAGCCCCGTAATGACTATGAATGCTAGAACAGTGACCCTCCCTAAACCCTAAACCCTAAACCCTGAACCCTAAACCCTAAACCCTAAACCCTAAACCCTAAACCCTATTAGGGTTTAGGGTTTAGGGTTTAGGGTTTAGGGTTTAGGGTTTAGGCTAAACCCTAAACCCTAAACCCTAAACCCTAAACCCTAAACCCTAAACCCTAAACCCTAAACCCTAAACCCTAAACCCTAAACCCTAAACCCTAAACCCTAAACCCTAAACCATAAACCATAAACCCTAAACCCTAAACCCTAAACCCTAAACCCTAAACCCTAAACCCTAAACCCTAAACCCTAAACCCTAAACCCTAAACCCTAAACCCTAAACCCTAAACCCTAAACCCTAAACCCTAAACCCTAAACCCTAAACCCAAACCCCAACACCCAAAGGCCTTAGCTGCAACCTTACATCGGCTTGTGGGACATCCTCACAAGCTGGAAGAATCGCAGCCCGAAGCCCCCTAAGCCCCGAAGCCGCTAAGCCCCTAAGCCCCCAAGCCCCTAAGCCCCTGAACCCTAAACCCTAAACCCTAAACGCTAAACCCTAAACCCTAAACCCCAAACCCTAAACCCTAAACCCTGAACCCGAGTGCCCTTTGAGGTGACAGAGCTGCTGAAGCAGCGAGCAGACGTCCCGTGCTTGGCGGGCTTGGCAGGTCGGAGGGCTACAGGAGCATGCGGGACCCTAAACCCTAAACCCTAAACCCGAAACCCTAAACCCTAAACCCTCAACCCTAAACCCTAAACCCTAAACCCTAAACCCTAAACCCTAAACCCTAAACCCTAAACCGTGGCGTTCTTGAAGGTTTGCAGGCTACGGAACAGCAACGAATACAAAGCAAACACAATCGTCAATGTAAAGCGGGCACTCGACGAAATACGAGATTACACAACTCCAGGAAAACAGGGAGCAACATGACTGGCCAGAAATGAATGCAAACGGACGACGGCTAGAAAACAAGTAGGTAAGAGAAACAGGAAGCAAACGAACACACGTGCTTCAATCAGTATGCTCGCGTTGTTTATGCTTTCAGTACGGCTTGTCACAAGAACGCTCCCGCATCAAACTTCATAAGCTCGGGTGGAATTGGCTGAGATCCCTAAACCCTAAATCCTAAACCCTAAACCCTAAACCCTATACCCGAAACCTTATACCACCCTGAGCCCCAACCTTCCATCATGCTTCTCAAGCCTCGGTGCCTCTAAGCCTCTGCACTCGCCGAAGATACAGGGCAGAGGCCAGCCTGGCCACGCAACTACGGGTTTAGGGGTTTAGGGGTTTAGGGGTTTAGGGGTTTAGGGGTTTAGGGGTTTAAGGGTTTAGGGGTTTAGGGGTTTAGGCTTTAGGGTTTAGGGTTAGGGGTCGAGGGGGTTAGGGGTTTAGGGCAAGTATCCGCGACGCGACGAGGAAGAATTGAACGTCAATCATTAGCTTCTTAAACCCCATGCACTCCTTAGCCTTTCCACCCATGCCAACTTCTGCAGGGCTGGGGGTTCTACAACTCGTCGATGCGTTCCTGCGTTTCTCTCGGAAGCCTGAATCTTCTCTTCGGCGGGGGATCATGGAGGAAGTGTTTGCTAGGAGGTTAGATCAGGTTCCCCTCTGAACCACACTCGACAAGAAAAGGGAATCCTAAACCCTAAGCCCTAAACCCCTGGTCCTAAACCCCGACTCTAAACCCTAAACCCGAAACCCTAAGCAGTAAACCTTAAACCCCAAACCCCAAGCCCTAAACCCTAAACCCTAAACCCTAAACCCTAAACCCTAAGCCCTAAACCCCGAAGGCGCAAGTAGCAGATTCCTGGCACCTCAGGTCAACTTCCAGGAGGGGAGTCCATACCTCCGATCCCCGCTGCACTTGGCTGTGCGAGGCTTAGGACTCCAAACCCCTGAAAGCAGAACCACCCTAAACCCTAAGCCCTAAGCCCTAAGCCCTAAGCCCTAAGCCCTAAACCCTAAACCCTAAACCCTAAACCCTAAACCCTAAGCCCTAAACCCTAAACCCTAAACCCTAAACCCTAAACCCCCCGAGTGCAGATTCTCAGCTCCACGGTTTCGGCTCTGCTGAACTTTGCAGCCCCTTGGGGGAAGCTCCGGAGTGCGATGTTCGGATTGAGAGGGTTGAAGACTTGTGCCTTTTTGTGGAAGACATTTAGGTTTGAGGAAATTTTAGGGTTTAGGGTTAGGGTTTAGGGTTTAGGGTTTAGGGTTTAGGGTTCAGGGTTCAGGGTTCAGGGTTCAGGGTTCAGGGTTTAGGGTTTAGGGTTTAGGGTTTAGGGTTTAGGGTTTAGGGTTTAGGGTTTAGGGTTTAGGGTTTAGGGTTTAGGGTTTAGGGTTTAGGGTGCATACGGCACTACAGGGGGCGCCCAGAAGTGACCAGAGGTGTAGATCCCGCTCCTTCCCCACTAAACCCCCCAAAGTCCCCCAAACCCGAAGTTTTAGGTCCTGGGGGTGGTGCAAAGGTTCGCTTTCTGAACCGCGAACTCGACTTCTACGCTTTGAACACCTGAAGCCCCAAGCCAAAACCCTGAAGCCTCAAAACCCTGCAAACCCTCAAAACCCTCAAAACCCTCAAAACACTCAAAACCCTCAAAAACCCTCAAAACCCTCAAAACCCTCAACAAGAGGAAGCAAGCCCTGAGGTTGAGAACGGGGGCACCGTGGACGAAGTTGGCCTGCTGCTGCAGGCCTTCGCCCTTCAAAACCTGGAGCACAGGAAAGGGTTTAGGGTTTAGGGTTTAGGGTTTAGGGTTTAGGGTTTAGGATTTAGGGTTTAGGGTTTAGGGGTTTAGGGTTTTAGGGGTTTAGGTTTTTAGGGTTTTAGGGGTTTAGGGGTTTAGGGGTTTAGGGGTTTAGGGGCTTAGGGGTTTAGGGGTTTAGGGGTTTGGGGGTTTAGGGGTTTAGGGGTTTAGGGGTTTAGGGGGTTTGGGTTTAGGTTTTAATTCGGGTTTAGCGTTTAGGGTTTAACCCTAGAACTGTTTGAGCTCCAAAACACCCCATTTTGTGGAGGCACCTGGGTTAAGGTGGCCTAGGGTTTGGGGCTTGCAGGTTCAGGATGCTAGGGGCTTAGGGTTTAGGTCTTAGGGTATTGGAGTATGTTTGATTGCCTTGGGTGAACTCATCCAAGCAGCCAACTAAACTTTGTGCCCCTAAACCTTTAGACCCCTAAAGCTTAAACTTTAACCCCTTGCACCCTTAAACCATTTCCACCACAAATCTGAGGCTGTGCCGCCAGAACTCCTGCACCTATCCCTACATCTAAACCTTCAAACTTGAGAAACTCCGCAGCCCTTAGCAAACATCCCCTAAACCTTAAAACCTGAACTCAAAGTCCTTCACCTTCTGGGTTGCAAAAACCAAAACGCCACCAGAGCCAAAGACCGCCGATGCTGCAAGAGTTTTTTTGGGGCACCTAAACGGATCTTCGACATGCTTTTACAGAAGGGCTTTCGGGGTCTTCAGGGTTTTGTAGTTTAGGTGCTCACATACCCCGGGCCGGCGGCCGCTCCGCTTCGCGGCCATGGCACTGCGAGTCTGGGCGCTTTCGGGTCAGGAGCTGGCGGCCGTGAACGTTGAGAAGCTGTGGGTAAAGAAGGTGCTGAGCCTGAAGCTGAGCCTGCGTGCCTCTGCCCCAAGTAGCATGAAGGTCGTTTTTTTTAATCACAGCTTCCTTGGGTTTCTGCATATGCCTCACCTCATGGCAACTTTGAGTATGACGGGAGGTTTGGGACCTCTCCTTCCCAGAGAGGACCTCCCTTTACGGCCCTGTTCTGGAATCCCTTTGGCTCTCCTGAGGTAAGCTGCATGGGTTCCCGGTGTGCCTCCAGCGACTTTTACACAATGGCAGTGACTTGGACAATTCTGCCGGGGTCGAGGGCCTCACGGATGTGCAGTTGGTGCTGCTACCTGTATGCCCGTTGCAGGCAGACATGTCGGTGCAAGCAGCTGCAGACATTGCAGACGAGTTTGTTGATTACGGCGCCGCGGGAGGTCACTTAGAGACCCTACGCTTGCTCTTGGAGGCAGGTGTTGACAAGGATATCGTCGATGGCAGCGGGTGCACTGCACTTCTCTGTGCCTCTGACAGCGGAAGTGCCGAGACAGTGCGCTTGCTGTTGAATGCAAAGGCCGACAAGAGCCTCAAAGACTGCGATGGCTGCACGGCACTGGTTCGTGCCTCAGGCAAGGGCCATCTTGAAGTTGTCCGGATGCTCTTGGAATCCGGAGACATGGATGCTTCCATCGACCGCTGCAAGGCCCTGATACATGCATCCCGGGAGGGCCACGTCGCGATTGTACGCCTGCTGCTGTCGTGCACGGAGGGCGGCGGCTCCGATTGCTATCATTATGCTGGCGCCACCGCTCTTTCTTGCGCATCTGACCATGGCCATGTTGAGGTTGTACAGTTGCTGTTGGAAAACGGGGTTGATATGGACCTTACTGATGACGACTGGTACGCAGGATGGGATGGCTACACCGCTCTGATTTGCGCATCAGAGCGAGGCCTTGTCGAGATCAGCGAGATCCTGCTGCGGGCACGTGCTGGCACAGATGTTGTCAACCACTATGGGCGCACAGCCCTCATGTGCGCTTCTGCACGTGGTCATGCCGACAATGTACGATTGCTGTTGCAAGCTGGTGCTGACAAGAATGTCCTGGACTGTAATGGTGACACTGCCCTGATGTGTGCATCTGAAGAGGGCCATCTTGAGATCGCGAGTTTGCTCTTGGAAGCTGGCGCGAACACAGAGGTTCGAAACCACAGCGACCAGACGGCCCTTGTGTGTGCATCGGATAACGGCCATGCCGAGACGGTCCGGCTGCTTCTGGAAGCTCGTGCTGACATGAACGCTGTGTCGCAGGGTTTCTGTGGTGGAACTGCCCTGATTCGTGCATCTACCAGAGGCCATGTTGAGATCGCCCGCATGCTGCTCGACGCCGGCGCGGACAAGGACCCCGTCTGGCACTTCAGAGACTACAACAACGCGCCCCTCTCATGCGCAGCCTGCGAAGGCCATGTGGAGATCCTGCGCCTGCTCCTGGAGGCCAAGGCCGACAAGGACAGCGTGGATCGTGATGGCGAGACCGCGCTCCTCGGCGCTGCGAGAAGAGGGCACGCAGAGATTGTCCGCCTGTTGCTGGAGTCGGGAGCCGATCAGAGCATCGCTGACAGTGACGGAAGCACAGCACTCACCTGGGCATCTCGCAGTGACCACGTGGAGGTCGTGCGTTTGCTGGAGTCTGAAACGGAGCACAGTAGTCAGTAGTCCGACCACCCAGCCACCCACCCACCCACCCACCCACCCAATCTCTCTCTCTCTCTCTTAGCCGCCTCTAAGCCCATAAGAGCCGCCTAGCGCTTTCCCTGGTCTGATATCCGCAGGCTGCGGCAAACGTCAACGCCGTCATGGCCCACGGGAAAACGCCGCTTCACGTGGCGATACAGCAGTGCCCCGTCGTCGTGCTCTGAGGGTGGTTGCCAATCAGGATCGAAGTAGATGTTGGCAGACCCTAAGCCTACAGCAAACCATGAGCTCGGTAGACTGCGCACCGAACCCACCCTGCCCCATCAGAAGCAAACAATAACGCAAGGCAGTGCAGAAGGCTTGACGCCTCACTTGCGCTACCGATTTAATGTCCGAACCGCAAGACCTTCACCCTAAACACTCAACCCCAAACCCCAAACCCTAAACCCAAAACACTCAACCCTAAACCCCATTCCCATTCCCAAAGCCCTAAGCCCTAAAGAACGGCCTGAGCTCCACCATTGCCTTCCAGGCGTCGAGAGTTAGGACTTCGTACTTCAGTAATCCAGGTACAGTTTTAAAGGTTTTGTTAGGTTTAGGTTTTAGTTTAGGGCTAAAGGGTTTGGGGGCTTGAGGGTTTTGGAGGGCTTTTGGGCGTTTAGGCAGCTTGGGGCAAGGGGTTTGGGCAGTTTGGGGTTCAAGGGTTGAAGGGTTGAAGGGTTTGGGGTTTCAGGAAGGGTTTCAGAGCCTTACTCGGGGAGTGCTAGGGGGCTTCAAGGGTTTTTGGGTTGTAGGGCTTGTGGGTTGTTGGGCGAAAGGGTTGCGGGCGCGGAGAGTGCTTTTGGGATTTACGGGTTTTAGGGGTGGGAGTCCCCTAGAGTTAAGTAGCTACGTTATAAAAAGGGTTTAGGGGTTAGAGTTAGGGTTTGGGGTTTCGGGTCGAGGTTTGGGGCTACTCCCGGCCCCCCTCGCCCCTGGGTACATTGGGAAAGGTACCGAAAAATTCCGACCGTCGCCATTGGCATGCTGCCTCTCGTCGGGATGCAATTGATTGGGTTCAGGGTTTCAGGGCTTCAGGGGTTTCGGTGGTTCAGGGCTTCATGCGCATAACCCTTGCAGACTGTTCGTGTGCCCCGAAGAAGGTGAACATTGCTCCCGTGTACTTGAGTGGTGAATCAGAGATTGAGGCTGGCAAGAGATTCAAGGCAAGACATTCAATGCATTACATGACTGGAATGACTGTCCACGTCTCAACTGTATGGGCAGAGAATGTGGTTAAATCAAATCCTTGACCGTAAACCCTAGCCCTAAACCCTAAACCCCAATTGAGGGCCGGATGGAGGTGGGACACCTGATCAGCAAACGGAGCTTCGAGGTTTTGGGGGGGTTGAGGGTTTAGGCTTTAGGGTTTTGGGTGTAACATTGTTCGGGTGGGTAGAGTAGGCCCTTATTCCCTTCTTTGGGGTTAGGTTCGCCCCTGAATACCAGAAAGGGTTCCCTTTTGAGGCTTACTTTTGGGTAAACCCTAAACCCTAAACCCTAAACCCTAAACCCTAAACCCTAAACCCTAAACCCTAAAACCCTAAAACCCTAAAACCCTAAAACCCTAAAACCCTAAACCCTAAACCCTAAACCCTAAACCCTAAACCCTAAACCCTAAACCCTAAACCCTAAACCCTAAACCCTACACCCCACACCCCAAACCCTAAACCCTAAACCCTGATCCGCCTAGGCTCTGCAGCAAAGCTAACACAGAAGCCACAGACTCCAGGCCAGCGAGTCGTTGCACGCAGGTTGAGGAGGTTGTGAAGTGAAGGCTTCTTAGGGGGTTTTACTACTTCTACGGGGTTGCCTGCCATTTTTTTGGGGAGTAAGGTTTTTTAGGTTTACTAGTGAAAGGTTTCATTTTGAGTTTTTAGGTCTTTTTCAGTGGTTTGGTAGTTGGTTAGGCTCGTGGAGCCTCTGGGATCTTCAGTTGGAGGAGTTGGAGGGTTTTGGCGGACCTCGCAGGGCTGCATATATATATATATACATAAATATATATATATATATATATATATTTATACATATACATATACATATGAATATATATATATATATATACACATATCTATACACCTACATCGATATGTGCTTGCTCAATGCATAATTTTCATGCATATATAGAAAAATGTATGTATGTATAGATGTATTTTTACATAACAAGCAAGTACAAGGTTAAATACAAATAGAATTAGAAATAAGCAAACAGCTATACACACATGTATATACATTCATACATACATACATACATACATACATACATACATGCGCACATACATACATACATATATATATGTATATATGTAGGCTAACACCACCACCACCCCCCCCCCCCCCCCCCTAAAGGACCTTCCTTTTTCCGCATTTCTTGATTAACATTTGCAACAGCAAAAAACGGCAGAGCCGGCTCGAAAAGTCCCAAATCTTTGACAGCCAGCCAAGACGGAGGACCATAGTTTCTTGGGATTTCGGGTTTTCGGTTTTGGAGCCGGCTCTAGTTTGGTAACCCTGATGTGTTGTTTATATGTGTGTGTGTGTGTTTTTTTGTTTTTTGGGTGGGGGGGGGGGTCGAGCCTGCTCGACAAACCTCGCGTTTTGTTGACGAACAAACTGAAATTTCATTTAGCCGGTACAAACAGACATATCTAATTTACTTAGTACGCTTTATATGTTTAGTTTGATTCGTCTGAGTCATCTTATTCATGCAGCTATTACCCCTATATAATTCATCCGACTAGTATACATATTAAAATGTCATGAATGTATTTGCAACGAGCAATAGCAATAGTAGCACTAATCGAAGTCAATTCTAACGGAACTAGTGAAACCAATGCCATTGAGATAAAGAGTGTACACAACATAATTAGCGAAACTACTACATCCAAAATCATGGAGTATGAGCAGCCTACCTTGAGAATGGTCTAAGAACAGAACTAACAAAGTTACTGTAGTTTCAAAATGTTGCTATTTATGTTATTTCGTATAGCTAATACCGAGAATGCAAGTAGTATACCTCATATGGCAAGTAATCGGTCAAACATGATTCATCGGCTTCATGCACCGACTACATTTGTTGTTGCTACTACAACGAATATAGTGGTGCTTACCTGGCACATAAGATATAACTGACATGCTTGACATAAATCATACAGTTGGAAGAGTTCATATATTCAAGATAGTTAATCTCATGAATCAAAAGTATGACAATATAGCCACCGCAATCAGTGACATTCGTAAAAGGCATTGTGCTCATAATATATATATATATGTTCAGTATATGCAGTATGATCACTACATTCAATATTCATCTTATTCACTATGCACGATTAATTATTATCATTTTCATCCTTGTCTTCAGTAGTTCCATCAAGTATAGTCAGTATACCCGTTGTATATCCGTTGTTTTATCCATCACATTCGTTGCGTTTGTTGTATTCGATATATGAGTTGCATTCAATGAACCTTGTGTGTTGGGAATATCAGTTATACTCACTATTTGACGAGGGTACTTTTACTATTGATAGTCAGTTCATCAACTGGTTTTTCTTTTATGTTCCCGAGAATCCAAGACAACATGTCAGGCTCTGCGCTTGTTATGGGGGGAGGGGAAATCCCAGTCAACATATTGAAAATCCATAACCTGAAAATAGCTCACATGTGTTTATAGATACTGCAACACACACACACATATATATATATATACATATATATCTATATGTATATTTATGTACATATGCACATATATACATATGCATATGTATACATTTGTATGTATATATCTATACACACATACATGCATGCATGCATACATACATACATACATGCATGCATACATACATACATACATACACATATATATATGTGTATATATATATATATTATTCTACATATATATATATATATGTATATTCACATTGCGATGGCAGGGCTGAGGGTTTAGGACCGGCGGAGCTTCTTCGGCCTTTAGGGCTTAGGGCCAAGTGCTGCTGGGCTTATTGCTGGCAAACCTTGACCCTTGAAAGCCTGGAACCTACTGTATATCTAGCCAGGCCCGGGGTTTAGGGTTCAGGGTTCAGGGTTCAGGGTCGGGTTTAAACCCAATCTGATGTGTGTCACGTTGATGGGAGATGCCCCCCTTCCACCCCGGCCAACCCCGAAAACCCCCAAAACCCCCCCTGAGCCCCCGAAACCCCCCCAAAACCCCCCCTAAGCCCCCGAAACCCCCCAAAGCCCCCTAAGCACCCTAATCCCCCAAGACACACCCGAAGACTGTCAAGCCCATGGGTGCGACAACCAAAGAAGGCTGTAGAGTTGAGGGTTTAGGGTTTTAGGCTTAAGGGTTTAGGGAACACCCGCGTGAACTGGCAGCTCGCGAACGCCCATGGACCTGATCAAGCAAGTCTTTGGCCAGCCATCTGCTCGGATTGCGCGGGAGTCGTTTGTTAGGGATCTTCGGTCTTCGGGGGTTTTAGGGATCTTCGGTCTGAGGGGTTTGGGGGTTTAGAGGTTTAGAGGTTTGGGGTTTGGGGGTTGGGGGGTTTAGGCAGGGGAGTTTGGAAATGTGAGGGATTTTGGGGTCGAGGGTTTTCTGGGCTTGAGCTTGGGGCGTGGATTCAAGGTTTTGGCTTAGAATAACTGCGGCAAGAGCTCTTGACCCTTGAATCCCTCGTCCCAAGCCCGAAGCCCAAAATGCTTACAAAGCCTCAGCCCTTCTAAACCCCCAAATCCCTAAGTCCCTACAGTAAACTCCATGAAAGTTGGAACATGGTCTAAGGATCATTCGAGCTGGGATTCAATTTAGTATACATTCTGGGGTATGGGGATAAGGAGTTCCCAACTTTTTGGAGTTTACCGTAAACCCCTAGAATTTTCGATGTTCCCCCGTACACTAGCAATCCTTAATAGGGATAAACGCCGTTGGTGTCCAGCAAGCCCCTCCTAACCAAGCCTTAACGGGAATCGCTCTTTTAATGAGCATTTATGTTATGTTTCCTACCTGTGATAAAAAGCGGGGGTACTATAATCCCTATGAAGGAATGTTTGTACAAGGGGGAACATCCCAACCTAAACCCTAAACCCTCAACCCTGAACCCTAAACTCTAACCCTCAACCCTAAATCTCAAGCAAGGCACCAACGCTCAAACCCCAATTTGAAGGCACCTGTCTTCTGATAATGTAGTTCAGTTTTGGGGCGGACCTCAGAAGTAGGGAAGTGCAACCTTACAAGGTGTAGACCTCTGCAGTAGTCTCTTAGACTCTGGACCCCATCGTACGTCCAAGTTGCAGAACCCTAAACCCTAAACCCCAAACCCCAAACCCTAAACCCTAAACCCTAAACCCTGAACCTCAAACCGTGAAAATCCCTAACCCAGGCTGTCGGCGCGTGGGCCCGACAACCAGCCATTGCTCTCCCCGGCGGACAGCACGAAGGCGCGGCCGGGTTCAGGTTGTTTCTTTAAAGTGCTACCCTACCTCCCTAAACGGCCCATGGGCCTAAACCCTAAACCCTAAACCCTAAACCCTAAACCCTAAACCCTCAACCCTCAACCCTCAACCCTCAACCCTCAACCCTCAACCCTCAACCCTAAACCCTAAACCCTAAACCCTAAACCCTAAACCCTAAACCCTAAACCCTAAACCCTAAACCCTAAACCCTAAGGGGTGCCGGGTTGAGGGCCAGCTCCATCGGCATTCCCTGAGCGGCCTCAGCTTCAAGACGGGTGGAGGGCGGGTTCCTAGTCCCAGCCACTCACCCGAGGCCCAGAGCCCCAAAGAAGGCCGGCGTTTAGGGTTTAGGGTTTAGGGTTTAGGGTTTCAGGCTTTAGGGTTTAGGGTGTAGGTTTCAGGGTTTGGGGTTTAGGACCTTGCAACCCACATGCCCTGGACATAAACACCTATACTATGCCCCAGTGGTAAAGTATCCCAGGCCCGTCAGCTCCTTTCCTTGGTCATGGACCAGCGGATGGTGGCCTTCAATCTGGAGAGCCAGGCCGTGCTTTTTTTGTATAAGCTGGAGAGGCGTGGACGGATGGAGGGGGTGTAACCCTAAACCTAAACCCTAGACCCCTAACCCTAAACCCTGAACCCTCCCTAAAGCTGAAAGCCTAGAAAACTAATAGTATTCGCTTATGGTCCCTTTTATGGTCCCTTCGTAAATCTCCTTTCAGAGCCCCCGAAACCCTAGACCCTAGACCCTAGACCCTGGACCCGAAACCCTAAACCCTAAACCCTAAACCCTAAACCCTAAGCCCTAAGCCCTAAACTCTAAACCCAATTCTAACTATTAAGGCCCCTCTATCATTTTTTTCTTTGCTGCTGTCTTGGTTGGGCTCATGCTCCGAAGGCAGCATCCATGAAGTCAATCACATGTGTCGAAGGTAACGCGCAAGTAACAGGGTTTAGGGTTTAGGGTTTAGGGTTTAGGGTTTGGGGCACATATCTCAAACTATGACTTTCTTTGTGTTGCTTTGTCTGCTTGTGCTAGAAAGAGTCTCCGCATTTTTGCGTGAACCTGGTTCACACCAGCAGCTTAGGTTGTAAGCCAATTTTTTAGGTTTTCGGGCAGAAAAGGGGGCAGGGTTTTATACTTTGGGATTCAAGGGGCTTTCCAGCCCAACAAAACAAGCAAGCGTCAACCCCATTTCGAGTCGTGACGCTACATTAGGGTTTGGGTTCAGGGTTTTGGGTTTGCAGCGGAGCACCAAAACGAGCGCCCGACTTTCTGGATCCTCCCAGGTTTTGATTGCACTGTGAGGGGTTTCCTACGTAGCATCATGCCACTTGCAATTGAAGTGGGCCTGCTAAGCGGCAGGACAGTTTTACTGGAAGCTGAACCGGATGAGCTTGTAGAAACGTTGAGGAGCAGGGCGCGGAGAGCTTTGGTAGTTGGCAGGGCCCGTCTCTTGACCTCCTCCGGGGGCGTTCTGGATGGTGCAGCCACAATTGAGGAATGTGGGCTGCGGACCGGCGATGCGCTGACGTTGCAGATAGGCGAAGTGACAGTCCACGGCAGCGCTCATGCATTGGCTGCAATCCTGGGTGATGGTTCTGTTGCGACCTGGGGATTTCCTAAGCTTGGCGGCGACAGCAGTGCGGTGCAAGATCAGCTGAAGGACGTGCGGCAGATCCAAGCTACCCACTCGGCGTTCGCTGCCGTTCTAGGTGATGGTTCTGCTGTGATCTGGGGAGATTCTTATGGTGGCGGCGACAGCAGTGCAGTGCAAGATCAACTGAAGGACGTGCGGCAGATCCAAGCCACCAACTTGGCGTTTGCTGCACTCCTCGGCGATGGGTCTGTTGTGACCTGGGGGAGCACTCTGAATGGCAGCGACGCCAGTGCAGTGCAAGATCAGCTGAAGGACGTGCGCCAGATCCAAGCTGTCAACTCGGCGTTTGCTGCCGTTCTAGGTGATGGTTCTGCTGTGGCCTGGGGACATGTTGAATCTGGCGGCGACAGCAGTACAGTGCAAGATCAGCTGAAGGACGTGCGCCAGATCCAAGCTACAAGCTCGGCTTTTGCTGCCATTCTGGGCGATCGGTCGGTTGTGACCTGGGGATATGATAGCTTTGGTGGCGACAGCAGTGCAGTGCAAGATCAGCTGAAGGACGTAGTCCGGATCCAGGCTAATCTCCATGCCTTTGCTGCCATTCTAGGTGATGGTTCTGTTGTGGCCTGGGGAAGTGTTTACAATGGCGGCGACAGCAGTGCAGTGCAAGATCAGCTGAAGGACGTGCGCCAAATCCAAGCTACCAGCTCGGCTTTTGCTGCCATTCTGGGCGATCGGTCGGTTGTGACCTGGGGATATGATAGCTTTGGTGGCGATAGCAGTACAGTGCAAGATCAGCTGAAGGACGTGCGCCAGATCCAAGCTACCAACGCGGCGTTTGCTGCCGTGCTAGGTGATGGTTGTGTTGTGGCCTGGGGACATGCTGACGCTGGCAGCGACAGCAGCGCAGTGCAAGATCAGCTGAAGGACGTGCAGCAGATCCAAGCTACCCAGTCGGCGTTCGCTGCCATTCTCGGTGATGGTTCCGTTGTTTCCTGGGGCAAAGCTGAGAAGGGCGGCGACAGCAGTGCAGTGCAAGATCAGCTGAAGGATGTGCGTCAGATCCAAGCGACCAGCACGGCGTTTGCTGCCATTCTAGGTGATGGTTCTGTTGTGGCCTGGGGAGATGCTGTCGGTGGCGGCGACAGCAGTGCAGTGCAAGATCGGCTTGTTGGGACCTGAGGATGCGTTCTGTATGGTGGCGACAGCAGTGCAGCGTGGTGGTGACAGCACCGCGGTGCCAAATCAGCTGCTGAGCTCGTAGCAGATGTTGCAACATCTGTGTGCCAACGGCCGCAAGGGTGCTGATTCTTAAAAGGGGCTGACTCGATGTAGAAGACCAAAGCCTTTGCAGCAGCGTTTGGACTGCAGGTTTCGGGCTCGTTGCCTGAAGCCTTTTGTGGCTTCTTAGGGTGAATTCTCCTAAACCCTAAACCCTAAACCCTAAACCCTAAACCCTAAACCCTAAACCCCAAACCCTAAACCCTAAACCCTAAACCCCAAACCCGAAACCCTAAACCCTAAACCCTAAACCCTAAACCCTAAACCCTAAACCCTAAACCCTAAAACCAAAACCCTAAACCCTAAAGCTCGGTGCCGCCAGGCATCTTGAAGAACAGCGTTCGGGGCAAGTTTCGCATCACCCGAACCCCTAAACCATAAACCCTAAACCCCAAACCCCAAACCCCAAACCCCAAACCCCAAACCCCAAACCCTAAACCCTAAACCCTAAACCCTAAACCCTAAACCCTAAACCCTAAACCCTAAACCCTAAACCCTAAACCCTGGCCATGGCCAAGGCGTTTCTTCCCTTTGGTGCTTTGCCAACTGAGGCTTAATGCGAAGGGCGAATCATGGCTACAGATGGTTAGAGGAGTCATATATCCCTCATCAATAGCCCGAAAGACCCCTAAGCCTTAAACAGCCCTAAGCCGTATTTTGAGGTATGTCTTCAAGCCCGAGGACCCCACACACAGAACTACCCCCAAGTTTGAACCTTTCAGTGTTGACGAAATCCTGCAAGACTTTGCTCATTGGCTTTTGGGCTTTCAGGGATTTTGGGGGCCTAAGCGCCATACCCTAAACCAACAACCCTAAACGGCTGGGTTTAGGACCTGAAGCCAAGGAAGACATCATGCGACATGGAAAGGGACTCCACCCAAAGGGACTGCAATTTAGAGGGAACTGCAGAGTCCAGCAACTGCTTGCCTAAGTCCGAAATCCTGAACCCTAAAGGCCCTGCCCTGAACCCTAAACCCTAAACCCTAAACCCTAAACCCTAAACCCCAAACCCTAAACCCTAAACCCTAAACCCCAAACCCCAAACCCCAAACCCTAAACCCCAAACCCCAAACCCCAAACCCTAAACCCTAAACCCTAAACCCTGAAGACCAAGTCCTTAGCTTTGGTCCACCTTCTGCGGCGGCAGGAAGTGCAGGGCGTGCACTTCGCGGACCTCTGGGCTTTGAGATTTTGAGTTCTGGATGCAGGGTTCTTAGGGTTTTTCGGGTTTAGGGTTTAGGGTTCAGGGTTTAGGGTTTAGGGTTCAGGGTTTAGGGTTTAGGGGTTTAGGGGTTTAGGGTTCTTAGGGTTTTGGGGTTTGGGGGTTTAGGGGTTTAGGGTTTAGGGTTTAGGGTTAAGGTTTAGGGTTTAGGGTTTGGGGGTAGGGTCTATGACCCGGCGCTGTGCTTCGAGGCCAAACCTTAGACTCTAAAGGTGCATGTTTAGGGTTTAAGGAGAAGTGGCTTAGGGCTTAGGGCTTTGGGCTTAGTGCTTAGGGTTTAGGGTTTAGGATTTAAGGAATCGGGGTTTAGGGTTTAGGGCCTAGGGCCTCAGGAATTCAGGGTTTAGGGATACGTTGGGCTTCGCCAGCTTGGCGCCACGACTGTAAGGGGCGTCTTGGATGTATTGGGGCTGGTGATGGGGGCAAGTTTCGCACGACCCGAAACCCTAAACCCTAAACCTAAACCCTAAACCCTAAACCCTAAACCCTAAACCCTAAACCCTAAACCCTAAACCCTAAACCCTAAACCCTACACCCTAAACCCTAAACCCTAAACCCTAAACCCTAAACCCTAAACCCTAAACCCTAAACCCTAAACCCTAAACCCTAAACCCTAAACCGCCATGGTCCGCGCTCAGCCGCCCTCATCAAGGCTCTCCCTCTATGCTCTGGGCCTCAGGAAGGTGGATGCTGGGGGCGGTTTTGGCCATGAACCCTAAAACTTAAACCTAAACCCTAAACCCTAAACCCTAAACCCTAAACCCTAAACCCTAAACCCTAAAGCCTAAACCCTAAACCCTAAACCCTAAACCCTAAACCCTAAACCAACGAGAAAGAAATCGAACCTGCTCTGTACCTCACCGCTTGGGCTCTTTTGGTCTTAGGGTCTTAGGGTCTTTAGGGTCTTAAGGGTCTTAAGGGTCTGAGGGCCTTGGGGCCTTCGGGCCTTAGGGCCTTAAACTTCAAGCCCCACAATTTAAACCCTAAACCCCAAACCGCTTAGGGTTTAGGGTTTAGGGTTTAGGGTTTAGGGTTTAGGGTTTAGGGTTTAGGGCTCCAGGGGTTTAGGGCTTAGGGCTTCGGGTTCAGAGGACACGGAGGGTGACAAGATCGTCTTCGACACCAAGTCCGGAGTCGGACTGTGCTCCTTGTAGCAGGGCTTTAGGGTTTGGGGCTTCGGGTTTGGGGTTTCGGGTTTAGGGTTTAGGGTGCAGGGTGTAGAGTTTAGCGGTGGACCCCCAAGACCCTCAGCTTTAGGGGCTGGCAACAGCGAATATTCGTAGACGCATACATACATACATGCATGCATGCATGCATGCATTTTGCATGCATGCATGCAAAATTCATACAAGGTCTCTGGGGTGCCTGAGGGGCAAGCCCTAGGGTCTTGGGGGCGGAGGGACTCCCTCCAAACCACAAACCCAGGTTGGTGAAGAAGGTGAGGGTTTGGCGTTTTTGAGGGAAAAATGGTCTGCGGGCATGCTCGTTGAAGAATGGGACGCTGAAGATTTGGAGGCTTGGGGCAAGTGGTTGGCTGGTTGAAAGTGAGAAAATGAGGTCTGCAAAGTTGAGAAAAGCGGTGGGAAATTGGTTGTGGGGTTGCTGAGAGCATGTTGGGTGATTTGGGGGTGTGGTCAGCTGTGTCGGAAAAATGACTGGAAAATTGACTTTCGGTGTGGGGCTGGTGGGGGGGTATATGTGCGGCTACGGCACTATACACCTAACGGTGCCTATGCCGTCCCAACTCGCCTCCGATCTGAGAATAGTGCCTCCTTGCGGATTCAGAAAGCCCTAAACCCTAAACCCTAAACCCTAAACCCTAAACCCTAAACCCTAAACCCCAAACCCCAAACCCTAAACCCTAAACCCTAAACCCTAAACCCTAAACCCTAAACCCTGAACCCTGAACACTGAACCCTAAACCCTAAACCCTAAACCCTAAACCCTTTTCGCGTCAATTCATGTCCTTGCCACTTCCAGATCCAGCGACCCCCCCGGCCGAGAGCCCTCAAAACACGACGCCCTAAACCCCAGGCCCTCTTAGCAGCTGAGTAAGAAACCTTTTAAACTCTTAGGGTCTCTCTCTCTCTCTCTCTTTTTGTTTTCTCTCTCTCTCTATATATATATATATATGTATTATAATTTTTTTGGTATCTCTCCTTTATCCCCCAAGTAACATAGAATCCCTTGAAAGGGACCCCCAAAAAGGGCACCTCTCTTTTCGGAAACCACCATATAGACCTACCATAGTTGAAAGGTGAAAGTTTTTGGCTAAACCCTAAACCCTAAACCCTAAACCCTAAGCCCTAAGCCCTAAGCCCTAAGCCCTAAGCCCTAAGCCCTAAGCCCTAAGCCCTAAAGAACCCCTGAGAGCCAGGTACAGTATCAAGGCTCAGCGAACGCTGTTCTTCAAGATGCCTGGCGGCACCGAGCTTTAGGGTTTAGGGTTTATGGGTTAGGGTTTAGGGTTTAGGGGTTAGGGTTTAGGGTTTGCTGTGATAGGGCGTGGGTGCTGTCAAGATTAGGTTTCGGAACAAGCTCGAAAGCTTCGTGATGTGCAAAGAGCAGCTTTGGCCCGATTGTGGAGGGCCATCTAACACTTTTCTCCCACCCCACGCCGTCCGAGGCGCCGAAGCCACCCAAACCTATTCTCTTTAGGGTTTAGGCTAAACTCAATGCAACAGTCCACTTCTAAAAACTATTCAATTTCACGATGTTCGGGGTTGAAAATGCCAGCGTTTCAACAACAAATAGGGATTTACTTTACAAAAAGACGAGTACTGGTCCCGAGGAGAATGTGCTCCGGTACCGGGCCATCAGGACCCCCGAGCTGTGGGAGGCGGGCGAGCGACCTGAGTCGGCTTGCGCCATCGAGGTCGACGGTCGACGGGCTTAAGCCGCCCCCCAACGTAGAAAAAACGTAGGGGGGCGGCCTAGACCCCGAGTTTGGGGTTTAGGGTTTAGGGTCTAGGGTTTAGGGTTTAGGGGCACAGGGCGCTGGTATGGTATGCTTGGGACTCTCGGGTTTCAAGGTTTTGGGGTTTCGGCGGCTTTTTGGGTTTCAGTGCCTGGGGCCCAACAACCGTGATGGCTCCCGTGATGTCTGAGAGAGGGTCAACCCAAGTCCCTGAACTTACCAGCGCACAGCTTACCTACTTGGAGGATGGGCACTTATAACCACAACTATAAATCTACCTATAGACTACTTAGGGGACTTGGGGGGCTTATAAGTACAGTTAGAATTGGGGTTATAAGTACCCTGAACACCCAAGTAGTAGCCTGCGCAAAAACCGCAGACCCGACCCTACACACCCTGTGCGTCTGAAGGCGTGATGAGCAGAGACCCTGTGTCCTTTGGAGGCTATGGTTTAGGGCTTATCAGCGGTAGGTTTGAAAATAATTTCCAGTTTATATTTCCCAGGATCTCCTTTATCATCCTTACAAAGCCATAAATATTTTTCTAGGGACCCCAAACCTACCCCAGTTAAGGGTTTAGGGTTTAGGGTTTAGGGTTTAGGGTTTCGGGTTTAGGGTTGAACCTTGCAAGCTTTTCTCCCCCTGTGGACCTGCCCAAGGAATCTCAAGCAGAAGTCGGCCTGGCTTCGTGTTGCTGCTGGCTGAGTTTGGCGTTGGGGGGGCATCCTCCGGAGTTTGGGGGGTTTAGGGTTTAGGGTTTAGGGTTTAGGGTTTAGGGCTTCGTCTGTAGGGTTTAAGGGTTGAGGCTGGGCATTGCATGCTTCCCTCGGCACCTTGTCAATGCTGCCCCCCCCCCAAAAAAAACACACACAAAATCCCCCAACCATCCTGACATGGCATGGGTAACCCCAACCTTTTGGTTTCAGGTTCAGGGCTTGGGATGATGGTTTAGGATTTGGGGTTCCTGTCCTTGCGAGAGGTTTGTTGTGACACCTCCTTTCGGCCCTCTTTGGACATCGAAGTTGGGAGTTGATAGGTCAAAAAGCGTAGATGTCGGGGTCCTCCTCAAGCCCCTAGAAGGCCCTAAACCGTTGAAACCCCGCAGTCACGGTGAGTATGAGATTCTGCTCAATGTACGCGTGTTGCTACGCTAATTCGTAGCACAGCTCGGGGTACTCGGCTGCGCTGCGCACTCCTGGCCGGCCTGCTGCGCTCGCCAGGTACGAGGGAAGTGTCTACAATGTGGCAGTCAACCCGGAAGCAGGCACAGTAGCAGTCGCGTTCTCAGCCGCCGTCAGGGTTCTGGGATTCACGCCCGCAAAGGGCGAAAGTCTCATCGAGAACGCCCTACGCCCTAACGAATCAGGGTTGTCGGCTTTCTTGGCAGGTGTCCCTCCCCAAGCTTTTCAGCTTCCTTGCGATTCGCAAAGATTTGCAGCAGGGGCAACGCAAGAAGACTCAGCTCCATCCCGAACCAAGTATCAACAAGTGTCTTAGGCTTGAGAGAACCCTCCATCGTGTCCCGATTCGCAAAAACTCGGGAGGACGATGCCACACGACGTCCCCTGGGTCCCCAATGAAGCGCAAACCGCTGATTCCGAAGTGCGAAACCTGGGACCCCTGAACCCTGACCCTGAAGCCCTAGGCTCCAAGCCCTGAGCTCTAAACTCGACGCCCCCTAAGCCCTGAACTCTAAGCCCGAAGAGCCCTTAAAGCAGCTGAACCACTACACCCCCCCCCCCAAATTCCCTCCCAAACTCCCAAGCCCTAAACACGCGATGCTGCAGACCCCCGGCTCAGGCGTGCCTACGATTCATGCAAGCGGGCGAGGGTGCGGCTCAGGCGATGCAGGGTCAAACTTTGGACTTTAGAACCTAGAGTTTGGGGCTTCAGGCCTCTGATTTCTTGCAAGCTTCCCTACTCGGAGCAACCCTAAGCCCTAAACCCTAAACCCCTAAACCCCTAAACCCCTAAACCCCTAAACCCCTAAACCCCTAAACCCCTAAACCCTAAACCCTAAACCCTAAACCCCTAAACCCTAAACCCTAAACCCTAAACCCCTAAACCCCGAATCCGTTTGGAAGGGTCGGGGATTCCATGGCTTGAAGGGGTCCAGGTTTGTGATTGGCCAGTCCCGACTCCTCCGACCCTTTCGCCCGGAACTGCCTAGAAGGGTTTAGGGCTAAGGGCTTCCCAGGCCCGAAGGTTGGGGGGTGAGGAGTTTGGACTTTCAGGGGATTTGGCGTTCAGGGGTTTGAGTTGCTTTAGAGGGCCTTTGTGCCTAGAACCCGAAGGCGAACAAGCCTAAACCCCCCAAACCCGAGCCCGCAAGTACCAGAACCACAACATGACCAACCTCAAGCTTCTTATTCTCCCAAAACCTCCACCAACCCAGACGCACACCCGGAAAGCCCTAAACTCGTATACCACCCCAAAGATACACCCCTATACACCGCTGTGCGCACCTGTGCACCTTTTGTGCAGACATGGGCTTCCTTGTCCGCGTTTGTCACAGCCACGACCCGTCTCCTTCATCAAAGTGGCGAGAATTTGGAGGGTGGCCGTGGGTTCACAGGGCACCTGTGGGCTGCGCATGGCAGATGGCCCCAGGAAGCAAAGGGGCTTGGCTTGCACAACTGTGTCTGCTGCCCGGGGGTTTAGGCTTTAAGCCTCAAGCCCCAAACCTGAAACCCTCAACCCCCCCCCCCCCCTTTCTTTCCCCAAGCCCCAAACCCTCTCAGCCCACAACCCCTGTGTTTACCGCCTAACCCTAATCCCTCAACCCGAACCCGAACCCCCAAACAAGGCTGCGCCAACCCGAAGTTTGGCTTTTCAGGCCACGCCACAGACTGTGATTGTCATGGTCATCTGGTCCGGGGCCCCAGGCACTGAGTTTGAGTTTGGCCCCCCCCCCCCCCCCCCCCCCCCCCCCCCCCCCCCCCCCCCCCCCCCCCCCCCCCCGCCCACCCCCTCACAGCACTTTGAGGAGCCTTGGCTGTAAAGATCACATATGTCCGGCCTTGTCGCACGAGGCCAAACGGCCAGCTGCAGCACGAGGCAAGGGGTGCGGAGCAACAAGATGTTCTCAAGCCAGGCTAGAACAAAACTACACCCTAAACCCTGAACCGCAAGTATCAATGAAATTGCATATGCCCCCTGCACATGCAGCTGCCTCTCCGGAAGATAGACTACAAAGATAGGCTACACTCAGGGGTTCGGGTTTAGCTTTAGATGGGTCTAGGGTTTGGGGCTGATTTTCAGGTTGTCATACTATGGAGCTGGACCGGTGTTGTCATGAAAGCACCTCAGCCGGCCACCTTAGATTCATTACCTGGGATGTTCCCCCTTCTATTAACAGTCCTTAATAGGATTGTAATCGGGGATATTATAATTAATGTCTATGAAGGACTGTTAGAGTAGAAGGGGGAACATCCCAATTCATTGCAACCAGACCCAGGCACTGTGCACTGCTGACAGGATTTAGGGTTTAGGGTTCAGGGTCTAGGATTTAGGGTTAAGGGACCCTCTTTTAGGGCAACAACTTCCGACATTCAGCCTCTTAGCCTCCGAGCCTCCGAGCTTGTGAGCCTCTAAGCCCTCAGTGTATGAAAAGCCACGATGAGAAGCTTACCGTGGAGATTAAGCCCTAAAGCCTAAACCCTAAACCCCAAACCCCAAACCCTAAATCCTAAACCCTAAACCCTAAATCCTAAACCCTAAACCCCACACGCGGGTCTACGGAGCATTTTGCTCCGTAGGAGCCGTTGAAGCTGCGGCTGCCGCCCACCACACTAGGCCCATCTGGGCTTCAGGGAGGAGGGTTAGGGCTTGAGGGTTTGGGGGTTGAAAGTTTGAGGTTTGGGGGGTTTAGGGTTTAGGGTTTTGGGGTTTAGGGTTTAGGGTTTAGGGTTTAGGATACGCGCTAAACCCTGATTCCTATAAACCCTATACACCCTAAGCCGTGCCGCCTGGGCTCCCGCAGTACCACGTCGATGAATAGAACGCAAGAATTTTAGGCGTATCCATACTGGGTCAACCCGGCTTGATGTATAAGACGCTGCCCCTGCCCATGAGCTTTGTGCCCTGTAGCCTGATCTGTCTACATGGGCTTCGCCCTTCGTGGGAAGGGCCGTAAGCATGCACCTGCCTATGTTTGAGCTGTGGCTCCAAGGTCTTGTAACATCAGCTACGTAAGCTGAGACCCAGAGACCAGACAATGGTTGAAAACAACAGGGCACACTTTTTCCTAGGTATCTGGAGAACCTTGAGCACGCTCCGCACTGCCATTTGCCCGTACCTTGCACTACGCTAAGTGACTAAACCTGAAACCCTTAACTCTGATCCCCACTAGAAAGGTTCAGGGTCGCAAGACTCCAAATTTCCTAAACCCTAAACCCTAAACCCTAAACCCTAAACCCTAAACCCTAAACCCTAAACCCTAAACCCTAAACCCTAAACCCTAAACCCTAAACCCTAAACCCTAAACCCTAAACCCTAAACCCTAAACCCTAAACCCTAAACCCTAAACCCTAAACCCTAAACCCTAAACCCTAAACCCTAAACCCTAAACTGCGAAGCCCCAAGCCAGGGGCCGACAGAGATTTGCTGCCACCGATGGCGCGCGGGGCAGTGTGGACTGGTATTTCAGCTGAGCCATGTGGGCGGGAACCTAAATCTTAAGACCCTTGTGTGAGAACTTAAGGCCCTAAAATGGCGAAAGTAAGGGACCCTGCTATAGACTCCAAATAGTAGGATTCTCTTACAAGAAGGACCCCCCCACTCTATAAGCCTTGAGTTACAGCTGGTTGGGCAGGGGAGGCGGCTTTTCATGCCTTGTTTTGGAGTGTTCTGGATACCTGGGTGTGCGGCTTCGGTGCGTTGAGTCTCGACAAAGGTGCTTAAATATCCAAGTCTCGATGTCCTGCCCCCGGAAAGAAGCCCTGAACCCGAAACCAAAAACCCAAAACCCCAAACCCCAAACCCTAAACCCCAAACCCTAAACCCTAAACCCTAAACCCTCAACCCTAAACCCTTGTTGGGGGTTCAGGTTTCGGGTTGGCTTTGGCTCGCAGATTGGGCGGTAAGCCCGTTGCAGGTCACCATGTCGCGGACACATGGCACCTCCATCGTCATCGGCAGACTTGCTGACGGACAGGCGGTAGGGGTCGGCTGTGATTCTGAGTGATATAGGGGCCTGCAGCTACTTAGAATGCGCATGTTGGTGGCTGGCGTGTGATCATTGGTGTGGAATGCTGAGGGGAGAACATTGGGGCACTTTTTTGAGGCTCCTGTAGTAGACGTGCCTAGAGCTCAATTGAGTCGCTGTGGTTTCTGGTTTTCTCGTCAGAACGTGTGGAGTGCCAAGGAATTAGACCCTAGCCCTGAGCCCTATTCAGTAAACCTTACCAAGAGCCTGTAAACCCTAAACCCTAAACCCTAAACCCTAAACCCTAAACCCTAAACCCTAAACCCTAAACCCCAAACCCCAAAGCCCAAACCCCAAACATGAACCCAAGAGTCGAGTTGCTTTAACTCAGCCCTCAGCCCTCACTTAACTCGCCTCCGCAAGCCCCACCTATGAGAGGCCCCAGCGGTTGTTCCGAAATTCCCTCATCCATTAAACCCTAAACCCTAAACCCTAAACCCTAAGCCCTAAGCCCTAAGCCCTAAGCCCTAAGCCCTAAGGCCTAAGCCCTAAGCCCTAAGCCCTAAGTCCCAAGCCCTAAGCCCTAAGCCCAAAACCCCTCACTTCAGTTTGAAGGTCTTCTGCTGGCAGCTCAATTCGGCCCGGTCCCAGCTCGTCAGCGAGGTGGGAAAGTGGGGGGACTCTAGGGGCCCCAAACCCTGCCCCAAACCCCAAACCCCAAACCCCAAACCCCAAACCCCAAACCCCAAACCCCAAACCCCAAACCCCAAACCCCAAACCCCAAACCCCAAACCCCAAACCCCACACCCCAAACCCCAAACACCCCAAACCCCAAACTCCAAACCCCAAACCCCAAACCCCAAACCTTAATCCCTAATCCCTAAACCCTAAACCCTAAAACACCTAAACACCTAAATCACCTAAAGCCTTAAAACCCTAAACCCGGAACCCTAAACCCCAAAACCAAACCCAAAACTTTGGGTGGCTTGAGGTTCTGGATTCGGGGCCTTTCGGGTTCGGGTGTCAGACACTTGGATTTTGAGTTTCGAGGGGAAGGAAATCAAAATACTTAGGGTTTAGGGTAGATCCTGCCAGCATTTCAGCTCAATAGGCACATGGTACTTGTGTATGGCCCCTCTGAAAACAGAAGCCGAAACCCTAAAGCTCAAACCTGAAAGATGACCTAAGCTCTAAACTCTGAACCGAGCGAAGTACCCGACCGAAAGCCCAGAAGCCCAAACCCAACATCTTAAACTTCAAACTCTGAAACCAAAACCCTCAACCCTCAGTCCAACACCGACACCCGAACCCGAAACCGAGCCTAAACCCTAGACATTCATTCCTACATGCATGCGTATTGCGCAGGCCAGCCAGCAGATCACCAAGCGAATCGCTAAACTCTGAACAGTAATCCGAGACCCGGAGCCCGAATCATGTTTGGGGCATTTGCCCAGCCTTCGCACAAAGGTCGGGCTCTGGACGTATGTGTGACAGCCGCCTGCGGTGCCATGCGCCTTCAGTTGCAACATGGATGTGTCGGAAGCCGATGAGGCAGGGACAGCGACGGACTTTGATGAGGCAGACTGCGAGTTGTTAAGCTTGCTGGATGCGGTCGGGCATAAGAGGATCGACATCTTGCAGTCGCTTCATCTTCAATGTCTAGCTGTCGCGCTGGTGCAGTTTGCATGTGCGCCTCTGATCTTCCTGGCTGCCTACCGCGGCTATGAAGCTGTTGCTGGACTGATTCTCGGCCTCATGATGCTAAGCTCCACCGCTTTGCAATATTGGCTGGCGCGAAGGCTGCTCTCGTGGCTGAGGTCTCAACCAGGCAAGGGCACGTGGCAGCACGCCATCGAAGCCCTTGCCTCCACTGTGGACCGCGTTGCATTTGGGATGCCTTGTGCTGCGACGCATGGGCTCGTGTGCGTGTTCGGTATGGTCGAAGCTATAGATCCAGCCCTCGACGCCTGGGCAGCTGCGAATGCCTGGAGCCTGTGGGCCGGGCCGGTGAAGCGAAAGTTTCAGTCATCTTGGAAGTCTGTACCCGTTATCGGCTCACTGGTTGCTTGGCTCGGCTTACCTGGTGTGCTGTTGTTGATACTTGGCGGTTCTATGCTTTGCCAGCTCGTGGCCTTGTGGTGGGAGGACGGGCACCTTACTCGAAGACTTGATGTGTTCACTGAGGAGGGCGATGAGACAACGGTCAGGAGCAGGTTCAGAGTGTGGTATTCCTGGAAACATCTGACCGACCTTGGTGGCTTGCTCATACTTCACGACGCTTTCGAGAAGCTGGTCTACGTGGAGCTGGGGCATGACACAGGAGGAGAGCTGTATCCGGTGGTGGACCGGCAAATCGCATTCATCCCCAAAGTGGTTGCAGAAGCGCTCCCGAGCTTCTGGTTCCAAATCTCCGTCCTTGCCTTGACGTATGACTCCACTCCAAGCAGCACCTTGGCCATCAACCTGGCGTCCATCGGCAGCAGCATGATCTGCATCACCAAGCTGCTCTACTTGCAGGCCTCGACCTTGCTCGTTTCGTTACCTCCCCACCTGGCCTGCAGCCGACACATCCTGGTGTGGTTCGCGAACGCGATGTCGTGTTTGTTCGTGCTGTGCTGCTTCCCTTTGTGCCTGATAAGGCTTGCAAGTGTGTGGGTCTGTCCCAGTCACATCCTTTTGCTTTCACAGGGGTGCTTTGAGCCGGAGCACTGAGTAAAGCGCGAATTCCAACGCAACTTTGGACATCTCCATTGGTCGGAAGGACTGGCTTCCCAATCACACTAAACCGTAAAGCCTAAACCCTAAACCCTACACCCTACACCCCAAACCCTAAACCCTAAACCTCTGTATTCTCAACCTCTGGGTTCAAGGCAAATGCGGGTAGTTCTGAGTCGGGGCGTGTTGCGCTTGAGTATGAAGTGCTTGTGGTCCTGAACGTCCGCTTCCACTGAATATCGGGATGTTCCCGCGTATACTAACAGTCCTTAATAGGGATTATAATCGGGGGTACTATAGTCTCTGTTAAGGACTGTTAGTACAAGGGGGCACACCCCAAACTGAATATCATGACGTCCCAGGAGATATCTAGGATCAGCATGTTTAGGGCTTTGTGGATGAGGGTTTAAGATTTCCGGTGTAGAGGCTAGGGCTTCATGTATGGGTGTCGGTAAGACCTAAAGGCTCCTAAACCCCAGACCTTGAACTGTCCGACACTCAGACCCTCTGCCCCAAAACCGTAAGCCCTAAGCCCCGAACCTGCACCCACCCTTAACCCATGATAGGTCCCGCCGCAACTCTACAATACTCTACATCCTAAAGGAAGGGGCTGTTTGTGCATTGGTGTCGAAACCCTAACCCAAATCCCTTAGGGTTTAGTGTTTGGGGTTTTCCGAGAACTATTAATGCTTTAGGGTTTAGGATCTTGCAATGCAGTATCTTTCACCGTACAGGATTTTGCCAAGGTTAGGGTACCTACTTTTCAAAGGCTCCTCATAAAGAGTTTCTTGTATGTATGTATGTCTGTCTGTCTGTATGCATGCATGTATGTATGTATACACGCATACGTTTCTATACATTGACGCCTATTTTGGAGACACCCATCCCCTTCCCCTCCACCACCCCAACCGTTCGCAAGGGGCAGACTCAGGGATGGGATGATGGACACCAGATTCCGCACCCTATGAGGTGTTAGGGTTTAGGGTTTAGGGTTTCGGGTTTAGGGTTTAGGGTTTAGGGTTTGGGGTTTGGGGTTTGGGGTTTAGGGTTTAGTCTGCGAGAGGCCAAGCTAGCAGTCCGCGCCGGGGCCCTCGCGAACTCCGATGATTGCTCTTGGGTTTGCTTGGCCAACAAGGAGCGCAGGTTCATGGGTAAACCCTAAACCCTGAACCCTGAACCCTGAACCCTAAACCCTGAACCCTAAACCCTAAACCCTAAACCCTAAACCCTAAACCCTAAACCCTAAACCCTAAACCCTAAACATGGGCTCATGGGTCCATGGGGTTCTGGGTTCATGGGCTCATGGGCTCATGGGCTCATGGGCTCATGAGTTCATGGGTTTAGCACGTCGGGTTTAGGGTACTTAGGGTTGATGTGCTTGGGAGCCGAGGGTTAGGGGGGGTTAGGCGTGTGACAGCCTGGGGGTTTTGGAATGTGGGGAGCCGAATTCAGGGGCTGAGGGAGACCTCGACTTGATCTTGTGTGGGGTTTCAAGGATGAAGGCTTGGGGGCTTCGGGCGCATCTATGGTTTTAAGGGGTTAGGGTCTAGGATTAAGGGTTTCGGGTTTAGGATTAAGGGTTTAGGGATTAGGGTTTAGGGTTTAGGGTTTGAGTTTTAGGGGTTTTAAGGGTTTTGGTTGGAGGGCTTTCGTTGGCAAAGTGGCTCATTAGTAGGTCTTTGGTGCACCCAAGGCCCTTCAAAATTGCCTCCTTAACAAAGGGATTCCCGGATCCTCCGCCCCAAGCCCAAACCCTGAACCCTGAGCCCGAAACCCTAGGCCCTAAACCCTAAACCCTAAACCCTAAACCCTAAACCCTAAACCCGCAACCCTAAACCCTAAACCCTAAACCCTAAACCCTAAACCCTAAACCCTAAAAAACCCTAAACCGTAAACCCTAAACCCTAAACCCCCAACCCTAAACCCTAAACCCTAAACCCTACACCCTAAACCCTAAACCCTAAACCCTAAACCCTAAACCCTAAACCCTCAGCCCAACACCCTTGGTAAACACTGAGCTCCGTACTTCGCGCGAGGAGACCGGCCACCTGGACGTCTTTATGCCGGGTTTCTCAGGTCCGGCATGGGAGTTAGGGGCATGGCCCAGGCCAGCCACAGCCCCCTGAAGCCCTGAAGCCCTGAAGTCCCTAAACCCCCTAAACCCTCTAAACCCTAAACCCTAAAACCTAAAACCTAAAACCTAAAACCTAAAACCTAAAACCTAAAACCTAAAACCTAAAACCTAAAACCTAAACCCTAAACCCTAAACCCTAAACGCTACCTAAATAACGAAAGCCCCGGAGAGTAGGCTCTGAAGTTCCCATGGGTGGCAGAAGGGAAGTTCTCGTGTGTAGCAGAAAGGGTCAAGATGTCCGATGGCAGGAGCAGCTCAGCTGAGCCCATAGTCCCTGTACAAGGTACCCTAAACCCTAAACCCTAAACCCTAAACCCTAAACCCTAAACCCTAAACCCTAAACCCTAAACCCTAAACCCTAAACCCTAAACCCTAAACCCTGAACCCTGAACCCTGAACCCTGAACCCTAAACCCTAAACCCTAAACCCTAAACCCTAAAGAACCAGTAGGTAAAAGCCTGCATCACCTCATTTTGCTATCCTCTGGGCGCCAGTGGCCAAGCAGAGGCTCGATCAGATGGCCCTCCGCAATGCCCGCTTGGCCTACCTTCCAGTGGCGAAGCTTCTAAACAAGAGGCGGGCGTTAAAGGGGCTTGCATGGGTTTCGCAGAGTCTCGATCAAGGGTCGATAGGACGCTTTAAGCCTTTAAGAAGGGGTTTTGAGGGATTGCAGGAGGATGAGGGTTCTAAGTTGTGCTAAAGTTTTGGAAGTGTTCTTCAGGCAGGATTTAAAAGGCGTTCAGGGTTGTCGATGGTTTTATTGCCGGCTGTTTTTGCGAGGCTTCATGGAGCCTTACAGTTTTGAAAGGGATGTTAAGGGGCTTGAGAAGGGCTTTAAGGCTGGGCCTTGGACCCTGGCTACCGGTGGAGGGCTGACAGCTTGTTAAGATGTACAGCCCAGAGGTCAATGAAGCCCTGAAGCCGTAAGCCGTACACCCTAAAGCACCTTAAGCCCTAAACCCTAAACCCTAAACCCTAAACCCTACACCCTACACCCTAAACCCTAAGTCCTGACAACCTGGGGCCCCTGAAACACCCCGTCTCTCTCTAAAGCCTAAACCCTGAAGAACCTGTATGGGAGTTTCCGAAAATAGGGGTACCCTTTCTGGGGGTCCCTTGAAGGGGAATCTAGTCTGTTTGGGGTATGACAGGGTGTGCCCCTATTTTGGAAAATGCCCATATAACTAGGTAGGCCCTTGGGATATTGGGTTTCAGAGGATCATGTTCATGATTTTTTCCTTTATGCAGAGGGTTTAAAGGGGCAATCCTAGATAATGACCAAACAGAGGGGTGGGGGGTCGGAAAAATCACCGATGATGTTCCCTTGAGGTCCTTATAAACATATGCCATAAAAACTCACCCAAAACCCTATTCTAGATACTAAGGCCCCTCTATTACACCAGGGCCATCCTAGAAAACCCTAAACCCTAAACCCTAAACCCTAAACCCTAAACCCTAAACCCTAAACCCTAAACCCTAAACCCTAAACCCTAAACCCTAAACCCTAAACCCTAAACCCTAAACCCTAAACCCTAAACCCTAAACCCTAAACCCTAAACCCGAAACCCGAAACCCGAAACCCGAAACCCTAAGCCCTAAACCCTAAACCCTAAACCCTACACCATCACCACTCTAAACCCCATAAACCTACACAAGAAAGGAAGGTTTCGGGCTCCCAAGAACCCAAGAGGCCCCAACGCCCTGCAGGCCGCTGGTGCTGGCGATGCAAACCCTCCAAGAAGGGTCGTGGGACCCCGAGCCTGGGTTTAGGGTTTAGGGTTTAGGGCTTCGGGTTTCGGGTTTAGGGCTTCGGGTTTCGGGTTTAGGGTTTAGGGTTTTGGGACTATCAAGATTTCGGGTGTCGCGCCTGAAGTGCCGTCAGGGTTTGCAGAGCGTGTAGAAACACAAACCGGCGAGGGCCAAGTGTCAGGGTGTTGGGGGAACCTGGTTTCAGGGCTCTTGTATTGGTGGGGGGAGGAAGGGGGCAAGGGGAAAGGGGAGAGGGGAAAGGGGAAAGTGGAAAGGGGAAAGCTTACAGGGGAGAGGGGAAAGGGGAAAGGGGGAAAGGGGACAGGGGGCAGGGTTTAAGGGTTATGGGTTAAGGGTTACGGGTTCCGGCTTAAGGGTCACGGCTAAGGGTTAAAGCCGAAGCCCGAAAGTCTAAACCCTCACCTGGAACCCAAATATCTGAGATGGTGTTGCAGACACTTGGTTGAGCAGGCGGAAGCCGAAAGCTCTTAGCTCTCACTCTAGGTCACTCACCAGCAGCCTCGCTTAGTTGCGGCGATTTGCTCTCTTTCCCGGGTCCCCCCCCCCAAAAAAAAAAAAAAAACCTGCAAAGCCCATGAATCGAACGAAGCGCTCCCTACGAGAGGCTAGGCAACTTGCCTTATGGTCCGTATGTTGGGATGTTCCCCCCCCTATACGAACCTGAATAGGGATCACAATCGGGGGTACTATAATCTCTATCATATCAAGGACAAAAGCTAAACCCTAAACCCTAACCCTAAACCCTAAACTATAGTATGTGATACCGCCCACGAAAGCCCGAAAGAGAGCTGCAGATCCATCGGAGTAGGCTTGAAACGGGGAAGGACGAAAACCAAGAAGCCCCTTCCCCCTTGCCGGGTTTAGGGTTTAGGGTTTAGGGTTTAGGGTTTAGGAATTAGGGTTTAGGGTTTAGGAATTAGGGTTTAGGGTCTAGGGTTTAGGGTTTAGGGTTTCGGGACCCCTCACCTAGATACAGCACACTGGGCCTTTTGTCCCTCGAGGTCATGCTTGGTGGCCTTCGGCGAGGATCGGGCCTGCTCGAGGGAAATGCTTCCCTGAACCCTAAACCCTAACCCTAAACCCTAACCCTAAACCCCAAACCGTACTTTTTTAGGGCACGCAAGAAGGGACCCTAATGTAGACAGCGGCGCATATGGCCGCACATGCAAGATCTTTTCCTTCATGTTCAGGCTTGCACAGCTACTCAAAGACATGCTCCGCGTGCATCATGTCCTCAAACTGCCCGGCGATGCACATTGTAGAGGAGCCTACGGTTTATGCATACCACCAGCACCGACGTGACGGATGCGCCCAATGTTTGTCTTACTGGCCTTACCCAGGAATTCCGGAGCTCGTCGTAACGCAGAAATCCTTTCAGGAACGTCAGGATACCTAAGGCCTGAGGCATCAAAATGGTTTCGTTCTGGGTCCCAAAGTTCGGAGTCCCAAAGCCATAAACCGTTTTATCATAAACCCCAAGAAGCGGCGCCATCCCAAGTGGCATGTCCTGGGTTTGTTTCTTCTCATCCCTGACGGGGCAGGATGTGCCTTCTGGGCAGCAGACGCTGCAACCTCAGCATGGCCCGACAAAGTTTGGGGTTTGGGGTTTGGGGTTTAGGGTTTAGGGTTTAGGGTTTGGGGTTTGGGGTTTGGGGTTTGGGGTTAGGGGTTTAGCGCAAGGGTGCCTCGAAAGCCGAGCTGCTGTGTTTGGGTCAGTTGAAGAGGTTTCGGCTGCCAAAGGCCCAATGAAGGTTCCGGCCTGTGGCATTTTTGCTTAGCCAGAAGGAAGGACGCTAGATGTTTGGTCCTCTGTGCCCAGATTCTTGGTGGCTCTGTCACAAAGCTCACAAGCCCTTGCAGATCTTCCTCAGTGCCCCACGAAGGACAATCGCTCGTTGCCTTAAGGAGCCTAAGGCTGCAACGAAGGCTGTGCCGACTCTCATGCAGTGTCTGCAACGAGGTCTGCATCAGCCACGCCGATTGAAGTCAGCCGCGTGAGTTCGGACGGTGGCCTGCAGACAGTACGAGCCTGAGGGTTCAGAGTGGCAAGCCTCTTATTCCGTAGCCATTTTTAAACATTGTAGTTTCAACTCGGTCTTGGTGGCTGTCTGAGCCCGCCCCATGCTCCAACTTCCCTCGGTTGAGTTTAGGGTTTGGATTCTTGCCGACCCTTCATGCCACAATTCCTTCCAGGCGCAAGACCCGGTGACCCCCAAACAACCCTAAGCAACCCCAAACCCGAAACTCTCAACCCCGCACCCCAAACCCTGAGCCCGCCACGCTAAACCGCAGCCGCCTCTGGCCGCTGAGGTGTATCGCGTGCCGATTCCCTCTGCCTGCAATTCCTTGAGCTTCTGCTACAAGACCGCGCGCCCTGCACCATGCTCAAGGGCGGCTAGGTTGGTAGGGTTCAGGGTTCAGGGTTCAGGGTTTAGGGTTTCGGGTTTGGGGCTGAGGATTTAGGGTTTAGGATTTAGGGTTTAGGGTTTAGGGTTTAGGGTTAAGGGTTTGCATCACGCTCGAACACGTTTGCCCTCGGAGCCGGGGGCTGAGGGTTTTTGACTCCATTCCGAGCTTTTGTTCTGTAACGGGCGAGCCTAAACCCTAAACCCTAGACTCTCAACCCTGAACCCTGAACCCTGAACCCGCAACCCTTACCGCTAAACCCTAAACCCTAAACCCTAAACCCTAAACCCTAAACCCTAAGCCCTAAGCCCTAAGCCCTAAGCCCTAAGCCCTAGACCCTAAACCCTAAACCCTGAACCCTAAACCCCAAACCCCAAACCCTAAACCCTATCCTTGGGCTCTTGTCATGGCGGGTTCTGGCAGCTCCCGTGAGAAACTTGGAAGTGAGATTACAGCAACAAGCCGGAGAATCGAGAGGAAGTACAAAAGGGGGCGGAATAGAGTTATACTATTCTAATCCCCCAAAACCCTATTCTAATTTCTCTTATCCCTTATGGTCCCTTTATAGTTATACAAGAATAGACCCCCAAACCCTCTTCTAATTGTGAAGGCCCCTATATTAATAGTAGGCACCTGCAGCGGTGGAGGTGCGCAGTCAGCAGCAAAGTAGTAGCTAGGACCCAGCTTTGGCCATGATTCCACCCTTTTTAGGGTTTAGGTTCCCTCATAAGCAAGCCCCTTTAACACCAAAAAAGGGGCCGCAGCACCCGTTTTATTCCCAGGTGTAGAGGTAGAAATGGAATTTTCCGCAGAAGCCCTAAAAAGCCCGTCTGGCTTCGCGCGGAGAAAAAAGTCCGCAGGAGCTCTGCTCATCTTCTTTGCCCTCCCGACGGGCTTGATCATCCTGTGGGGTGAGGGTTTCGGATTTAGGGTTTCAGCCTTCAAGGGTCTGGGCCCTAAAGCCTAAACCCTAAACCCTAAACCCTAAACCCTAAATCCTAAACCCTAAAACCATCAAAACTCTCCAAGCCTCAAACCCTTTAGGCTCCAAGGTCTTTCTCGGCTTCCCGGATGTGGATAGTTCTCGAAATTAGGGTTCTTTTTTCTGGGTCCGATATGTACTACGGCACCTTATAAGAAGGACTTCAAAGGGACCTTCATGTGGGTTTGAGGGTGTAGGATTCTCTTAGGGCCTTTGAGGTCTCCTCAGAAAGTCGGCGTTACCTTTTAGGGTTTGGGGGCTAGTGAGTCTTTTAAAAGCCCTCCAAAATCTGAAGTTTTTTTTTTTTTTGGGGGGGGGGGGGGGGGCCTTCTTAGAGAGGAGGCAAGAGTGCCGATGACTCTACGCATCAGAAGGGGCTGTTAATGGCAATGGCCAGGCAGCTGCACAGACGGACTGCAGCTCGTTTTCAACTTACTCAGCAGCAGCTTGGCTTTCAGCGGGCGGGGGGGGGGGATATGGGGGTTGCCGAAATTTATTGGACACTTTATTGGGGTCCTGTTTATAAGGGAATCCGAGTATTTGGGGTCTAATTTTAGGGGTCCCCTATATTCGTAAAATTCCATATGGGCAAAGGGTGCAGGGTGTCAGCATTCCCTGGCAGTGCACACACACACACACACACTCAAACAGCCTAGCAGCGAATTCGGACGTTTAGGGTTTAGGGTTTAGGGTTTAGGGTTTGGGGTTTAGGGTTTAGGGCTGTGTCCTATCAGCATAGTGCTTGCTTTGTGTATGGCATCAAGCCGCAGAGGAAGATTTCTTGTACCACGCGCCAACACCCAAAAAGTGCGCCCCCCCCCCCCCCCCCCCCCCCCCAAGCGCTCTAGGGTTCAGGGTTGAGGGTCTCGGATTTAGGGTTCAGGGTTGTCAATCGGCATCTTCTTTCAGGTTGTCCACGCCAACATGTCCTTTTGGATTTCGGGTTGACCACAAACCAACTTTGTCTGGAAAAGGGTGCAGGGTCTTTGAGCCACTGTCCCCTGTGAAACGATTCGGGGTTTTCAGTCTACATCTTCTTTCAAGGCTCCGAACTGTCCTTGCAGGGTTCAGGGCTCCGGTTGCAGGTTTAAGGTTTACACGGGCTTCGGGTTTCCTAGCTTTTCCCTGTCAGACCAACGCAGTGGGTTTTGTGGCTTCAGGATCCATAGGAGGGACTGAACGGGAGGTTCGTAGGCTTGCGAAAAGTCCAGACCCCTAGGAACCAGCCTCCAAATGATGGGGGGCCCTTGCGCTCACCTCACAAAAGCATCTTGTCCGACAGTAACTCAAATCCAGGGGCCCAGGCCGAAGCAACCTGGGGAGATTCGGGGCTGCAGCAGCGGGTTTCGGCTAGGATCTTAACTGTTTTTTAAGGCTGCAGGACCTTTGGGTGCTGCTTGCTTGAGTTGCAGATTAAGAGCTTTGCAAAGTCTTTAAACTGCTTTCTTAAGCAAGTAATTGTTTTGTATCAAGCCCGCGCTTCAGGTGAGACCAGTTGTGCATACGACAACCCTGGCATAGCGCGCCTCACTTAGCGTTTCGTGCCTTTTAGGCTTAAGGTCCAGGATTTAGGTTTAGGGCGTAGGGTTAGGATTTTTGGGTCGTTTTTGCTTTCTTTTAAAGGCGGTGCTTGCCCCAAGATGCGCCAATACCTGGGGGCCAATGTAACTCATTGGGCTCTTAGCTCTCTGCCGGGGCTGCTATGTCTTCGCCCAGACCTCAGAAAGGGCCCAGGAGCCTAGAATTAAGATCCACCCCCCCCCCCTTCCCCCCCACCCCCCCCCCTTGAAAGTGTGCGTTTGGGCCAATTGCAGGTTCAGGGCTATAGGGTTTAGGGTTCAGGGTTTAGGGTGTAGGGGACTTTCACGCCCTCCGCGTTTGTTTGGGGTTTATGGGTTTAGGAGTTTTAGGCTCCAGGTGTTTCTCGTTTTTCTCTGAGGCCACCAATGAACAAGTAAACTGCCGCGTGGTAGTGCAAGCCTGGCATGGTGAATCTAGCATGGTGAGTCCAGCCTTCTACAGCCAAAAATTCGATTATATATATATATATATATATGTATATATATGTATATATATATATATATGTATATATATATATATATATATATATATATATATATATCTGTATATATATATATATATATCCCAACCCTGAAGCCTAGCTTCTCTCCAACCCGACATCCCAAAGCAAACGGGCCTAAACCCTGTTCACCGATCACCTTCGTGATGCATTGGAGTTCTTTTGGTTTCTTTGGGTTTTCGGGTGAGGAGGCAGTGTACAGGCTCTGCCAGCCACTGCCCTGAGCCGTAAAACCCTAGACGCTAGGCCCTTGAATCATTCAAGTTTGAACCCTGAACCCTAAACCGTTGAAGCCCGACCCCCGAAACCCTAGATTCCGAAACCCGAAGCCCTAAACCCTAGACCCCTAGACCCTAGACCCTAGACCCTAAACCCTAAACCCTAAACCCCAACCCTTGAACCCCAGACGAAGCTAAGGAGCATCTCCATCTCGACTGACCAGTCTCAGCTCGTCTCATCCGAGAACAACTTTTTCAAAGTCTACAAGGCCGCGGCCCTAAACCCTAAACCCTAAACCCTCAACCCGAAGCCCTAAACCCTAAATCCTAAACCCCAAACCCCAACCTTTCGGTGGAGGGCTCCGGGGGTTCTTGGGCTGTTGTTGGAGGTTCTAGGGCTCCAGGGATGAGGGTTTCTTTCTGAGGGTTCAGGGTTTAGGGTTTAGGGTTTGGGGTTTAGGGTTTAGGGTTTAGGGTTCAGGGTTTAGGGAACCTGAAAACTCGCCCCAGACTCTGGGAAACATGCCTGGTTGCGAACAACTTTGCCGGGTTTTTGGATAGGCAGAAAGCTGACACAGCTGGAGGCAGCTACAAGGTTAAAGTTTGGGGGTTTAGGGTTTAGGGTTTAGGGTTTAGCTAGAAGGTTTAAAGTTGGGGGGTTTTGGGTGTTCGGCGTTCGGTTTTCAGAATTTAGGGTTTAAGGGTGCAGGCTTTAGGATCTTTAGGGTTGTCGGGTGTAGGATATGTGTACCAAGACACGAGATGAGGGCGATTTCAGTTCAACTTCTTTGTTTTGCACCTCAGGGCTTGCGGGACAGAGGATAAACACAGGTGGCTGTTAGGGTTTAGGGTTTAGGGTTTAGGGTTTAGGGTTTAGGGTTTAGGGTTTAGGGTTTAGGGGTTTTGGGTATTTCTCCCCAAGAAACATGGACCCTGGTGGTAGATTCCTCATGTTGTCGGTGCTGACTCATGTAAAGCTCCGGCTGATCCAGGTCGAGTTCGGCAGGTAAGGTCAACCTTTGGAAACCCACGCCGCATGCCCGCAAGGTGCCGGCGCCGACTGCGTCCTCGTCCTGAGGCGCATCAGGGGTTAAGGGTTTAGGGTTTAGGGTTTAGGGTCTAAGGTTTGGGAATTAGGGTTTAGGGTTTAGGAGGTTGAAGGAGGGCGGGGTAGCGGTTCAGGCGAGTTAGGATATTGAGGGGTTCGGGGCATTTGGAGGGCGTAAGGGCGGAACAGCAAGGGTTTGGGGTCCGGCCGAGGTGCGAGGTGAGTATCATCTTAGTTTTGGTCACCAGCCTCCAAACCCCTAAACACACTCAGACACCCTGAAGCCTTCCGCTAGCTTTGGGCTCTCTCTTTTTCCGGGGCTTTGGCGGGTCGTTCATCCTCGACCCCGGGCGCGATAAAGTCTCCTAAGCACTCTCCACGGTCCCAGCCTAAGAAGCTTTAAATCAGGAGTCTCCCCAACATAGTCAACATAGTGTAAGAACTCCTTCAAGGAGAGGTATTGGGCTCCAGGGGTCCTCTGCCTCCCAGGACTGGATTTTCGGCATCCCGTGATTCGCTTATTGCCTTCCGACGTGCGCGCTTAGCTGGGATGCGGGGTCAGGCCAGAGCGTCAGGTGGTCGCTAGGTCGGCCCTTGAGATGCTTTAGGGTTTAGGGTGTGGTTTATAGGGTTTAGGGTTTAGGGTTTGGGGTTTGGGGTTTGGGGTTTAGGGTTTAGGGCTTAGGGTTTAGGGCTTAGGGTCTAGGTTTATTGGGCTAAAGAGGATGTTGCTTCGGAAAACGTTCGAGGAGGGTTCAAACCATTGGGGGTTGGATGGCAAGGGGTTTTGGTGTTTGGGAGGCGGGGTTGTGCAGTGTATATTCTGCTACCACACCTCCAACATGTAAACACATTACATCTCAACCCTCAACCCTCAACACTCAACCCTCAACCCTCAACCCTCAACCCTCAACCCTCAACCCTCAACCCTCAACCCTCAACCCTCAACCCCCAACCCTCACCCCGCAACCCGCAACCCGCAACCCTGAACCCATATTAGACCCTAAACCCTAAACCCTAAACCCTAAACCCTGAACCCTAAACCCTACACCCTGAACCCTAAACCCGAGAACCAATCATAGGCCAAGGACTGGCACCGCCGACCAGCACAGATCTCACATCCTCTCACCAGATTCAACAGATATGATTTCCGAAATGGGGGTACCTCTTTGGGGTCCTTATGATAAGGGAATCCAACCATTCGGGGGTCGATTTTGGGGGTCTCCTATTTTCGTCAACCCCCATATGGAGGCTAAACCCTCAACGCCAAATCTGATGAGGGTTTAGGGTGTAGGGTTGGCCTAAACCCTAAACCCTAAACCCTAAACCCTAAACCCTAAACCCTAAACCCTAAACCCTAAACCCTAAGCCCTAAACCCTAAACCCTAAACCCTAAATCCTTTGGGGTTCAGGGTTTAGGGCTTGGGGTTAGGGTTCCTAAGCCCCACAGTATAGGGGGTAGGGTTTAGGGCCTTAACTTAACCCTAAACTTCAAGAGCAAACCCTAAACCCCAAACCCTAAACCCTAAACCCTAAACCCTAAACCCGAAACCCGAAACCCCAAACCCAAACCTTCAAGAGCAGATGCAGCTTCGTTTCGGGGCGGCTCGAGATTCTTTGCCGACGAAGAGGCAGCCATCGACCCTCACAAGAATTCGTAGGATTCGGGTATCGGGGTTTAGGGTTTAGGGTTTAGGGTTCAGGGTTTAGGGTTTCGGGTTTAGGGTTTAGGGTTCAGGAGTATCCGCTAGAAGCTGAGAGACAAAGTAGGCGTCAAACCCGCGCCCTTCAAACCAGGCTCGAGTTTGCCCTTCGAGTCGCTCTCATGGCCTTCTGGTTGTCGAGCAGACAGAGCAGCGCGTGTAGCGGAGCAAAAACCTCCCAGACCTCAAGTTTGGGGGTTGTTCGATGTTAGTATGATTATTCGTTTCTGTAAAATAGCAATAATAATAATTATTATTAATATGGTTGTTATTATGATTAGTATGATTATTATGATTATTATGATTATTATGATTATTATGATTATTGTGATTGTTATGATTGTTATGATTATTATGATTCTTATGATGATTGTGATTAATTGTCAGTATTCTATCATTAGTATGTTTTGTAGCTATTATTGATATTAGTGCTGCTACTACCATCCTTAGAAAAGGTTAATTATGAGGGGTCCCTACTTTGGAGCACCCCACCCCACCCCCCCCCCATGAAGGCCATGCGCCTCCATCACTGTTTCGCCTCAAGACCCTAAGCCCTAGGTGTTCCAAACTTGTGGGCTCTTCTCTTAGGTACCTTCAAGAGACGGAAAAAGTTGCAACGAGGACCCCCCCAAACCAAATGAACCCTGGCCGACAGTCGTGATGACTCTTCAATTCAAGTCTCGGGATCGCCCCTGGGCATACACTGTGGGACCGAATTTCCCCAACACCCCCACACCCTAGACTCCAAACCCTAGACCCGATGCCCTAACCCCTAACCCTAACCCCGAAGCTAAACCCTAAACCCCCAACACTAAACCCTAAGCCCGAAACCCTAACCCTCTGTATTTGCCAGGCCATGGGGTCCCGAATCCCTCTTTGTGGGATTTTGACAGTCATGCAGCTCGGTAGCCTCATTCCCCCGATTGTTTACTTCGCATGTTTACATCCGTGATTCTAGTTTTTGAATATGAATGGTTGTGCTTTGATACACAGAGATTTCATATGTCTACACATAGACAGATATGCCTATGTGTACGCATTCGAAAATCTCTATGCATATACAGTATAAAATGTATGTATACATAATATAATTTAGTCATATATATATAGATAGACATATGTATACATATATATATATGTATATAATTACAGATAAGGGATAATATATAGTAAAAAGTCAGTAAGTCCGAAACGGGCGGCTCAAGCCCAGGAGCAATGCAGGCTCTAGAGCCTTGCATGTGGGTTTGGGGTTCAGGGTTTAGGGTTTAGGATTTAGGGTTTAGGGTTTAGGGTTTAGGGTTTAGGGTGTAGGGTTTAGGGTTTAGTGTTTAGTGTGTAGGGTTTAGGGTTTAGGGTTTAGGGTTTAGGGTTCAGGGTTTAGGGTCTCATGCTTAGGGTTTAGGGCTTGGGGGAATTTCAGGTTATAAGGGCTGGTAATCGGGCTTGAAACATAGGGCTTCTACGTAGGGTTAATATACAGGGCGTAGAAGGCTTCTCTGGTTTTGAAGGTGCAGGTCTTCGTGGATTAGGGTATCCTTAGACCCTAGGGGTCCGGTTTCCTCATGACGCTCATCAAAGTCAGCATGTGGAGCTTGAGCATTTAAGCGCATGTCTACAACTTCTCTGTCGGGTCTGTCACGATGGCCATGGACGAGTCGTTCGTGCGGTGGGCCTTGCGTCAGTCGGGAGGCAGGGATGAGAGTGAGGGCAGTGAACCGAAGCCCCCAACCCGAATCCCTCAACAACAGCAGCAGCAACAGCAGCGGCCACGGCCACAGCGACAAGAACAAGAACAAGAACAAAACAAGGACAAGGAACAAGAACAAGAACAAGAACGAGAACGAGAGCAGGAACAAGCAACATGAGCAAAGTGCCAATAGGTTAAGACAGAGGCTTTCGTCGCCTTCGCGATGCCTTTCGCAGATAAGGTATAAAGAACCCTGGCGTTTGCCAAGTCCCCATCCGAGCTCTAGCCTCCCCAAGACCACCTGAACGCTGCAAACCCGAAAGACCCTAAACCCCAAACCAAGAAACCCTGAACCCCAAACCCGAAAAGACATGAAAAGGGTAGGTCAGCAGGTGCTTCACGGCCCTCCCTTTGCATTCGACTTCTCCCCCGAGTGATCCGGACACATCCGTACGCTCTCAGCCTTTGCTCTTTCGAGGCCACCAGAAGCCTGTAAGTCCAAATTTTCGCGGCCAAAAGCCCCAAACACCTGGAGAAGCTAAGGCAAACACTGAAAAACCTGGAATTTTCAACTTCGCCCTCACCTAAACCCTCAACACCAAGATCTACAACGCAAACGCAGTTTAGGGTTTAGGGTTTAGGGTTTAAGTTTGTGTCTGCGGAGGCGAGGGCAAGCTTCAAGTGGCGGAGTCCGCCTATGAGGCCGGGGGCGGGTCGGGTTGTAGGCTTAGGGCTTAGGGCTTAGGGTTTGGGGTTTAGGGTGTAGGGTTTAGGGTTGAGGGTTGAGGGTTTAGGGTTTAGGGTTTGCGGTTTAGGGTTTTGGGGTGTTTATGAGGAAATGAATGCAGGTGAGTGACGTGTGAAGCATATTGAAAGCCACATGACAACCCACAATCCATCAAGTTCAACATCTCGATTTCTTCTTATCTATCCGTATATCCCATGGATTTCTGTTCGCCATGTCTGAACAGATTTCCAGGGAAAAGTGCTGCACGCATTCTCTTGGAAAATCATGAAACGCAAGAGGGAAGCTAAGGTGTCATACGATTGCCAACAACGGAGAATGTAAGGGTTTAGCCCTCCCTCTCTCCCTCCTCTCTCCCTCCTCTCTCCCTCCTCTCTCCCTCCTCTCTCCCTCCTCTCTCCCTCCTCTCTCCCTCCTCTCTCCCTCCTCTCTCCCTCCTCTCTCCCTCCTCTCTCCCTCCTCTCTCCCTCCTCTCTCCCTCCTCTCTCCCTCCTCTCTTCCTCCTCTCTCCCTCCTCTCTCCCTCCTCTCTTCCTCCTCTCTCCCTCCTCTCTCCCTCCTCTCTCCCTCTTCTCTCCCTCCCCTCTCCCTCCCCTCTCCCTCCCCTCTCCCTCTTCTCTCCTCCTCTCTCCCTCTCTTCCTCTCTCCCCCTGTTTCTCCTTCTAATTCCTTCTATAGTTCTGCAATTTGTTATTTCGCTTCTTGCAACTGAGTCGTCTGAGGAGCTGGCCCTTCACTTGGAGCTTCTTGGCAAGTAAACCTTCACTTTGCATGTCCATGGAGTATACAGGCTTGCTCTTGCTGTTTGTTTTCAGCCGAATGAAGCCTGAAGCCTCAAGTTTCCTAAGCCTTATCTCCCCTCCTGCCTAGATCCTGCACACCCCACATCCTCAGC